AGTTATGTGGCATTTAGCTTACTAAAAACAAACAAAATACCCTTGTCAGACTTTTACATTGGTAGTTCTTTTATACAAAGTGACTTTGTTTATATTTTACCCAGTTTTAGAGATAAAAATTGCTTTACATTTATAGTGTGATGTAGGATTGCCAGTGAACAGCAAAACTTGGATTAAATCTAAATTTAACCTTCAAATTTACCTTGCTACCATGTTCATTCATTAACAGAAATTGGAATACCTGCCGTGTGATGGGTTCTGTACTAGTGATTCAATGATAGAACAAAACAGATGACATGTATATCATGACTAAGTTCTCTGGTGAGAAAGTATAATTTGCTATAAAAGCATACAATAGGGGTCTACTCAGGTGGAAGTGATGGTTGAACTGAAATCCAGTTAACAGATAGATGTGGAGTTGTTATGAAAGGAAAAGATGTGCAAAGGTCCAAAGACAGAAGGAAAGGCTGAAGTAGTCAGTCAGGGTTAGCTAAAGGACAGACCTTAGGGTCAAGCTTTGTAGGCCATGTTTAGAGTTTGTGTTTATCTTAAGGTTAATAGGAAACCGGTTTAAAATGACAAGAATCTAAAATTGATTTGACAATTTTTAATAAGTTCAAAATTTGACAGATTGTGGAAAGACTAGTTGATCAAGAAATATATTCTAAAATTATAGAATGTAGTTTTTCTTAAGTATCCCAAACTTAATGCTGTTTTATTTCACATCCTGATTTTATATAATGTTTTCAGTTAAAGACAATGAAACATCTTAATACATAGTACCATCACATCCCTAAATGTTATGCATCTAATAACAGCTATCAAATTATGGTGCAAAAATCAATAAGATGAAAGAGATAAATGGGCAAATAAATATCCATAGTTGGAGATTTTAATACCCCTGTCAATATTTGGCAGAACAAGTAGACGGAAAAGTAAGTATTAATGTTAGGAGACTTAGAGCCAACTGTAACTTAACCTAACTGACATTTAATGAAGCATTACCCAAGAACTGCAACATAAATATTCTTAAATGATAATCCAGTCTATATGCTGGGCCATAAAAGTTTCAATAAATTTCAAAAGATCAAAGTCTTGAAACATATTGAACATCTCAACACTAAAATCAGAAGTCAATAACCCTCAAATATTTAGGAAATTCCCAATATTTGAAAAATAAACACACTTCTAATTAACTCATAGGTTAAAGAAGAAATCACAGGAATAATATATATCAAAAGAAATGACATTGAAAACAGCATAATATCAAAAGTGATGGGAATGCTAGAACTCAGCTGAGAAGGGAAATTTATAGCCTCAAATATTTAATGTTGGAAAGAAACATGTATAAAATTGGTAATCTAAACTTATACCTTAACAAACTAGTAAAAGCAAATTACCGGTAAACCCAAAGGAAATCTATTAGGTAAGCCGAGACCGGTTTGGCTCAATGGATGGAGCGTCGGCTTGGGGACTGAAAGGTCCCCGGTTCGATTCCGGTCAAGGGCATGTACCTTGGTTGTGGGCATATCCCCAGTAGGGGGTGTGCAAGAGGCAGCTGATCGATGACTCTCTCATAGATGTTTCTAACTCTGTATCTCTCTCCCTTCCTCTCTATACAAAATCAATAAAATATATTTTTAAAAAAAGGAAGAAATCTATTAGGTAAAAAATAACAATTTTTTAAAATATTAAAGGCAAAGTTGTTTTTTGAAAAGATAAAATTATTCTTGGCAACACTGACTTTTGATCAGTAGAAATATAAAAATAACTATGCCAATAAATTTAATAACTTAGAGAAAATGGTCAAATTCCTTAAAACACAACTTAGCAAAACTGACTTGATAAAATTTAAAATCAGAATTGCCGTATATCTAGTAAAGAAATTGAATCATAAGGTATGTTCAAAGAAAACTCCAAGCCCAAATAGTTTCATTGTGAATTCTCTTAAACATTTAAGAACTATTGATACCAGTATCACACAAACTTGACCAGCATAATCCTCACATTATAAGAAAAGAAACTTACAGACCAGTATCTCTTATGAACACACACAAAAAAAATACGTTAATTGAACCGTATATTTAAAATGCTATATCATGCCAAAACCGGTTTGGCTCAGTGGTAGAGTGTTGGTCTGCGGACTGAAAGGTCCCAGGTTCGATTCCGGTCAAGGGCATGTACATTGGTTGCGGGCACATCCCCAGTAGGGGGTGTGCAAGAGGTGGCTGGTCGATGTTTCTCATCGATCTTTCTGGCTCTCTATCTCTCTCCCTTCCTCTCTGTAAAAAATCAATAAAATATATTTTTAAAAAATAATAATAAAAAATAAATAAAATGCTATATCATGACCAAGTGGGATTTATCCCAGAGATCCTATGTTGGTTTAATATTTTTTTCAAAATCAATGAAATTCACTTTGTTAATTAGTGTATGATCACCTCAATTGCTGCAGAAAAAAACGTTTGGCCCTACCCCGTTTTTTGGCTCAGTGAATAGAGCGTCGGCCTGCACACCAAAGGGTCCCAGCTTTGATTCTGGACAAAGGCACATGCCCAGGTTCCAGGCTCCACCCCCATGAAGGAGGAGGCCGATGATGATTTCTCATCATTGATGTTTCTTTCCCTCTCCCTCTTTGAAATCAATAAACATTTTAAAAAACATTTGAGAATTTCAACACCCATTTATAATAAAAGCAGAGTAAACCTGGAATAAAAGAGAATATCAATCTGATTAAGGCATCTGAGAAAAACCTATGCCCAACATTGTAATTAAAGTGAAACATCATTTCCCTGCTGAAATAAGGGTGTCAACCCCTCACCACTTTAATTCAACTTGTTATTAGAGGTCATGGGTGGTGTAATAAGGGAACAAAATACAAGACAAAGATTGGAAAGCAGCCCTAGCTGGTTTGGCTCAGTGGATAGAGCGTTGTCCTGCAGGCTGAAGGGTCCGGGGTTCAGTTCTGTTCAAGGGCACACGCCTGGGTTGCAGGCTCAATACCCAGGGGGCATGCAGGAGGCAGCCAGTTAATGATTCTCATTGTTGATTTTTCTCTCTCTCCCTCTCCCTCTCAATAAAATATTAAAAAAAATTTAAAAAAAGATTGGAAAGAAAGAAGTGAAAACCATGTATTCACAAGTTACATGACTATTTACCTAGGAAAATTGAAGGAATATACAGAAAAAATTCCTAGATCTGTAAGTTCGGCAATGTTGCATAAAGCAAGGTAAAAAATAAAAAGACTTGTTTTGCTATCTATTGTACTATCAACAAACAATTTGAAGATGAAACTTTAGAAACAATTCTGTTTAGAGTAGCATCAAAGAACAAAACAGTTAAAAGAAAGGAGAGAAACATTGGTCAGCTGCTTCCCTCTTGAACCCCAAACCCAGTATGTGCCCCGACACCAAGGATCAAACTGGCCACCTTTCTGTGTACAGGACAGCACCCAACCAACTGAACACACTGGCCAGGAAAAACCTGTGCTGTTAAAATTTAAAATACTGCCGAGAGAAAGTGTAGAAAACAAATTCATGGATTAGAATTCAATGCAGTCCTGAGAGCAAAATCCCAATCACCTGTGTGTGTGGTAAGCAGGGGAAATTGACATTTATTCTGTCATAACAAAATGCAGAGACCCGATATAATCTTTATAAAGCAGTATCAGCACACAGACAAACGGACCTAAGTAGAATTAAAAATATACCTGCACACATACAGTCAATTAATTTCTTTTTGACAAAGGTGCCAAAGCTATTCAATGGGAGCAGAAAATTTTTTCAACAAATGGAACACTTTGTGCTGTCAACAATTAAAAGTAAAAAATGAAATACTACCCTTACCTCACACCACAACAAAATTAATTTGAAATTATCATAGACCTAAATGCCAAAGAAATAAAACACAAAGGCAATACCTTAATGACCTAAGACTGGCAAAGATTTATTAGAAGGCACAAAAAGTTTGTGTTTGGCTCAGTGGATAGAGCGTCGGCCTGCAGACTGAAGGGTCCCAGATTCGATTCTAGACAACAGCATGTACCTTGGTTGCAGGCACATCCCCAGGAGTGGGTGTGCAGGAGGCAGCTGATCGATATTTCTTTCTCATGGATGTTTCTAACAATCCCTCTCCCTTCCTCTCTAAAAAAAATAAAAAGGAAAAAAAAAGAAAAAAAATCACTAAAACGTTTGCTCAAGGCACCTTTAAGAAAATGAAACGGTAAATCACAGACTAGGAGAAGACCTGTGGGATCCATATATATATTTGACAATGGGCTTGTTTCTAGAATAAATCAACTTGTAAATCCATCATGCCAACAAAATACCACTCAGGCAACGAGGAGCAAATGCTTTCACACCAAAAAGAAGTGGCCAACAAGTACATGAGAATGTGCCCAACACCATTAATTACCGAGGCGTTAAAAATTAAAACCGCAATACACCGTTAATCAGACAGACAAACAAAACCCTGGCCGGTGTGTGTTCACTGGTGTGTGTTCAGTGGGTGCGTGTGTAGCGCGGACGCAGGCGGGAAGGCCGCCGGGGAACAGGTGGTGGTTTGCTGCCCAGTTAACACGCCCACACCTGGGGCGGGGGCGGGGCCCCTGCGCGCGCCTTGGTGAAAACTCAGAATTGTACCCTTCGAGTCTGTGCACTCTGTAACCTGAGTTTTACCCCTATCCCAGCCCAACCAAGAAGATGGAATGAAAATCAAAAAAGCAATCGCCGCGGGTGGGAAAAGCGGGAGCTGGGGAGGAAGGACGCGGGCGGGGAGGCGGGGAGGCGGGGAGGCGGGGAGGCGGGGAGGCGGGGAGGCGGGGAGGCGGGGAGGCGGGGAGGCGGGGAGGGCGGGGAGGCGGGGAGGCGGGGAGGCGGGGAGGCGGGGAGGGCGGGGAGGCGGGGGAGGGGGGGGAGGCGGGGAGGCGGGCGGAGGCTGGCCCCGGGGTGGCCCGGCCCCGCGCCGCTGGTTGCGGTTTCAGTTTCCCCGCCCGCGTCCCGGGAAAGCGCCTCCTGCCCGCCGTGCGCCCTGACAGCGGGGCGAAGCGGGGGGAAGCGGGGTGCAGCTGCTGGGGAGGGGTCCCTGGCGGGGGCCGAGCCGCGGGCATGACGGCCGAGGAGCGGCGCAACCTGCACGCCTTCCGCGACTATGTCACCAGGATCCTGGACCCGACCCACGTCCTCAGCTACATGGCGCCCTGGCTCAGGGAGGGTGAGTGGCCCCTCGGGACGTGTTTCCCTCCCGTGGGCTTTGTACCCCCTCTTTCAACCCGGACGGGAGCCCGCTGGGAACGCGGGGTTGGTGCCCAGATCCCCCCAGCACTGTGGACCTGAGCAGTGGTTCCCAACGTGGGGCACACCCCCTCCCCCAGGGGGGCAGTTTGAGTTTTAAGGGGGGCGATTCAAGAAGGAGTTATCAACAGTGAAGTGTTTGCCTTTCTTATGGTTCTCAGGGCCTCCTGGACAGTATATTAATATAGGTTGTGGCATAGGTATGCATCCCCAGGTCTCTATGTTTTGAAACTTTATTTGCTGTGGGTTTTTTTTTCATATCACTTCATATTATTATTACTTTTTAAAAAAACAATTTCTTCCTCAGTACGTCAACTGCTCTTTTGTTCTTTTATTTCTCTCTTTCATGGATGCCATGTTCTTTGGAGGCTTGTTTAGACCAAGTTAAGAGACCAAGCTCACTTTTTGAATAATAAGAATTATATGTCACCGGGTGGAGGGTGGGGGATCATCAGGATTTTAGAGATGCTTAGGTGGGGCGTGGCCAAGAAAGGTTGGGAGCCACTGGACTAGAGATGGTCAGAGTTTGAGGCTGACCTTGAGGACCCGCCTGGGGAAACTGAGTCTCGGTGAGGTGAAATGTCTGACTTAGGGGTTCATACCTATTTAAAATCAAAGCTGGAGAAACAAGGCGCTGTGCATTTATTTCTGTTAGTAGTTATGTCTACTATTGTGTGCTGACATCGGCAATTCAGAAATAAGATACAGGCCCTGCCTGTAAATATTGTACTTTACAGCCCACGGTGCTGGGGGTGGGACGTGGGTGAGGACAGATGTACACAAATGATTACAAAACACTGTCAGAGCTGCAAAAAAGTTCATGCTGACTCTGCAGGTCACTTCCAAAATATGGAAATGTGAGAGGAGGGGTGGACTGAATGGCTTCAGGCTTTTTAATTCAGGTGTTTCAGCTTTTGATACATACGATGGTGGATAATGGCCATTAGGTACAGTTATATTGAAATGCTTTTTTTTTTTATACTTCATGATATATTTTATTTATTTTTACAGCGAATAATGTGGTTGTTGTTTTTTTTACTGATCTTTTTTTTCTTTGTTGATTAAGGTATTACATATGTGTCCTTATGCCCCTGTTCCCCGCGCACACACACACACATCCCTTTTTGAAGTGCTTTGTGCTGGAGGTAAAGCACAAGCTTTGGGAAACAGAAGGGAATTGAGATGAGAGAGTGGATCTGGCAATTTCTTTTCAGACTCCAAGTGCCTAAATGCCTTTCCTGATGTGAGTCAGTTTTTGGAAATTGCATTAAAGCAGTTGGATAACTTTTCTGCTAGTTGTCTGCAAAACCAAACCACAGGCTGTGGAGGGAGGAGTGAAAGCAAACCACCAGCAGTGAACCTCCACTTTCTAGTTGTGCTCGGAGTGAAGTCACAAAATAACATCCTAGTGACCTCAGAGTAGCTTTCACTGTATACGTATTTGAAAGACTATAAGCCCATGCAAGACATTCTTTCAGAATTTCCTGGAATGGGTGAAGCACTAACTCAGGGGTCTTCAAACTACGGCCCGCGGCCACATGCGGCCCGCAGAGGAGTCTGATCTGGCCCGCCAGGTTTTTTGGGCAGTGAACGCAGCCGAGGTGTTACAGTAGGAATTAGTATTGAGTCGGCAACTAAGTAATTGCGGGGTTTTTAAAGAAAATCAAAGACAATTTTTTCATGGAACTTTAGTTGCCGACCCAATACTAATTCCTACTGTAACACCTCGGCTGCGCTCACTGCCCAAAAAACCTGGCGGGCCGATCAGACTCCTCTGCGGGCCGCATGTGGCCCGCGGGCCGTAGTTTGAAGACCCCTGTTAATTTAAGGCTTCGTCACCATAAACACCATAAACAGCACATAACTTTTTATGAGCTTGTGATGCGTTTTTCCCTTTGCGGAAATAAAAAAGCAAAATATGACGAAAATGTTCCTTTTGATTTTCCATTTTTCAACGAACGCCAAACGAAAACTACAAAACAGATCAAAAAACTTTGTTTACTGATTAACAGCTGAATAGCCAACTATCAAATAACAAAATGTGTTTTACATTTGTACTACGTCTGCAAACCTAAAAATTCAACTGAAGCCATATATGTGTGATACCCACAATTACTTAGTTGCCGACCCAATAGTTCATATAGTCCGGCCCCCCAGCTCTCTGAGGGACCGTGATCTGGCCCCCACTTTAAAAAGTTTGAGGACCCCTGCACTAACTGGTGTGGATTCCATTCTTTCATATTGTGTCAGTAAACAAATAACTCATGTGTCAGGCCTTATGCTAGCATTGGGGATAGTTTACCCATATTTCTGCATATTACCTAATAGGAAGCATTATGTCAGGACTAAGAAATTAGTAGTGAACGAGATAGAAATGGTCCCTGCCTTGATTGAGATTGGAGTGCATATGTGAAGGCAGGTAACTAAATAAACAATAAATAATAAAGTGTGGTAACTGCTTTGATGGAAGACCATAGTCTGCTGTGGGAGTGCATAGGTAGGATAGTTTTTAATTCATATGTTAGATTTTTTTACAGTTACAATGCAACCACAATAAAAATAACCAAAGGTAAGTAAAATGTCTTTAAGAACTCTAGCCTGGCCAGTATGGCTCAGTGGTTGAGTGTTGACCTATGAAGCAGGAAGGCACGGTACGATTCCTGGTCAGGACACATGCCTGGGTTGCAAGCTCAATCCCCAGTGTGGGGCCTGCAGAAGGCAACCGATCAATGATTTTCTCTTATCATTGATGCTTCTATATCTCTCTCCCTCTCCCTTACTCTCTGAAATCAATAAAAATATATATTTTTTTAAAAGTAAAACAACAGCAACAACAAAAAACAAACTGAAGAATACTTGTATATTATCTTCATTTTGAATGTTAAAGGTACCATAGAGGCTTTATTTCAAGTCCCTCACCAGAGGCAACTTTCATCATTTAGTTGGTTTAAATCTTTACTGTTCATTTCTTTTTTTAAATTATCATTATTATTGAAAGCATTACAGATATTTCCTTTGTGTGTGTGTGTTGTTGTTGTTTTTTTTCCATTGACCTCCTTCACCCCACACCTGCCCCTCCTAGGCCTTCATCAATTATTGTCTGTGTCCATGGGCTATGCATAAGTGCATATAAGTTCCTGGTTAATCTCTTTCCACCCTCCCCACCCCTACAGTTCATATACATGGGTCCGCAAACTTTTTGCTTTCTCCCCAAAGAGTTCCTCTCTCTTGTGCTCTTGCTCGCTCTTGAGCTCTCTTGCTCTTTGACCCACACTTGCCCACCCTGTGGCCTTCAGCATGCGATGGACTGGAGCTGGGAACACAGGCGAAGCTAGCCAGGTGCTGGGTTGGACTGTGTTTGAATATGGAGTGCAGGCTCTGGGCAGTGGCCGTCATTGTAGCTGAAGGCAAGGCTGGACGGTCCCCATGGTGGGAAGGAGGGAACTGGGACGTTGGAAATCCGGGGGTTCAATTCCACAGGAATAAAGATCACTCCTCCTCCCTCGGGAGGCTCAGAAAATTCCTTTCCTTGCAACATCGCGGGAACTCCTCTTCCACGGGCTAGAGGCTCCACAGAGGGCACCCCACCAATAAGACGACGATTAACGGTTCTGCAGTTTGATGGGTCACGCTTGCTTCTCTCTGCAGATGAGGTGCAGTATGTTCAAGCTGAGAAAAACAACAAGGGTGTGACGGAGGCTGCCACACTCTTTCTCAAGTTCCTATTGGGGCTGCAGGAGGAGGGCTGGTTTCGTGGCTTTTTGGATGCTCTTCACCATGCAGGTTTGTTTTTTCTTTTTACTCATGAATCAAAGGATATTACCGGCCCTAACTGGTTTGGCTAGGTGGATAAAGCGTCAGCCTGCAGACTGAGGGGTCCCGGGTTTGATTCCGGCCAAGGGCATGTACCTTGGTTGTGGGCACATCCCCAGTGGGGGGTGTGCAGGAGGCAGCTGATCGATGTTTCTCTCTCATCGATGTTTCTAACTCTCTATCCCTCTCTCTTCCTCTCTGTAAAAAAATAAAAATATATATATTTAAAAAATATATATTACTGGACTGTTTCAGAATGCTTTAAAAGGGAAATGCTATTAATCTTGAGGTGTCCATATATAATTAGTCTTTTTAAAAATGTTTTTATTGATTTTTAGAGAAAGGGGAAGGGAGAGGGATAGAGCTATAGAAACATCATCGATTGGCTGCCTTCTGCATGCCCGCTGCTAGGGATTGGGCCCTCAATCCAGCCATGTGCCTTGACCGGGAATCAAGCCTGTGACCTCTTGGTCCCTGGGTCGACGCTCAGTGCTGAGCCACAGTCTATTTTTTGTCTTTTAAGCTGAGGCAATGTAAAGACTATTTTCAGGCAGATAATATAATTGTCTACCTGAAATATCTAAAGGAGTCTACAGAGTATTGTAAGTAATGGTAAATAATTTAGCAACTTCATTAGATAGAAGATCAGTATACAAAAGTTACTTGCATTTTCACCCACTAGAAACAAATAGAAATATCATTTATAAATAGTAACAAAGATTAGTATGTATTTAGGAACAAACTCAGCGAAAGGTGGGTGAAGTCTGAATGGAGAACATGTTAAAATGTTATTGAAAGTTATTAAAGAAGTCCTAGCTAAATGGAGATACAGACCCATGCATATGAAGAAGATGAACTTGACATAAAAATGTCATCTCTGCCTATATTGACCTATATATTCAATACAATTCTAGTAAAAATCTTACGTGCTTTTTCAGGAGTTTAACAAGTTGACTCTAAAATGTATTTGAAAAAATTATGACCCAAGAACTATGAACAACTCTCTAAAGAAGAATTAAAATAGTCTGGGGTTTTCCCTTCAAGATAACAAGTTTTATTGTAAATTCGTAGGCATTGAGACAGTGTAACTGTTCCTAGAACCAACTAGCTGACCAATGAAATAGAATAGAGTCTTCAATTAGGCTCATGTGTTTATGGAAACCTGCTATAGATCTCTGGGAAAGGAGGATCATTAGGAAAGAAGGGGCTTTTGGATTAATTACAATGGACCATTATAAACAGGATAGTTTAAAGAGGAAAAGATTAAAAACCAAACAAACCTTAAGTTTCCTACCCATGCAGATACAAATCAATTTGTGTTCCTTAATTCATTCCATTCATATATATACACACACAATATGATTTCAAAAGAATTAAAGATTTAATTCTAAAAGGTAAAATTTTTACCATTTTACAAAAGAATATAGGATCATATTTTTATGCCCTTGGATTATGGTAAGATTTCTGAAACAAGATCATTCAAACATTAGCCATAAAAAGAAAGACTGATATGTTTGATGATATTAATATAAAGAGCATTCATTTGTCAAAACACACTATAAAGAAAGTGAAAAAAGCAGATTGAGAGAAGATAATCTGCAAAATACATTACGATCAAAGAATTAATATATAGGTTTTAAAATCAATTAGGGAAAGAAAGAAAACTTCCGCCCTGGCCAGTGTGGCTCAGTTGGTTGTAATGTCCTTTGCACCGAAGGGCTGTGGGTTCAGTGCCTGGTCAGGGCACAAACCCATGGTTGTATCCCTGGTTGGGGTGTGTATGGGAAGCAACCAATCGATGTTTCTGTGTTACATCGATTTTTCTCTCTTTATCCTCCCTTCCTCTCTCTCTAAAGATAATTATTTATTGTAAATTAATTAATTAAGTAATACTTATTGTAAATTAGGAACATAATGAGGTGACATTTTATAACAAGTAGATAGCCAAACTGAAGAAGTCCAACAGTGTTAAGGCTAGAAGAGGACATTTAGTAACAGGTAATCTTAGCTATCACCTTACAACCCTGGCCGGTGTGGCTCAGTTGGTTGTGCGTTGTCCCATGCTCCAAAAGCTTGCCGGTTTGATTTCTGGTCAAGGCACATGCCTGGGTTGCAGGCTCAATCCCCAATAGGGGGCAGCCAATGGATGTTTCTCACTCTCTGCCTGTCCCTTCCTCTCTCTAACATCAATAAAAACATATTTAAATGGAAAAAAAAAATCCAGAGTGTAACTTCATAAAACTATTTGGAAAAACAATTTGACATAGTTCAACTCCCATGAATCCTATTGAACTGTTTTACTCTTAGGTATGTACCCTAAAAAAAAATCTTACACATATATTCCTGAATTCATACGTGAATGCTCATAATATAATTGTTTATATTAACAAAAGCAAGCAAGCAAACAAAAAAAGCAACCTCGAAAAGAGGAGAATGGATAAATTTTAAAATACTTACACTACGGTTGATTATATTGCAACAAAAGATATGAGCAAAGCTACAGACAACAACACATGTGAAGCTTAGAAATGTAATATTAGCCAAAACCAGGTTGGCTCAATGGATAGAGAGCGTTGGCTTGGGGACTGAAGGGTCCCAGGTTCGATTCCGGTCAAGGGCACGTACCTTGGTTGCGGGCATTTCCCCAGTAGAGGGTGTGCAAGAGGCAGCTGATCGATGACTCTCTCTCATCGATGTTTCTAACTCGCTATCTCTCTCCCTTCCTTTCTGTAAAAAATCAATAAAATATATTTATTAAAAAAAAGAAATGTAATATAAATTGTTTTCAAAATAAGAGAAAATTCCATTAAGTAGAATATAATTATAAAGTTCCAAGCAAGCTAAACATTATAAAGTTCCAAGCAAGCTAAACATTATAAAGTTCCAAGCAAGTTACTGTTTAAAGTTACTGTTTAGAGAATCAAAAGATATGTCATGTAGCTACTCAAAAAAATTAAGGGATTGATACATGCAGTTCAGGGTAGGAGTATATTTGAAAGGAGATAGAAAGGTGGGGGGAGGAGGGGAAGAGGCACACACCCACAAACATAGTGGAATTATTCTAGTTCTTAGGTTGTGAATGGATTTACATGTGTTCATTTTGTTGATCTGCTATGTGTATCCTAATAAAAAGGTTGTGGCCTTAAGGTCGGACAAGCCTGGTAATTCTTTAGACAATGTTAGAGTGAAGCCTTCTTGGATTATTACAATTGGAAATAATGTTTCCCCCCCTCAGATGTTCTTATTGTACTTAGTTTTATTTTCTTGGAATAACACAGAAGGTAAGCTCCTGAGGGGCTGGAATTATAATCTATATTTCTGTTTGCCTTTACTAATTTGCACTGACAAGACACTTATCATGATGGCTTGGCTCATTGAAAGATAAATCACGGGTTGTAGGTGGAGTCTATGGATGCACTTCGGAAGGAAGGTTTTAATACTAAGATCGAGTGTAAAATTTCACATTTATCCTCTGTATTTTCTCCCACGATATGATAAATATTGTTAGAAGATCTAAAATGTTTGGTACCTAAAATGAATATCTAGTTTTCTTTTTGAAAGATCATTAGTAACTAAGGAGATATAGATATTTTAAAGTTCTCTCTCTATACATTTAGACATGATTCCTTGATATTAAATAATCTCAAAGTATTTTTTAGTTGATCACATAAAAGCCCCCCAAATTCTCTCTCCCTCCCTTCCCTAACTCCCTCTCTTTCTCTTTTAGGTTATTCTGGACTTTATGAAGCCATTGAAAATTGGGATTTCCACAAAATAGAAAAGTTGGAGGAGCATAGATTGCTTTTAAGGCGGTTGCAACCAGAATTTAAAACCAGAATTAATCCAAATGATATCCTTCCTGAAATATCCGAATGTTTAATTAACCAGGAATGTGAAGAAATTAGACAGGTAATTTAGTTAAAATAAAATTCTGAGTTTGGGGGAAATGATTTGAACATGGAAAATGTTTTCTGTTTTCTATAATGCCTTAGACCTAAGAAAGATCCTGCAATCCACAAAAGTCTTCAAATCTGAGGCATAGTTACCTAGAATAGTAATTTTAATTGTGAATTGAGTAATTTTTATGTCACAGATTTTTTTCAGGTTTGTCCTATTTTCAGTTAAAAAGATTTTTATTGCATTCTGAATAATGTTTTATGCAAATGTAAATAAAAGCAACCAGTTTAGCAAATGAAAGAAAGCCATATAATCTAATGGTTAAGTATTCAGACTCTGGACACAAATAAACTTTGTTAGAATCTTAGCTCAACCACTTACTAGTGATATGATTTTAGGCAAATTACGTAGTTTCTCTAAGCCTCTGTTTATTCATTTATAAAGTGGAAATAATAATAGCACCTTATTACTATATTTTTATAAATATTAAATTAGATAACATGTAAAGTGCTTACATATGCCTGGTGCATAATAATAAATGCTCAATAAATTTTAGTTATTATGATTATGATTAATAATAAAAGTCATGTAATTCTCACTACCTTGAAAAACCCATTTGTTAATATTTGGTTATGTCCTTTGAAATATCTTTTTATGCCAATATATCCATATTTTGAATGGCTATTATGTGGGTTGTTTTCCTGATGTTGCTGATGATGATTGAATATAAGCTCTCAGAGGAGGTGAGAATAACTTGGCTTGACAGAGTGGTACAATATGAACAGGACAAGGGCAAAGAAAGGTTTTTAAAAAAAATAAAATTGTGTGGGATGGGGCAAAAATGTTCATGAGTAAGACCTAGTGAACCAAACAATGATTTAAAATGAGATAGCACTTGAGTTGGTATTTCTTCAATAAAAACTCATAAAAGGAAAACTTTGAAATAATTAATCAGTCAACTGCAGTTGTCTTGCTCAGGTTTGTTCCAACAAGGGGCCGATGGCAGGTGCGGAGAAGCTGATTGAGTGCCTTCTCAGATCAGACAAGGAGAACTGGCCCAAACACTTGAAACTCGCTTTGGAAAAAGAAGAGAGCAATTTCAGTGAGCTGTGGATTGTGGAGAAAGGTAGGGTTTGGGAGGAACAGTTCTGACGGGGGAGGGAAGGTCTGAAGACGCGCTCTGCCTTCCTCCTAGTTCTCCTTAGGGCTTCCTTCATTCCTACCCGTTTTCTCACTCGATGTCAGAGGCATTTTCCCCTCCGATACCCATCACTACATCTCTAATGAGAGGCCAGAATGAAATTGAATTCTGGAAGGCAAGAGGCCACTTACCTATAGAAGTAGTTTGGGTGTATACAACCCCTAAATATGGACCAGGGCAAACCGTTCTCATCCAGATATCCCGTCTGGCCCAAAGGATTTGGGGGAGGCAGGCCATCTGGAACTGAACCAGAGCAGGATTGGAAAAAAGAACCTATTGTGATTAAGTAACTGAGTCATCATCTGGTTTCCTGAAGCTAACCTCAAAGCAACATTTTAAAGGCTGAGTTTGGTAAATCCTCTTAGCCTTTTCTGGCTTCTTTAGATCACAAGTTGTTCCCAGAAATCGTGTAAATACACATCTGATTGCTTGGGGAGGCAGGGAAGGAAGACATGAATATCTTCCTTAGTGTGCAAGTGAGCCACCGGGGGTCTTGTTCCGATGCAGATACTGATGCAGTAGGGGTTCAGGAGTCTGCATTTCTAACAAGTTCCTGAAATGGCTGGTCTACGTCCTACACTTTGAATAATAAAGTCCGAAATGACATCAGAGTTCAAACTCCAAATTGAGATAGCAAACTCGAAAAGATTCTAATTGCCTTTTTTTTTCCTTTTTTTTTTTTTTATTAAATTATTATCTGTGTACATATTTTAACATTACCCTCCCCCCCCATACATACCCTCCCTCCTCAGAGTTTTGTGTCCATTGGTTGTACTAGATTCTAATTGTCTTAAAGATGGCAGTCGTGCTTGTGAGAAATCTTAATGGGAGTTTACAATTTTAGTATTTTGACCTCATTTGAGGCTTTCACAATCGAGACTGGAATCGGATTGTGTAAAGATTCTAAGGTGCTCTTTGGTCTCATAAAGGTGCAAAAGAGGAAACGAAAGAGCTTGAGGATGAGGAAGTGGAAACTTCGGACATACAGATTTTCTACAAGGAGGAACCGGAATGCCAGAATCTTAGTCAGAATGCATGTCCACCTTCAGGTACCCAGCACTGTTTTTTCTCTTCCACATGTTGCTCTTCAACTATTTTGTGTGGGGACACGTTTTCAGTACCGAAGTCACAGCCTTATGAAAAGTTTTTAAAGGGAAAGTAATAAAGAAAAGAGAATTTTTACATGACAAGAAATACTTTTTTCTATGGTTAGGAAATCAGTTGTCAACTTTCCTCTTCTATTTTTTTCTTTTTGGTCTTCTTTTATCACTAAGAAAATATAGGCATCACTACATTGAAAATGCAAATAATCCTCCCAAAAACTCAATGTCCATGAGCTCCTGCTTTCACAGACAGGATTTAAAACATCAGCCCTGCTTTCTAACGAAATATTTCTACTCTTTGGGAGTCATGTGCCCTCTTTCCTTCTAAGATCCCAGGGCTGCAGGGTGAGTTGATGAAGTTTGTGCGCTGCCCATGTGTATGCCGCTGAGGGTTGAGGGGGTTGAGATCCAGCTTGTGCTGTTTGTCAAACAGTATGTTGAGGGGGCCCTGTCCTCTGAGCGGAGAGTTTTTTCTCACTCATACAAAGGCCTGGTATGAGTTACCTGTGGCTGTAGAAGGCCCATCTTATTATTTTCACGAGACCAGAAAGTTGCATAATAAGCCATAGTCAAAAGTTATTGGGGAAAATTATGATATACATGAGTAGTGTTAGCAGAAAGATGTGATTTGGGGATAACACCATGAGAAGCAAATTTATAGATTACTTTTGCAACTGAATGATTCAAGTTTTTGGTCATTCCAAAATAAAATCAATGGCTATCAGTTGCTTTCAACTTTTCTGACATGTGAAAGGTCCTTAGCGAACTCTCTTAACCTTTTAGAAAGTCTTCTTTTCTTTCAAATGGATATTTTGGACTCAATAGATGATTTTCAAGGTATTTGTGGCTCTCGACCTATTTCCATTTGCTTATCTATTACTGATATAAAGCCTCTGATTGTTTTTTAAAACTCTTGTTCTTGCCCACTGGTATGGCTCAGTGGTTGAGCGTTGACCTGTAAACCAAGAGGTCACGGTTTGATTCTGGTCAGGGCACATGCCCAGATTGTGGGTTCAGTCCTTAGTGGGGGGTGTGCAGGAGGCAGCCAGCCAATGATTCTTTTTTAAAAAAATAATACATTCTTTTAAAAAAATATATATTTTATTGATTTTTTTTATAGAGGGGAAGACAGAGGGATAGAGAGTTAAAAACATTGACGAGAGAGAATCATCGATCAGCTGCCTCTTGCACAGCCCCACTGGGGATGTGCCCGCAACCAAGGTACATGCCCTTGACTGGGATCGAACTTGGGACCTTTCAGTCCACAGGCTGATGCTCTATCCACTGAGCCAAACAGGTTTCGGCCAATGATTCTTTTTCATCATTGATGTTTCTATCTCCCTATCCCTTCCTCTCTGAAATTAATAAAAATTTATATTAAAAACATAACAACAAAAAAACTCCCTTTAGCCGAGACCGGTTTGGCTCAATGGATAGAGCATCGGCTTGGGGACTGAAAGGTCCCGGGTTCGATTCCGGTCAAGGGCATGTACCTTGGTTGCGGGCGCGTCCCCGGTGGGGGGTGTGCAGGAGGCAGCTGGTCGATGACTCTGTCTCATCGATGTTTCTGGCTCTCTATCTCTCTCCCTTCCTCTCTGTACAAAATCAATAAAAAATATATATATTAAAAAAAAAACTCCCTTTATAACTCTGTAAACATTCCTGATTGCAGGGATATCGAATGTGCCTTCCTGACCCAAAGGATGGCCAGTCTATTTCACACATCTTTCTTTTTTTAAAAATATATTTTATTGATTTTTTTTACAGAGAGGAAGGGAGAGGGATAGAGAGCTAGAAATGTCGATGAGAGAGAAACATCGACCAGCTGCCTCCTGCACACCCCCTACTGGGGATGTGCCCGCAACCAATGTACATGCCCTTGACCGGAATTGAACCCGGGACCCTTCAGTCCCCAGACCGACGCTCTACCACTGAGCCAAACCGGCTTCGGCCACACATCTTTCTTAACTTCCAGGGAACTAAGTTCACCCCATTGTCCCCAGTAAGACTTTTCTTAAAATTCTTTAACGCACATTCTAAAACAGTGGGTTTTGGAGGAACTGCTTCCCATATTTGCAGTTCAACCGTGTAATTCCTCCCAGTTAACAGACACAGGACAAGCACAAGGTAACTTTTGCTTCACACAAACTCTCACATCCACAGTCACACACCAGTCAGTCTGGGCTTTGACTTCCACTCACTGGAAATCCCTGAACTGAGGCAAATATTTTGCCTAACTGGTGATCAGCCACTTCTGTCCCGAAAGTCAGGGCTGAATTCAGATTGGTCCCCCGCGGGGAAAACTCACCAGTCAGACGTCTGGTTCCAGAAAAGTCTTTTTTTGTCCCACTGGGGTGCCAGTGGGGGTCCCAGTCGTCCAGGCCAGTGAGGCCTGGAATCCAGTAAATCACTGGAGGAACGCCTTTCCCGTCCTGGGGGTGGGGTGGGGGTGCGGGAGGAATGGATGGCCATCGGCCTTTACCAGCGGTGCCCTAAGTAGGCAGCACGACTGCGATTAATGTTGCAGATAATCTGCCAGGAAGCGCAGGAGAATTAATCAGCCGGGCCCTAAGATGATATTCAGAAAAATAACCTTTATTTCCAATGATTCGGGGAGTCAGTCTCCAAATCCTGAGTGATGAATGTGGACGAAGCTTTCCCTTTATACCCTTTAGTTTCTTTGTCCCCCAAATATGGATCAGGCTTCCGGACTTTGCACTGGCCTTGCAGCCCCCTGTGAGCCGGGATGGGGGCAGTGAGGTGACACTCAGAGGCCTGTCTGGCGCCAGCACTGCCAAACCTCTCGGGGGGTTGTATAGGGTTCACGGCTGATGACCTCGGTAAGAGGGGAGTATTCCGGGAAACAGGTTCTGCGAGGAGGGACAGGCCTCACAGATAGAATGGAGCTTATCGGCAAGCAAGAGCGTGCGTCAGCATGTAGGCCCCTGGCACAGACTCAGATAGCTAGCCTCCCACATGCCTTAGTTTTCCCTTCACTTTTGAGAGAAAATAGCACGTGAGAGCCTTCAGAATTGCAAAGCATGACTGCTCTTCAATAAGAGGTTGTTGCCGAAACCGGTTTGGCTCAGTGGATAGAGCGTCGGTCTGCTGACTGTAAGTCCCAGATTCGATTTCTGTCAAGGGCATGTACATTGGTTGTGGGCACATCCCCAGTGGGGGATGTGCAGGAGGCAGCTGGTCGATGTTTCTAGCTCTCTATTCCTCTCTGTAAAAAAAAAATCAATAAAATATATTTTTTTGAAAAATAAGAGGTTGCTTTGAGAATTTAAGATTTAGTGTTTGGTGTTTTGCAAAGATTTCTTGCTGTTTTGTTCCAGGTAGCATTTCCTTTAACGGGTGGGCATCTGTGTTGCCCTGAATTAAGCCATTTGTTATTTTATTTTTCTTCTCGTTTTTGCCATCACTACTTTGTCACTGAGGGGGAATTCTCCACTTCAAATCAGTGGAGGAGCTGGAACATTAAAAACAAGGATTGTAAACGCTCAGACATGAGGCCCTTCTTACCGGAGTTAGCTCCCTGTCTGTCTGACAGTAGATAGCTGTTGCCTTGACCCCTCCGGCAGCAACTCCTTAGTAATTTTGTTCCTTTTGTGTTTCAGAAGTGGCTCATACTCAGAGCCCAATAAAGCCACGAAATTACCAACTAGAGCTCGCTGGTCCTGCTCTAGAAGGAAAAAACACAATCATATGTGCTCCTACTGGTAAGCTGATAGCCAGCACTTAGATGGTTTGCTTCTCTGCTTCCTTTTTTCCTCCTTTATTGAATACTGGGATGAAATGGGCACGTTTTAGTTTTTTCCTTGTTCCATTTTTCTTTTGAGAAAACCGTGTTATTAGTATAGTCTCAAGGTAGGTATTTTCAGGAACCCGAGGGGGAAGAAAAATGCCATTTTTTTCGCTTACTTCAGGGCCTGACTGAGTAAGACAAGTCCTAGGAAGTAGGTTAATATTTGTTAGTCCTGGTGTAAATTCTACCATTGTTCACCCAATCACATTTCCAGTATACTGGTTCTGTTGCAGAAAACCAAAGAAGAACAAAGCAATACCAGAGAGATGGAGTTAGATTTATTGCACGCGTAGGTCCAGAGGAAAATGTCTCTCAAATTCTGGGCTCCAACATGCAGGAATTTTCCCTATTTATATGCTTTTACCTTCTTTGTCTCCCAAATATGGAGTGTTTCCGACCCCTTTTGCAAGTTCTTAAAGAGCCCACATGCGCTGGGCCTTGAGAACTCAACCAGAGGCCTAGCCTGGCACCAGCACTGATAACCTTGTCTGGGGAAGGTTTAATGGCCTCGCTGAAGTGGGAGTAGTCCTAGCAAGCAAGAATTTACAGAAGCCAATTAGCAGGGTTAAAATTTCAAACAGCAGTTTTCATATAAGATGGATGTTTCAGTCTATCCAGTGGTTTTAGGAGAGCCAAAAATAATTACTATTCTACAGAAATATTTTAATATATTAGTGACCTTTCTTTTTCTTTATGTTAAAAGGCTGTGGGAAAACCTTTGTTGCACTTCTCATATGTGAGCATCATCTTCAGAAATTTCCACAAGGACAAAAGGGAAAGGTTGTGTTTTTTGCTAATCAACTCCCAGTGTATGAACAGCAGAAAAACGTCTTCTTAAAACATTTTGAAAGATATGGGTAAGTATAACAGTTGTTCCAACTTGTTTTTCTCTAGCTTTATGTAACTTGGGGTGCTTTCCGCTTTGGTTTGGTTTTGGAAAACCATGATTCAAAAAATTCATAGTAGATTGAGCTTTTATAAAATCTAGATGTAACTCCTTCAGGATTCAAGTCTGTTTTGTTAGCTATACCGGAAATCCTAAGTAAATGACTTAAGAGATACATTTTACGTTTAACTGGCACATTTAACTTTTTAATGATTTTATGATTTATTTAGTGTGACTATTTAAGTCAGTGGTTCTCAACCTTCCTAATGCCATGACTGTTGTGGGGTCGAACCCTGGGTTCAAAATAAGACCTCCAGAGGCTGATGATTTATTAAAAAAAAAAGCAGGCAAGAATTTGTTGAACTGGCCAGAGCAGCCACAAGAGTACCACATGCAGGCAGACCCTACACGACTGAGCCACTTTAGGGGCAGGTAGTTATTTTTAAAGGTTCTGAGAAGGAAAACCCCCATTCTGCAACAAATTGTTTGGAATTTTCTGCTGTTCTTTCTAGATAAAATGTTGCTTTCTAGTTTGCTTTAGCCCGTTTGAAGAATGATGAAGATAAACTTAGCTGTCTGACCTTACAGGCCAGAGACCAGATATGCCCATAATCTCAATACCATGTCAGGTGCACTTTTTTTTTTAATTGGATAGAACAGCATTGTTTTTCAAGGCCAGCATCGAGATAACCACTAAGTGTACATAGGGCTGGCTCTTTAATGAAAAAGAAAGTTCTGCCTGTAACCTTGCCCAGAACTTGAATTCATCCTATTTCAATGACCCTTTACTATGTTTCCTGCAATACTCCCATTTTACAGAGGTCATGTTGTGGTGTCCCCAACCATAAAATTATTTTCGTTGCCACTTCATAACTGTAATTTTGCTACTGTTAATGAATCGTAATGTAAATATCTGATAGGCGACCCCTATGAAAGGGTCATTCGACCCCCAAAGGGGTCGAGACCCACAGGTTGACAACCACTGCTCTAAGTACTAGTTTCTTAGTGGCTTAGTATATGCTCCTGGCCATTTTAACTAGCTTGCATTTATTGATCACTTCCTATGTGCTAAGCACTTGTCTCCTTTTTGACTTAGGGAGGACGCAGTCAATTAACGTTCTGATCTAGTGTTTCAGATCTCTGTGGGTTTCTCACTCACACCGAGGTTGGTAACAGGCAGCTTATGTCATTCCCAGGTACAAAATTGCCGGCATTTCTGGAGCCATGGTTGAGAATATCTCAGTGGAACAGATTGTTGAGAACAATGACATCATCATTTTAACGCCACAGATTCTTGTGAACGGCCTTAAAAACAGGACTATTCCATCACTCTCTGTCTTTACTTTGATGATCTTTGATGAATGCCACAACACCAGCAAGCGCCATCCTTACAACGTGATCATGTTCCATTATCTAGATCAGAAGCTTGGAGGATCTTCAGACCCACTGCCCCAGGTATCTGCAAAGTCATGGATTCCTTGGCAAAGCTGTCACCTTCCTAAATGATTTACTCTTTTTTAAAAATATATACTTTCATTGATTTCAGAGACGAAGGGAGAGGGAGAGAGAGAGAGAAACACAAGTGATGAGAGAGAATCATTGATCAACTGGCCTCCTGCACGCCCCACACTGGGGATTGAGCACGCAACCCAGGCATGTGCCCTGCCTGACCGGGAATTGAATTGTGACCTCCTGGTTCATACATAGATGGATGCTCAACCACTGAGCTACATATACCAGGATTGACTTACTGTTATATAGAAGGGAGCTGCCTGTCCATGGACACACAGCCAGGGTGACATGGGAGGGTGTTCGATTTCAGCCCTTTTCCTCTCAGTGTGCTGTTCCACTCATCACGGGGGGCATGCGGGGAAAGAAGAAAGAAGCCCTGCCTGGAAGGGTTTCCTCTCTTCGTATCTGTGCCGATTTGTGTTCAACTCATGAGTTGTGACTTCCGCATTTATCCCGTGCTTTGCTTGAGGAGGACCTGTCTGTTTGTACCGTCAGAGAGAGTTTCAGGGGAAACATGCCCCTGCTCTGTATTGGGAGTCAGGGGGGTGGTGCGGGAGCAGGAGGGAGCTCCGGGGGTGGGGAGGGGGGACCTGAGGAAATGCCGTGCCCTCCCCGGACAGCTAACGGCTTGGCGGGCTCCTCACAGGTCATTGGGCTGACGGCCTCGGTGGGCGTCGGGGATGCCAAGAACACAACGGAAGCCATGGAGTATATCTGCAAGCTGTGTGCGTCTCTGGACACTTCCGTGCTGGCAACAGTCAGAGACAACGTGGAGGAACTGAAGGAGATCGTTTATAAGCCCCAGAAGTGTAAGTGGGACCCAGGAACGAGCCCTGTAGACTCTGTTATCCTCTGCTATTCCTTGTTCAGAGCCATGTGAATGGACACTAAAGTTTTACCCTTTCTCTGTTTGGTAAAAACTATTTAACCCCAAACTTGGGAAATAGTCACGTTTCTGGCCTCTCTCCTCGACGGAGCTCTCTGCCCAAGCAGAGAGGAACCTCAGGAATGGCCTGTAGGAAGCAAACTGTCTGACTTCATTTCCATAAAACTCTTACACAGAGATCCATGGGAGGGGAAGGCGATGAGAAAATCTAAGCATGTCAATGGCCAAGACCCGGCTCAGTCCTTCCCGGTGTCCGTGCCTGAGGAGGATATCGTGTGGTCATTTATTATTTCTATGTTTATCTGATAGTTTAGGTTGAAATTATCTGAGTTCATCAGACCTTACCTCTAAAGATGAGAAAATGATTTTTATAAGATGGACTAGCAAATGTTTATTGGATGCCAATGCAATACTGTTCAGCAAGGGAGAGGGGGGGAGAGGAAATACACATGATTTCATCCTTGCTCTCTGAACAGCATATGACTGTACAAGGCAGAGCAGACAGACATGAAATAGGGAGGGAGCAGTTAACGTTTCTTTCTGGGAGCTGCCTGTCTGAACTTTTTCGTATCAAGTACATGTTTATTCATAACCCGGTCCCTCCTGCCCTCAGCTTCCTCTCCTTCCACTGCATTCCTGCGGGCTCCTCACCTGTGTCAGATGCCTTTTCTCTCTAACTTTGGTCCATGCTCTGTTTTGTACACGATTGCGTTTGCTTCCTCCTTTCCTCTTCCCCGGCGTGTCCCACACCTCTGTCTCCCTCGGAAGAATTTGGGGTTCTTTTCCCTGTGCTCCGTGACACGTGTGCATACTGTGTTACCACACTCAGCTGTGGTTGTTTGGCTGCGTATCGTTCTGTCCCCTAAGAGCACAGACCTCTCTGGAGCACGGAGTGAGTTCTTTTCAACTGTCTGTCACCACAATACGGCACATGACGGGCAGTGAATGCATTTCTGCGGAAACAGTGCAATAATGAATGTCAGGAACAGTGCACCCTGTCCTGGGGGTTGTGTGGGAAGGGATCAAAGAACAGAGACAGACTTAAAACGCATGGCGTTTGCAGAGACAAGCTGGACACCAGCCTTCTCAGAGCAGGGGCCCTGTGCTGAGTAGCAGGAAAGCCAGAGTGAGAATTGGATTAGGCCCCGAGCACAGCAGACACGTCAGCAGGAGGGATCTGTTGCAGGTTTCTGAGTGTTTGTTGGATCACCTCGGTGAGTTGCCTGTGGGCTTGGGAGCTCAGAAGAAATAATAACAGGAGAGAAAGGTTTGGGGGTGCCTTCTTTAAACTCTGGCATAAGCTTCCAGAAAAATACTCACTTTCCTTTGGTGGCTCTAGTTTTCAGGAAAGTGAAATCACGGACCAACAACAGATTTAAAAGCGTCATCTCTGAGCTGATGAGGGAGACAGAGAGCCTGGCAAAGAGCGTCTTTGGTGAACTCGGTACCGTAAGTCTCGGTGAGATAAATTTCACTTCCCGTCCTCTCATTTGGGAACAGCCACATGTTGTTCACTAGTATTTGCAGTCTCCTTAGTTCAGACAATGTCAAGACCCTATCCAGAGGTTGACTTTCTTTCTTTTTTTTTTTTTTTTTTTTGAGGTTGACTGACTTGATTATAGGTTATTAAAGAACCTCCCAAGACCTCCTTCATTTTCTATTGCCTCTTCCCCCCTTTGTAAGTCCAAAGTAAATGCAGGACACACACACACACCTGAAATATAGTACATATAAATCAGTCCATGGCTTTTTTGACCTTCCAAGGTAGCTTTCTGTCCTGACTTCCTATTGCAGGAATGAAACCACCATTCCTCTGATGGCTCAGATTCAAGCCTAGAGGTGACCTTTGACCTTTCTTCTTTTGAGACTCTCATGAAGTCACCAAGTTCAGTTCTTGTCTCTTTTATCCACTCATTCATTCGCCACAGAGTTATTGTACTGGGAACTGTGGTAGAGATGGAAACAGCAAGATTGAAGATATGGTCCCCACCCTCGGGAGCTCACCGTGAAACCGTGAGAATCAGATGCGAGTGGTTTCCATGGGACCGGGCGGCGACACGCTGGGTGCCATGGGTGCACATGGAACTGGGCCGGGCTGCCAGGAAGGCTTCCTGGGACAGATCTGGGAGTCAGCCACGTTAAGGAGAGACAGTTAGGTGAGATCGAAAGGCATTAGGCATAGAAGGAAGGGAGAGCGCAGTGCGTTTTAGGAAGTGCAAGCATTTCATGATAATTATATATATTATATATTTTCTCATGATAATGTTAACGTGTGAGTAAGGAGTGAGGCTAAAGGGAGAGGCAGTGGGTAGACGGGGAAGGGGCTGGTAGGCCAAGCTGAGTTTAAATTGTACCCTGAAAGCAGTGGGAAGCAACTGAGGATTTTGACGAGATAAGGGCGCCAGTGAAGGAAGAGGGCCGGAGGCTGTGGACCTGGCGTGGTGAAGGGAGGAGGCTAGTGCAAAGCACTGCAAACAGGAAGTCTCAGACTTAATGGCTGACTGGATTTGGGAGGGAGTGTGGGAGAGGGGGAAGGAAGAGGGAGATTTCCCTGCAGGCTTCTCGCTTGGGCACCTGTGCATATGCCTCTGCGTGGTGCTGGTTCTAGAACTAGGGGCAGCTCTGGCAGGTACAGGGTGAGTTGGGAGTTAACTGAATTTCTAATGTCTGCAAGATATCTCATGGTGCTGCCTTCTCTCACACTTGTTCTAACTTCTCTTTCCTTTTACAGCTTGATTTAGGGCTTAGTCTAATAGCTTTCTAGCTGGTTTGCCCGCTTCACTCTTTTTTTCCATCCATTTCCCTCCCCCATTGCCTGGCTAGTCTTCCTAAAGTACAGGGTCCTGTGTGAATCCCTTTGCTTACAGGCAAAGCCCTCCAGGTCTCTGCCTTAACAGTCTGAGTCCTGCCTGCATAACCCGGCTCTACTTCTCTCCACTCTTACCTTCCACTCCTTCCCCGACGACATTTTTGGGTTTAGCCTTGAACATGCTCATTCACGCGTGTGTTCATTCATTCTGTGTTGGCAAGGTGCCGGCTGATGGGAATACGCTGTGGACCCTGAGACACAGCCCCTGCGTTCATGGCATTTCCAGTGTAACAGTACAGCCAGAATTAGGAAGTAATAAAAATAAAGCAGCTTACGTAGGGGGTGAGTGGGAGGGTGGCGGGCTCAGGGTGTTTCAGGCAGAGGGAACAGCATGGACGGAGGCCGGGAAAGCAGTGTGAGGACTCACCTCAGCCCTGTAAATGCAGGGAGGGGAGTGTAGAGATGGGGATCAGAAGCAAGCAGGGCGGGGCCACCGAGGACCTGTGGGAAGCAGCGGGATAGCAGTTTCTCACCTTCAGTTTGAAAACTCCCTCTAACTGCTGAGTGAGGAAAGGATTGCAGGGAATACGGGGAGAAGCAGGGAGACCAGTTAGGAGGCCATGATATCATCCAGGGGCATTATGACATGGTCTGACCTGGGGAGGGGGCAGAAGGGTACGGGGACTTGAATTTCTACCTTCTTATTCCAACCTCCTCCTTTTCGCCAGTCCACATCCTGTCAGCTGTTCATTTCTGGATTGCTTAGCTAGTTTTTTTCACTAGACTTTATTTTTTAGAGCAGTTGTAGGTTCTTAGCATCATGGAGCAGAACGTGCAGAGTTCCCCATATGCCTGCCTGGCCCCAGCCTTGCTTGTTTCCCTGCCTCCCCAAATTCAGCAAATACTTGTTGATTCATGTCGTTGACTGCTGGCCGCCTCGTTTGTAGCTGGCCTGGGAAAGAAGCATGTCAAGGCCACTTGTCTCAGAAGCTTCCTTTGTTCCTTTTACTTAAAAAGAGGAACGTCTTAGCCCAGAAACAGAGCTCTCCCTGTGAATTTCATCGGACTGGGCTCTTCCCCGGGAGCCCTGCAGAACTGACTGTCCCTAGAGCCTCTCGCAGCCTGAGCTGCTGGGGGGCAGGGCCGGGTCTCCCTCCTCCACGACTGGCCCCGGTTCAGAGCCGGGGCTGCAGGGCCCTGCCCCCTCTGCGTGCAGAATAAGAAAGAAAATGAGAGGGGAAGGCAGGCTTAGAACCTGAAGCGACTGACCTATGACACCATGAAAACCTTTTTCTTTCCAGAAACCTTGTCTCAGATTCAAAACAGGGATTTTGGAACACAGAGGTATGAGCAGTGGATCATGACGTTTCAGAAAAAGTGCTCGGTGCTGAGGCTGCAGGACAAAGACAAGGAGAGCAGGATCTGCAGAGCGCTGTTTTTGTACACGTCACATCTGCGGGTAAGCCTCTGCTTTGGAAAGTCGTATTTTATTTTATTTTTTACTTATTGATTAGAGAGAGACAGACATTGAGTTGTTGTTCCACTTATGCATTCTTTTTTGGATGTGCCCTGACCTGGGATCAAACCCACAACCTCGGCATATTGGAACGATTCTCTAACCAACTGAGCTACCCGGCCAGGGCTGGTCAGGCCTGTCTTGGTTTAGCACCTGCTGGGAGCTGTGCTGTAGCAGCTGAGGGAACACCAACTTTTCATCCTGTCCCCACAGCTCACTTAGGAACTTTCCGTAAGATTCTTATGGAGCAAACTCCAAAGATGATCTCATTCAGCATCGTCTTTGTCTGCTTTCTGAACTTAACTCTGGCGGCAGTAGGATGGGCCTCCAGCATTCCCATGGCTGACTTTCCTAACCTGATTCACGGTTAGGAAAGGTTGGGTGAGGAAGAACGTTACTGCAGATGGATGACTGGTGACGGCCATCCTTAAAGTTCAGTATGGGACTCCCGTTGCCCTATCCTGAAACATGTTTTCTTACCTTGGATAGAGCCACATGCACACAGGAAGATATGGATATTTTAGGACATATCCAGCCACTTTGCATTTATAGAATTTTAATGAACTTAATATTTGGTGTAGGTGGTCAGCGCCATCATTCTAAGCGGGTGCTGTCCCCATTCAGTGATGAGTTTAGATGTACAAAGAGATTGAGTTGAATATCTGAATTTTGAGGCAGATTGATATGGAAGTTGACTTGCTTTTTTTTTTTTTTTTTTTTTTAAGCCTTTGACATGCATTTTTCTTATAATTTTCTCTTCCAAGGCAGACCTCTAGACTCCAAAGTGATCCTAATTAGTTATTGATCCTAGCTAACTGAGATTTTTTGAAAACAGTATTTGATTCCGAGATTTTACTAAGTACCATAAGGGACTGTTCATTTTTCAAAAAACTAAGTTGGAACAGATTTGAGAAAAGTTTATTCTTAAAATTAATTTCATGCCAAGTTATAGCTCGTTGAACTTCAGTACAGCAGATGTGTTGGACATTAGAAATACATTGAAACTCCGTTTTCTTCTTAAACAGATACTTAACGATGCCCTCATTATCAATGAGCACGCACGGACGAAAGATGCTCTGGAGTACTTGAAAGGCTTCTTCAACAACGTCCGCACAGCCGGGTTCGATGAGATAGAGCAGGGCCTCACTCGGAGATTTGAAGGTGGGTGGTATTTCTGGAGGAGGAAGCCCCGCAGCCTGGTGACTCCAGGGATAGCATGATGGCACGGCATTGCAGTTAGCAGCTGGTGATGCTCAGGCACAGTGTGTCCTGGGCTTACGCAGATGGCCGGACCACTGAGCTTCAGTGAAACCCGGTCCTAATGGAAAGAACCTGCGGCTCACCCTAGTTCCAGTTTTGAAGAAGGAAAAATAGTAGGATTTGCAAAGGATATATTTCATGGAAATAGTTAATAGTAGCACATTTTTATTTTACTTTCAGTAATTTTGTAAAGGTTTACAAACTACAAAAAAAATTGCTTTAATGATATTAAAAATACTGTAATTTATTTATACTTCTATGTAAAGAAGAAAACCACAATGGTCCATAATCCCATATCCCTCATATTAAGGAAAATATAGGAAGATCTGAAATGAAAAGTAAGGCTTCCTTCTCCTTCTCGCCAATTTCCCCCCAAAATTGCTATTAATAATTAGGGGGGAGGCTATACTGAAGTACTTATGTACACATATGTGTAACCGAGTGATGTGCTGCTAAACATTGAACAAGCAGCTCTCTGGGGGGAGGGGGGAAACAAAATACATGCATTTGTTGGTGTATTTAATGTATGCATTCAATTGGTGGTTTTCACTTACACAATTCTGGTCAGATTAAGAGATTAACTGGACTATAGCTGAAGGTCCCAGTGTGTTCTAAATTTCTAGAATTTATGAGTCGTTTACAAAACGTTCTCCTTTTGCAGAAAGGTTGCAAGAACTAGAGAGCATTTCTGTGGATCCCAGCAACGAGAACCCTAAACTGAAGGACCTCTGCTTCATCTTGCAAGAGGAGTACCACCTAAACCCAGAGACCAGAACCATTCTCTTCGTGAAAACCAGAGGACTGGTGGATGTAAGCTTCTTCCTCCTTATGGATAACGAACGGAGCAGTACCATTTTATTGAAAAGATTGTCTTCTCTTTACTTCACTGTTGTAGTTACTCTAGTTTATAGAGATGTCTTGATTCCTTTATATGTTTTTTAATTATTGTATAGAATTCAATTCCAAGAAGCAGTTTTCTTAGATTTATCAATCTGAAAACTGTCTGTGTACCAGCTTAACGTGTTTTTTTCTTCTTGCATATACTTCAGTATTGAATTAATACAGATGGCATACAAATAGGGCATAACGGATAATTGATTTTTGTTTTCAGGCTTTAAAGAAATGGATTGAGGAAAATTCTAAACTCACCTTTCTAAAACCTGAGATATTGACTGGACGTGGCAAAACAACTAAGGACAGAGGTATTTATATATGGTATACTTCATATAAGAATATATGTAATCTATTGAATATTTTTTTATGTTTGTATCAGGGTTCAACTAAAGAAGCAAAACCAGTAGATTATACATACATATATATATATATATATATATATATATATATATATATATATATATATATATCTCCTATCTAATAAAAGAGTAATATGCAAATCGACATCACTCCAACACACAAGATGGCTGCCCCCATGTGGACACAAGATGGCCACCACAAAATAGCCAGCAGGGGAGGGTAGTTGGGAGGTGATCAAGCCTGCAGGGGAGGGCAGTTAGGGGTGACCAGACCAGCAGAGGAGGCAAGTTGGGGGCAACCGGGCCTGCAGGGAAGGGCAGTTGGATAGGGATCCAGGCCTGGGGGACAGCAATTAGGGGCAATCAGGCTGGCAGGGGGATAATTCGGCATCAATCAGGCTGGCAGGGGAGTGGTTAGGGAGTGATCAGGCTGGCGGGCAAAAGCAGTTAGGGGCAATCAGAAAGGCAGGCAGGCAAGCAGTTGGGAGCCAGCAAGCCTGCATTGTGAGAAGGATCCCAGATTGGAGAGGGTACAGGCTGGGCTGAGGGACACACATCCCCTCACCCCCATGCATGAATTTCATACACACACACATTTATTACGAGGTACTGGCATGCACAATTGTACTGGTAAAATAAGTCTGAGGTCTACAGGGTAGGTGGTCAGGAGCTGGCTGGAACCCCATAGCCATGAGCTGTTTGTAGTCCCTTATCTCAGGAAACATCTAAGCCCTTTTTAATACTAATACCTAATCAGTATTATTGATTAGGCTACGCCCACCTAGGGTGAAGTCCCTGTTGATTCCCTAATGTCAACTGATTAAGAACTTTAATTACAACTGCAGATTCCACTCGGGACTGTAGTTCAGCTTAGCCAAGTTGACATATCAAAAGGCCATCACATGCTCACATGCTAGAAAGTTGCAGACACTGCCTCCTCCCATTCTTTTTTTAAAACATATTTTAAAAAATATATGTTATTGATTTTTTACAGAGAGGAAGGGAGAGGGATAGAGAGTTAGAAACATCGATGAGAGGGAAACATCTATCAGCTTCCTCCTGCACACCCTCTATTGAGGATGTGACCTCAACCAAGGTACATGCCCTTGACCAGAATTGAACCTGGGACCCTTCAGTCCGCAGGCTGACACTATCCACTGAGCCAAACCAGTTACAGCTCTTTGTTTTTTTTTTTTTTTTTTTTTTACATATTGTTTGAGCATGTCACTCTTCTGCTCAACCAGCAGATTAACTGGAAATAGAAATGTTCTGTTTCTACTTCATTTTCTTTTTTTTTCTTCTTCTTTTAAAAAAAATATATTTTATTGATTTTTTTTACAGACAGGAAGGGAGAGGGAGAGAAAGTTAGAAACATCAATGAGAGAGAATTATCGATCAGCTGCCTCCTGTATGCCCCCTACTGGGGATGTGCCCGCAACATGCCCTTGACCGGACCTTTTCAGTCTGCAGGCTGACGCTCTATCCACTGAGCCAAACCGGTTTTGGCTACTTCATTGTTCTTTAAACTGTAGATGCTTTTGTATGTATGATATACTTTGAGTTTTAAAAAGTAGTCCAAGCCGAAACCGATTTGGCTCAGTGGATAGAGCATCCGCCTGCGGACTGAAGGGTCCCGGGTTCGATTCCGGTCAAGGGCATGTACCTTAGTTGTGGGCACATCCCCAGTAGGGGGCGTGCAAGAGGCAGCTGGTCGATGACACTCTCTCATTGATGTTTCCAACTCTCTATCCCTCTCTCTTCCTCTCTGTAAAAAAATCAATAAAATAATATTTAAAAATAAAAAAAATAAAGAAGTAGTCCAAGTAGACAAGCCTGAATGCTAGCGAGGGTGGTCAGAGGGTGTGGGGCTGCCTCTGTGATCACCCGGGAGGAGCCAGGTGGCCACCTCACCTGGCATTCGCACAGCTGTGCTCCCCACGCCTCAGTGACCAGCAGTGACAGCTCCTCTCTGTTCCTCCTCCGCAGTGTTATGATAAGCAGTTCCCACCCTGTCAGTCCTGTCATCACCCTTGCACTTCCGCTTTCTACGCATTTTAAAGTTTATGACTCTAAAGGGCAAATTCAGATTGTGAAAATGTGGCTTACCAAATGAAGTCCAACACCACAGATTCTTTTTTTTTTTTTTTTAATTCTCTATTGTTTAAAGTATTACATATGTCTCCTTTTCCCCCCATTGACCTCTCTCCCTGGCCACTCCCAACCCCCCAGCCCATGCCCTCGTCCCCCTACTGTCTGTAACCATTGGTTATGCTCATATTCATGCATATATCTTTTTTTTAAAAAATATATTTTATTGATTTTTTACAGAGAGGAAGAGAGAAGGGTAGAGAGTTAGAAACATCAATAGAAAAACATGGATCAGCTGCCTCTTGCACACACCCTACTGGGGATGTGCCCACAACCAAGGTACATGCCCTTGATCAGAATCGAACCTGGGACCTTTCAGTCCGCAGGCCGATGCTCTATCCACTGAGCCAAACCGGTTTTGACTATACAAGTCTTTTGGTTGATCTCTCCCCTGCCCCACTCCCCTGCCTACCATCTTAGGTTGGACAGTCTATTGGATGCTTCTATGACTCTGACTCTATTTTTGTTCATCAGTTTATGTTGTTCATTATATTCAACAACTTAGTGCGGTCATGTGATGTTTGTCTTTCTCCGACTGAACACCACAGATGCTTGTGGTCAAAGTTCTTGTGCCATCTGACTGCAACATGAGTCCAATATGATTTTCCACCTTTGTTATTTCCCCACAAATAAACACTCAGAGAGCATCTTCTTATTTGTTTCTTCAGTTATTCATCCATCCATCCACCTGTATTCAGAGCTTAGCCGGTGCCGGTCATTGTGCTTCTGCCAGACAGCCTTCCCCGGCCCCCTCCACATTCCCACAGCATCCATCCGGCCTCCACCTCATTGCTCGTCACATGGAACTACAGCTTCCTATTATACCCCTCGTCCTCAGACTATGAGCTTCTCGTTGTAGATAAAAGTGGACCTTTAACCATGTTATTCTTATCTGACAAACCATAATGCCGAATAAATGTTTGATGAACAAATGAAGAAAGAAGCTCAGAAATTAATGAAGCGTGGTGTCCATCTTGAAGGTGTTTTTTTTCCTTCATTAAAGTATATCTCAAGATTTTGACAGCCGATATACTAGGGAAAAAATGGAACTTCTATAAATTCTATTAGCTCTAACGTGGGGATCACTGAAGTTCTTTCTCCTCATTGTATCAGTGGCTGAGCACTGCTCGCTCTTAGGATCCTAGACTTAAAAATGCAAGGCCAGGTTCTGCTGCAGGCTACCTGTCAGTTTGTCCCACTTCCATCTGTGAGGAGAATGGTGGCACTTGCCAGTCAACCTAAGAGAGCTTCCTGAGGTTCCCCGTGAGTAAGGAGATGAACATGTTTTGTCAGCTGTAAACTTCTCTCTCTACACGTGCAAAGGTATTACGATTAGTAATCTATTTTTTTAATCAATGTTTGTTTTGAGACAACACACCGAAGCCACACAGCTGGCAAATGCCGCAGCTGGAATTTGAACTCGGGCAGGCTGTGGCAGAGTCCAGGCTGCACCGCCTGCATGAGCTCTCCATGGCAATGATAGGGTGGGCACTGCAGCCGGGGGTTGTTGAGAGATCATGAATCCAAAGCACTGACCACGGTACCTGGCGTGTAGTAAGCATTCCGTCATTCATAGCTGCTTTTCTTCAGGGGTAAAATTCCCTCTTTGGTGAGTTGTCATGCCCTCTGACTCTGGCCCAGGAATGACCCTCCCGGCACAGAAGTGTGTCCTGGATGCGTTCCGAGCCCACGGCGAAAAGAAGATTCTGATCGCCACCTCCGTGGCTGACGAAGGCATCGACATCGCTCAGTGCAATCTGGTCATCCTGTACGAGTACGTGGGCAATGTCATCAGGATGATCCAAACCAGAGGTGAGAGGCGCTCTGGCGCTGTTTTAAATGTCAGCCAATTTGTCCGATTTGTAAGCATACCTGTCATTCCGGCCTTTCTCCCTTACCGAGTCCTGCCTGTGTGTGTGACCAGGGGCACCAGGGGCTCTGGTGTCACTGCCCGGAAGGTGACTTATTGGGCCCGGATTGGGTGGCTACAGTTTTGTCCACCATTTTAATTCCTGTTCACCAGGAAAACGGTGCACTTGACCAACACTGACTAACATGCTTTTAGGAGGATAATTCCCACTGGTTTGGGGCTCTGGCAGTTGGCATGCACACTTCCCTGGCTGTGCGTGTGGTGCCGCGGGGCCCACTGTGTCCAAGGAGCTCTTCTGTCCCACGTGCACCAGAGTCTCCTAACTGGCCTCTCTTCCTTTTTCGGTTTCTGTAACAGCAGCTGCCACATTACCTGTCCTGGAAAATCTCTGAACGTGTCACTTCCCTGTATAGAAACTGCAGTGGTTCCCCAATTTTCTTAATGTTACAGAGTTATGTGTATGTACATATATATATTTCTTTATTTCAGAGAAGGGAGAGAGAAAGAGAAACATCAATGATGAGAGAGAATCAATGATCGGCTTCCTCCTGCACAACCCCACTGGGGATGGAGCCCCCTGGCTTGAAATCAAACCATGACCTCCTGGCTCATAGGTCGATTCTCAACCACTGAGCCACACCAGCTGGGCTTGATGTTAACAGAGTTTTCAAACCGAGCACCCATTTTATCTTCCCAATTCTTTCCCTCTATTCACGATTCACTTCAGCCGACCTGACCTCAGCATTTTCTCCTTGTTGAAGGGATTGCTCATGTATTGCTACTGCTGATCGTTTTACCTCTTCCCCCACGTCCCTATCACCTGCCCCAAACTCCCCAGCTGTCAGCCATCTCTCTTTTGAACATCCGTAACTCTTCATGTCTTTCAGCACTTCTCCTTTTCCACCTGTATTCGTGCGGTTGTGATCATAGCTGGTTTCCCCATTTCCTGGAAAGCTCCTGAGAGAGCATCAGTCATTATCCACCTGAGAGCCCTCCCCGCGCCATCCGGAGGGCTCATGTTGGACTCCCTTAAAGCAGTGTTTCTGATGGTGTGGCTGTCTGACCCACTGCAGCACTGAGGCTGCAGCGGGCTCCAGGTGCACACCCGCCTCTCCGTCTGTGCTCTGACGGCTCAGCTTCCTGGAAAGCGGGATTCAGTCACCCAGAGTTGAGTTTTAAGAATATGGGTTTATGGTTTTTATGGCTTCTCTTAGCTTACCTATGCTCAGATTTGTCAGAGCTTTACATCAAAGGCACCGAATGAAATATTTATTTTCCGACAGGCAGAGGAAGAGCAAGAGGTAGCAAGTGCTTCCTTGTGACTAGTAATGCTGATGTGATTGAAAAAGAAAAAATAAACTTATACAAAGAAAAAATGATGAATGACTCCATTCTTAGCCTCCAGGAATGGGATGAAAAAGCTTTTAAAAAAAAGGTAAGTCTTTTCATCTGTGCTTCTCTTTCCGAATCTGACCGTAAGGAACAGGGAAGATGAGCAAGGTGGGTGCCTTTTATCAGATGGCAGAGTGTTGCATTAGAACAGTAAGTTTAATCTTTAAAATTTGTCCTGCAGTGAACATCTAGCTCAGGTGTCTTCAAACTACGGCCCGCGGGCCACATGCGGCCCGCCAGGTTTTTTGGGCAGTGAGCGCAGCCGAGGTGTTACAGTAGGAATTAGTAGTTCATATAGTCCGGCCCTCCAGCTCTCTGAGGGACCGTGATCTGGCCCCTACTTTAAAAAGTTTGAGGACCCCTGATTCTGCTTTTAAGTCTCAATGAGATTAAAATGTATTTTATTTAATGCTGATGCCTGAAGTTGTGCTTTTATTATTTTTATTTATTTATTTATTAAATATAATTTATTTTATTTATTTATTTATTTATTTTTCAGAGAGAAAGGGAGAGGGATAGAGAGTTTAGAAACATCGATGAGAGAGAAACACCAATCAGTTGCCTCCTGCCCACCCCCTACTGGGGATGTGCCCGTAGCCAAGGCACATGCCCTTGACCAGAATCAAACCCTTCAGATTAGGGGGGCACCAAGTAGATGGAGGTGGAGACTAAGCTTTCTTCCCCCATCCCACAGTTGCATTGCCCATTGTCTGCATGAGGCCGACCTTCCTTAGAGCAGTGTGGTCCCCAGGGAATCTCTGGTGACTCTGCAGCCATCTTAACATGTAGATGGTCCAGAGGTATCCAAGGACTGATTTCCATGAGGGAAGCTTCAGGATTTGGGAGTCTGTAATTCTGGAGAAATAAGGTATAAAGGGCATTTTTCACAGTTCTAGTTTGAAATTAAAATGAGGAAGCCCACCTTCCTTCCTCATGGAGTAGAGAATAAAATGTCAAAAAGAACTTCCAACGTGATGTGTTCCCATGACAGCACACAATCAGGGTTTTATGGTTTCGCTTTTCCACCTCAGTCCGTGGAACTAAGCTTCTTCTATCACAGGTGGAAGGGAGAGGCAGTGAGCTATAGACTTAATTTGTGTGACATTGGTTGAGCCTCTTTACCCGTTGAGTTAGTTTTAAATAGAGCAGTAATAGTTTTAACTTACTTGGATTTATTGCCCCATAGTAACATTTAAAATTTATGGGATTATTACTACTTAACTGAATTTTAGAATATAATTGAATATAATTAGATATAAGTGCATTTTTAAAAATTAGATGCTTGATTTTACAGCTGACATTGTGGAAATCACCATGTTCTTTCTTTGTTTATGATGTTCTAAAACTCCTTTTATCATTTCCTTCTGTTTAGAGAACTTCCTTTTGCCATTCTTTTAGGGAAATTCCACTGGTATACAAATTCTCTTAGTTTCTCTTCATCTCAGATTGTCTTGATTTCCCCTTTATTTTTATTTAGTTTTTTAAAAAAAAATATTTTTTATTGATTTCAGAGAGGAAGGGAGAGAGAGAAACATCAATGATGAGAGAAAATCATTGACCGGCTGCCTCCTGCACGCCCCCCACTGGGGATTAAGCACCCAACTGTGGCATGTGCCCTTGACCGGAATCTAACCTGGGCCCTTCAGTCCACAGGCCGATGCTGTATCCACTGAGCCAAACTGGTTTCACCTTTTGTGGCTGCTTTATTTTTTTTATTTTTTATTTTTTAAAGATATATTTTATTGATTTTTTTATAGAGAGGAGGAGAGAGGGATAGAGAGCTAGAAACATCGATGAGAGAGAAACATCGACCAACTGCCTCTTGCACACCCCCTACCGGGGATGTGCCCGCAACCAATGTACATGCCCTTAACCAGAATCGAACCTGGGACCTTTCAGTCCGCAGACCGATGCTCTACCACTGAGCCAAACCGATTTCGGCTTGTGGCTGCTTTAAAATCTTTTCTGATAACGTCTGTCTTCTCAGTGGTGGTATCCATTGATTAACTTTTTTTTTTTTTTTCATTCAGTTTGAGATTTTTCTGGTTTTTGGTATGAAGAGTGATTTTTTTTATTGAAACCTGGATATTTTCATATCACATTAAGAGATTTGGGATTTTAAGAGATTTAACCTTCTGTGTTAGCTGGATTTTTCTGGTGCCTTCCTGGCAGATAGACAGGGACATTATCTCATCACTGCTAGGTGGAAATAGAAATCCAGGTTGCCTATACGTTTTTCTCTTGGCCGAGACCTGCCCAGCTAGAGAGAGGACAAGTCCTGAATAGGAGCTGCTGGGGATTGAGAAAAGGGAAAAAAAGAGACTCAAAGACTTTAAGTAAAGCCCTCGAATGGAGAGACAGTGACCCAGGGCTAGTGCAATGCATTCATTATATACACTCACAGCATGATACCAGGAAGTTTTACAGGAATTTAAGACAAAGGAAATTATGTGAAATCATGGTTAAAGATCAAGCTGCAATTCTTCATTCTTCGGGCTTCTTTGTAGTAATTGTCATTCCTGGCTGAGCCTGGATAATTGTGTCAGTTCCTGGCGCCTGGCTAAACTTAGACAATGAAACCCACTCTCTGGCATCTGAACTAAAGGTCAGGCTGACAACATACCTGCCTCTGGCAAGGTATATTTCTAGGATGTGGCTCTGCTGACACCACCGGACTCAGCAGCAGTCAGCTCATGCGCCTTCCCAAGCGCTCTCTGCAGTTCCCTACTCAGCTTCTGTTGATACCTGTGAGGGGGAGGCTCCTTGTTACTGCTGGGGGGAGGAGGGAGTTCTGGCTCCCCACGTGGTCGCCAGTGACACCAGAGACAAGGGGGAGGGGCGGCTACCATTAAGCAGGGGTGAAAGTCCTAGCTCCCTTCTTGGCCTTCTCTGACACCACCAGGTGGGTGTGTTGGGCATTTCATCACAGCCCCACAGAGTGGGGATCTAGGTTCTCCACTCAGCCTTTGCTGGCATGGGTGGAAATCGGGTCACAGTTTTTTTATTTGTTTTGTTTTATTCTTTGGTATTTGGTTGGGGTAGAATATTTCTTGGGTAAAAGTTTTCTGTCTTTCTAGGCTGCCCTTTCCCTGGCCTTTTCGCTTGAGAGAATAGGCTTTTGTTGAGACTTTAAATATATATATATTTAAAGATTTCAGAGAGGGAGAAAGAGACAGAAACACCAATAATGAGAGAGACTCTTGGTTGGCTGCCTCCTGCACACCTCCATTGGTGATTGAGCCCACAGCCCCGGGCATGTGCCCTGACCTAGAATCGAACCGTGACCTCCTGGTTCATAGGTCAGCCACTGAGCCACGCTGGTCTGGCTGTTGAAACTTTTTTTTATCTGTGCCCATAGGTATTTCTGGTTGCCAGTTTCTTCGGCTCCAATCTAGGATATATGTATGAGATGAAAAACAACAATAAACAGGGAACGTACTGCCATAGGGTCCCAAGGTTCCTAGCTAGTCTGCCTTCCTCTCTTCACCCTTTAGAATCTCCTTACGTTTATTTTATTTATTTATTTTAATGTTTTTATTGATTTCAGAAATGAAGGGAGAGGGAGAGAGAGAGAGAAAAACATCAATGATGAGAGAGAATCACTGATTGGCTACCTTCTGCATGCCCCACATTGGGGATCAAGCCTGCAACCTGGGAATGTGCTCTGACCAGAAATTGAACTGTGACCTCCTGGTTCTAGGTCAAAGCTTATCCACTGAGCCATGCCGCCTGGGCTTCTTATGTTTATTATAAATAAACAGCCCTAGCCATTTTGGCTCAGTGAATAGAGCATTAGCCTTCGGACTGAAGGATCCCAGGTTCAATTCCAATCATGGGCATATGCCAGGTAGCAAGTTTGATCCCCAGTAGGGGGCGTGCAGGAGGCAGCCGATCAATGATTATCTCCCATCATTGATGTTTCTATCTCTCCCTTCCTCTCTGAAACCAATAAATATATATTAAAAAATTTTTAAATAATAAACGTAAATTTTGAAATATAATGCAGTCATACTATACATACATTTAACCTTACTGTAATTTGACAGTACTCTCTGTGGTTGGAAGAGGAGAGAGACAAAAACCGATTTGGATGGTGAGGGCTCTTCTGTCTGCTGTTTCATTCAATTGGGTTTATCCCTTGGAAGTGGGTATAAATATGTCTGAAACAGCCCATGCATATCATTTATCTATTTATGAAGGACATTTTAAGTTTTGCCAGGTACTAAAGTAGAAAGCATGGTTCATATGACTATTTTATGGACATCTTTAGTACTCTGTGGGCAACTTTGATGAGGAAATTAAAAGACTAATTGGAGGCCACAGTTAAACAGTGACTTAACAAAGAGTTAGGAGAACCAATAAAATTACCTATGGGCTTTTTGCAAAATCACCAGTTACGACATGTTCATGGAAGTGTATGCAGAATGAATTATATATATGTGTGTGTGTGTGTGTGTGTGTGTGTGTGTGTGTACACATATGTATCCTAGTTATACTTTAATTACATTTATGAGGTTTTTTTCTTTTTTCCCCATGTAGATTCACCAGATCCAGATTCATGAAAAATTCATCAGGGATAGTCAAGGAAAAGCAGAACCTAAACTTGATAAGAAAAATAAGAAACTCCTCTGCAGAAAGTGCAAAGCCTTTGCTTGTCATACAGCGGATATAAGAGTGATAGAGGTGAGCAGCCTTTTCCAAGGAACACTGGGTCACTTTTTAGCACTAATTAAAGCTTACTCACTACTGGTGAGATATTTATAAGAAGACTGTACTTTCCTTATAACCAATGTCATGGTCCATGTATTTTACAAAAGCTAAAAAGTTAAAAACAACAATAACCTTAATTTCAACAATCAAGAAAATCATTTAAAAAATTGCTGCATATCCACTTAATTAGTATTATGCAGCCATTAGAAATATGACTATGCTAAATTCAGTGTGGTTCCCTGGATTAGATCTTAGAACAGATAAAGGGTTTTACTAGGAAAAGAGGTAAAATCTATAGTGAACTAATAGCAATGTGCTGATATTGACTTCTTAGTTTGGACAAATGTACTGTACTATATTATGTAAGATGTTAGCCAGCATTTCAGGAAAGGTGAATTCAGGAATTCTCTGGACTACATTTGTAACTTATCTGTTAATCTAAAATTATTCTAAAGTCAGGTTCACTAAACAAAATGATTATGAAGTTTATATAATATAACGAAAAACTCCTTATAAACTGATGGTAAAGCGGAAAAGTAATCAGGATACAAAATTATAAATATGCTATAATTATAGATGTGTGAAATAATATCAGCAAACTGCTATCACTAAGAAGTCAACAAAAATCTGTCAACAAAAAAGAAAAAACTGTACAGAAAAAAGACTATAGGAAATATACTGATGTGTATTAATATTTAGCAAGATTCCATGATATTTTTCTCTCTGTACTATTTTATGCTTTCCAAACTTTCTTATTGGGATATGGTTCACTTTTATAAACAAAATGTCTCCTTGTTTTTTAAAACACAATGTCTGCAAGTTAAACTTTCAGATAAAAGGTTAGAAAAGTCTCCAAAGACAGACATTGGAGGTAACTCAGCTGCTGCCGATCCAGGGTTAGGTGGTGTCTGGGCTGGTTCAGATGATGAGTGATGACTTTAGGGTTCTGTTTAGTCTTCAGAAAACTGAAGTCTCTAATCCAGCTGTTGGAGCAGGAAGCATATTAGGGGTGATACTGACAAGTTCCCGGATCATTGAGACTCCTTTAACTTAAACGACCCTTTCAGCTGGTGATTTTCTATTGGAAACGGCCCTTTTAGACTGTACATTCTCCTATGGATCTGCATGTGCTGTGCGGTGTGGCTTTTTAAGGTTTGCTCTAAAGTCGGCTGAGGACACATTAATCCCTGACCCTGTTCAGATCCACACTGACCCTTGGTTGTTCTTCCCTGGGTCTTCTGGCTTCTGCCTGTCAGGCCCCCCCTGGTGATCTCAGGCTCCATGGATCTGCAACAAATACCCCTTTTGTTTCTGAATTAATAGAGTATCTACGTAAGAAGCCAGGCTGCCTGGAAACTTCTCAGTCCTTCTCTTCATGAGATGTCCCCTATCAACCCACTTGCTCCTCCACCCCAACCCTCATTTCCACCCATGTGACTGGGAGTCGTGCTGCGTGGATTTGCCTTCCGGTGAATCTGTATTTTCTTCTTTCCCCACTTGTGAAATAAGTGGGATCCCACCTGCTCTTCATCATAGATTATTGTGGAGTTTTCTTTTTTCTTAATATATTTTTATTGATTTCAGGAAGGGAGGGAGGGAGGGAGGGAGGGAGGGAGGGAGGGAGGGAGAGAGAGAGAGAGAGAGAGAGAGAGAGAGAGAGAGAGGGAGGGAGGGAGAGAGACAGACATCAATGATGATAGAGAATCATTGATCAGCTGCCTCCTGCACATCCTCTACTGGAGATCAAGCCCGAAACCCAGGCTTGTGCCCTGACCAGGGATTGAACCATGTGATCTCCTGGTTCATACATAGGTCGATGCTCAACTATTGAGCCTGGTTGGAGTAGTTTTTTTTTCAAATCACAATTGTGAACTGGTTCTGATGTTCTTTTTTTTTTTTTTAATGTTTGATCTTTTCATCTATAGGAAAGCCATTACACTGTGGTTGGAGATGCTTTCAAGGAGTGCTTCGTGACTAAATTACACCCCAAACCAAAGAGTGTGGGTATTTTTGAGAAGAAAGCAAAGGTATTCTGTGCCAGACAGAACTGCAGCCATGACTGGGGCATCCATGTGAAGTACAAGACATTTGAGATCCCGATCATAAAAATTGAAAGTTTTGTGGTGGAGGATATTGCAACTGGAGAGCAGAGACTGTATGCAAAGTGGAGGGACTTTCATTTTGAGAAGCTGCCATTTGATCCTGCAGAAATGTCCAAATGACCTCAGGGCCACAAGCTTCCACTACTGGGAATGGGTGATCGTGAGCAAAGGAGGAATTATCCCTAGTAGGCAAGTCATGACTGGCTTGTACCACATGAAGATATATACCTAAGTCTTATACTGTACTAAATATTTACCACTTTACTTACTTTCTGTTATCAGCTTGTATGATATTATATACATAAAACACACAGGAGTGTATCAGACCCTGAATGATTCGCAGGCCAGTAGAGCTCTAAGTAAAAAGCCTTACCTTGTTCTCTTTCTGTTCTTCCCTTTGGAACCAACAGTCAGTGCAGACCCAGTAGCCACTCAGGACGCATTAGAATAAATGGATGAATGGATGGAATGTTTCCATACTTCCCTTTCCTTAACCTACTGTAAACCAGCTTTTGCCTTTAACAGTCTACTGAAATTGTTCTTTTCAAGGTCACCACAGGCTCTGGTTACCAAATTTATTGGGCACTCTTAGTCCTCTCTGAGCTCTTTGCTGCTTTGGGCAGCCCTCATTAGAACTCTGTTGGCTTCTACCTTTTCTAGCTCTATCCCACTCTTTTCTATTGGTTCCTCTTTGCTGGTCCCTTAAATGTTGATAATTCCAAGGGTTCAACACACACACACACACACACACACACGTATGTACATCAATGATGGTTACATATAATCATGCTCTCTATGTAGCAATGAATGGCATGTAACCTTAAAATTCTGTAGTAGGCAACTGTTAGTAATGGGCAGATACAGGATACAGCATTTCCTGAAAAGTTGATTTCTCTTCCTTCGTTTGTTGCACATCTTGCCCTGTTATTTTCATAACCTATGCTATTGTTCCCTCTCATTGGTCATTCCAAGCCATTTCCCAGTAATAGTTGATGGTCAAGACTTGGACTCTGTTCTCAATTAGCTCCCTTGGCTGATACTGATGAGGCAGTTTAATTTGGCTGTTCTTTCTATTTAAAAAATCAGAGTGCATATCCAAATGGCATTCCTGCTATTTAACAAGATTTGTTGTTGCTCTAGAGTAGGGGTGTCGAACTCAATCAGAGAAGGGGCCAAAATCTAAAATCCAGCCTAAATCGCGGGCCGAATGGTTTACTGAACAGTCATAAACTGTCATTGTGATGGAAACGCAGCGGAGTGCAGTGATGACAGCGCGGTGCGGGCCACATTGCAACGCCTGTCGGGACGGATTTGGCCCGTGGGCCTTGTGTTTGACACATGTGCTCTAGAGCTTAAGTTGGGAGTTTTTCAGACATGGAGACAACTGCATGAGTTATGCTGTTTCTATCCAGGCCAGGGTATTTTGTGTTGAATTCAGGTAGGTTCTATAGTAATTTAAGCATCTTCCTAAAACAGACTCAGTTTAGTTGTTTGTAATTCATGTTGGTGGTCCAAAAGTCATCTCATTAACATAATAAGAGTCTGGCTGGTTTGGCTCAGTGGATAGAGCGTCGGCCTGTGGACTGGGGGGGTCCCAGGTTGATTCCTGTTGGGGGGCATGTGCCTTGGTTGCAGGTACATCCCTAGTGGGAGGTGTGCAAGAGGCAGCTGATTGATGTTTCTCTTCCATTGATGTTTCTGACTCTGTCCCTCTCTCTTCCTCTCTGTAAAAAAATCAATAAAGTATATTTAAAAAACCAAAAACATAATAAGAGACATCTTTGTCCATGTGTTTTAGGAACTCTGACAGAAAGAGGTGTGTGTGTGTGTGTGTGTGTGTGTGTAGACCAAATACACATATTATTATAAACCACAGTCTCACAAGTATATCTTTTACTATGGAATTGCCTTTTTGAATGCTGTTGTTCAAGAACTCCAATAGAATATATAAAATATATGCTAGAAATCTGTTTTGAGAATAGTTCCTTCAAGGTTCTAAATTGTCTTTCTAGCCGGGACCGGTTTAGCTCAATGGATAGAGCATCGGCTTGGGGACTGAAGGGACCCGGGTTCGATTCTGGTCAAGGGCATGTACCTTGGTTGCGGGCATATCCCCAGTAGGGGGTGTGCAAGAGGCAACTGATCGATGACTCTCATCAATGCTTCTCACTCTCTATCTCTCTCCCTTCCTCTCTGTACAAAATCAATAAAATATATTAAAAATAAATAAATAAATAAATTGTCTTTCTAGCCCTAGATGGTTTGGCTCAATGGCTAGAGCATTAGCCTGTGAACTGAAGAATACCATGTTCAATTCCAATCAAGGGCACATGCTGGGATGCTCACTTAATCCCCAGTAGGGGCATGCAGAAGGCTGCCAATCAGTGATTCTCATCATTATTGTTTCTATCTCTTCTTCTCTTCTCCCTTCCTCTCTGATTTTATATATATATATATATATATATATATATATATATATATATATATATATATATATATTGTCTTTTTTTTTTTTTAAATGGCCTTTCTAGATGAAGGTGAATAGTCTCTCTTCTCTTCCACCAACAGAAAACAGACTAAAGCTGAAACAAGAACAACTTTGCTTGTTTGATTTTAGCATGGAGTCAAGCCATTGCCAGGCATAGAGCCTGGAACAGAGAAGACACTTGGTTAATATTCATTGGATGAAAAAAAAAAAAAAAAAAAAAGTAAGATTTTAAGAATGAAAACTCTTGACTGATGTCCTAATACTGGTCATTGGATTTCTGGATCCAAAGCTGCGTTTCCCAACCAACTGGGAGTCCTTTTCATGGGCATATGCCCAGCTCTCATTAGAACATCCTGGCAGGATGTCCAACCAGGTGTATTCAAGTCATCAGGACTTGAAAGTCCACAGGAATTAAAAGAGTTTGCTTCTGATATGATTTGCATATCAGAGAACATGGCCTTCAGCGTGAACCAGAGACACTCCCTAAGGCAGGAAGAATAGGCAAGGTTTTATAAGCAAGAACCAAAGGGAGGGTTGCTAAGTAAGCAAGGCCGTAAACTTACATCATCCACTTTCTGGTTGGCGGGGCAACTGGACTCTCCAGGGTCTACTGGCCCAGTGGTCTCAGAAAGCGGGGTTGTGAGGTAAGATGAATGGGTAGTTTCAGTTGACTCATGGTCAGCAGGTAGAGTCACAGGATATGGCCAGTGCCTCAGTTGCCGTTGGAGTCTATAATGGAAACTGGTAAGGCAAGTCTTGTGGTGAAATGAACAATGCAGGGAATGCAGTTGGTCTGGCAGACAGGTTAAACTGAAAAATGGCCTAGTTACTCAAGCAGGGTCAGAGACCAGATTGCCAAAGGGCCTAGATCAGTAGTGGGCAAACTGCGGCTCTCAAGCCGAGGTTTGCCGCTCTTTTGACTAATGAGTTTGCGGACCACTGGGATAGGGGCGTAAGCACAAGGAACAACAACAGCCTGTAATTACTGGAATTGATAGTCTAGGTCAGTGGTCGGCAAACTCATTAGTCAACAGAGCGGCAAACCGCAGCTTGTGAGCCGCATGTGGCTTGAGAGCCGCAGTTTGCCGACCACTGGCCTAGACACTAGTTCACAAAATTATGGTATTGGAATCCTCAGGTGGTTTGTTATACAATTCAGTTTACAATCTCGGATCTTATTATCTGTGGTAACCTGCCAGTGCTGAAATGAAAAGTCACCTTCAAGCAAACGCCTGCTTGTACAACAGGTCAGTGAATTTTGGTCCTTGCCCTTAAATCTGATGTTATTTGAATATAAAAAGCAAATAATCAGACCATCAGCATTTCCTCAAGTGTGTCCTGCGGAGCGCTGGTTCTGGAGCTGCTCCAAAGGAAGCGCCTGTGGTCAGGCAGGTCTCTCTGAGCACTGCCACCTCTGCCCTCCAGTGTGTGATGGCGTGTCGCTGCGTCAGTTCTGTGGGAATGAGACTCACTTAATCCAGAAGTTCCCAAGTACACTGACCCTGGGACCCTTTTATTCGTTTATTTTTTAATTTTAAAAAAAATGTAGCCGAAACCGGTTTGGCTCAGTGGATAGAGCGTTGGCCTGCGGACTGAAAGGTCCCAGGTTCGATTCCGGTCAGGGGCATGTGCCTTGGTTGCAGGCACATCCCCAGTAGGGGTTGTGCAATAGGCAGCTGATAGATGTTTCTCTTTCATTGATGTTTCTAACTCTTTATCCCTCTCCCTTCCTCTCTGTAAAAGAAATCAATAAAATATATATTTTTAAATGTATTGATTTTAGAGATAGAGGAAGGCACAGAGAGAGGAAGGGAGAGAAAAGCATTGATTTGTTATTCCACTTATTCATGCATTCATTGGTTGCTTCTAGTACGTGCCCTGACTGAGGATTGAACCTGCAACTCTGGCATATTAAGCAGAAGCTCTAACCAACTGAGCTACCCAGCCAGGGCCTGACCCTGGTACACTTTAAAAAAAAAATCCTTATTATTGAAAGTATTGCATATGTCCCCTTTATTCTCCCATCACCCCCTTTCAGCCTCCCCTGGCCCAGGCCCTCACCACCTCACTGTCTGTGTCCATGGGTTATGCATATGTACATACAATGTCTTTGCCTGGAACACTTTAAAAAATGTTTTTATTGATTTCAGAAAGAGGAAAGGAAAGGGAGAGAGACACAGAAACATCAATGATGAAAGAGAATCATAGATTGGCTTGCCCGTACTGGGGATTGAGTGCACAACCCGGGCATATGCCCTAACTGGGAATCATACTGTGACCTCCTGGTTCATAGGTCGATGCTCAACCATTGAGCCACGCCGACTGGCTAGAACCCTATGGGACGTTGTGAACATCCTGCAGAAGCACAGTGGAAGTATACAGTTCTGACGCTGACTAGGCAACCAGAACCAAATTGGAATATTAATTTCAGGGTCAGATCAGTAAATTTTATTATACTGTGTTAATAAAACTATACATTTCATTAAACAAATCTGTATTTAATATGTAGGTCCTTAGAACTTGGGATGCAAATTATTGAAACAGTTACAAATATCAGCTATAATGATGTAATCCTTGTTCATGGTAATTTGGCTGTCTGAGTGAACAAAAATGACTTGGGCATTAAATTCTGTTTGTGGACGTGACATGGAACAACTTTCTAAGAAGGCAGCCAGTGGAATCTCTGTTACTGTTTTCAAGAAGTAACTCTAGCCCTGGCTGGTTTGGCTCAGTGAATAGAGCGTAGGCCCTCAGACTGAGGTCAAGGACACATACCTCGGTCGCAGGCTAGATTCTCCACCCTGGTCTTGGTCGGGGCATGTGCGGGAGACAACCAATCCATGTGTCTTTCTCACACCCATGTTTTTCACTCTTTGTCTTCTTCCCTCCCTTCCACTCTCTCTAAAAGTTGATGGAAAAGTATTCTCCGGTGAGGATTCACTGGGGGAAAGAGTAACTCTGCATTGCTCCTATGTAGCCCTGCAGGGTAACCACACTGTCACATCGTAATGCTGGACGGGAAACTGTGCCAAAATAAGGTTTTTCATTTAAGTGACTAGGAAACTCCCAATATTTTTAGACTAGGAAATACTGGGAGACAAGTCTCTAAGGTCAAAAATTACTGTTACCCCAGAACTGCTGGTGGCCATGTCCCCTGGCACCTTGAGTGGCCCAGAAGAATGAAGCTGTTGCAAATGGAAGGTATGATGAGAGAGGGAGTGATAGGGAGTTTGAACCACTGAGTTTGAACCACTAGAGCCAATCAAGCCTGTGGCCATGGCCACCCCTGATTTTCAAGTTCTATAAATCAATTATTATTGTTATTGTTATTGTTTTTATTTCTCGTAAGCAGAGTTGTGCTTCCACCTCCATAACTAAGAGAGTCATGACTAATATATCCTCTTCCTACATTATTATCCACCCACACAAAGACTGTCCCTTAGCCAAAGATACTTGTGCTCATTTGCTGCATTAAATACACCTGTCAGTTAACTCACTGTGCACACCAAAGAAGGCTTGTCTCCTTAGGAGGGATTCAGGCAGTGATGGTTTTAGAAGCCTCTGGAAACAAAGAAGATGGGAATCAGAGAGAGGACGGGGACCGGCAGGTGTAGCACACGTAATCTGGAGAGTGAGAGGACCAGTGCCTTCTTGAGAAACCAAGCGAAAGAGGATATTTGCTTAGCCTTGGAGTGGGCAAGGACAGGATAGTAGGTGTGTTTGAGGGTAGAGGAGGAGAATCCAGAAGTGAGGGGACCCCATTCCAGAAGTCATAACCACAAGAACCTGTTACCCTGTAACCTCCACATCCAGGAGCTAGGCAGCTCTCCCAGAAGCTCAGTGATGGAGAGCTAAGTAGGTGGAGGTGTGTTTTCATAGCCGTGCTTAGTATTTGCATGACGAGGCTGGTCCTAATTGGAGTGTCATGGGCTGTTTTTGAACAACAGTGTTTGTGGTGTTTTATTTTTCCTTCATTTTGTTTTGTTTGTTTGTTTGTTTGTTTGTTTTTGGTAGTTGTTATTCATGAACACAAGCTAGATCCCAGTACCTCAGAGACACCTGTCTTGTCTCTCGTCTGAGTTATCTAACAAAGAAACTGGCACAGAAGAGTAGAGATAAGAACAAAATGATGTCTTTATATAATACATAATTTAGCACATTTTGTAAAAATAAATGTCCCCAATTTTTGCTTAAATGGTCTTCGATATTTCTCTGGCATTAGATGATTCTTGGTCAAGTTTTAGATTTTGGCCTGGCCAGTGTGGCTCAGTGGTTGAGCATGGACCCAGGAAACAGGAGGATTCCTGTTGAGGGCACAGGCCTGAGATGTGACTCAATCCCCAGTAGGAGGCTTGCAGGAGGCAGCCTACTGATGTTCTCCCCTTCCTGTTTCTATCTCCCCCTTCCCCTCTCTCTAAAACATTAGTAAAAATGTATATGTGGTGCCCATTTATTATAAAAAGAGTCTATGCTTTCTCCATTGCATTTGAATCCCAGTCCAAAAAGCAAAGGGGATGCCATTCTCTGGGGCAGCACCTGCTCCGCAGGGTGTTGCCCCAGGTGCAGGCGTTCACGCCGTCACAGGCTTTCCCACCCTCCACTGCGCTCCAAGGGCAGCTCTGAAACCCCTGTATCAGACTCCGGTTTGTGATGATTTTCTTGGTGTATTAAAAAGCGTTTCTTAAACCTCCAGTTTATTTACATTTTTCTAGCCTAAAAGTTCCAGTCTCCAGTTGTGTTTGAGAGAGAAGAGCTTCAATTTCCTCAAAGATCTTAAAACAAAATTAAAACAATATATATTTTTATTGATTTCAGAGAGGAAGTGAGAGGGAGAGAGAGATAAAAACATCAGTGACGAGAAAGAATCATTGATGGGCTGCCTTCTGCATGCTCCACACTGGGGATCGAACCTGCAACTCCAGCATGTGCCCTTGGCCGTAATCGAATCTGGGACCCATCAGTCCACAGGCCGATGCTCTATCCACTAAGCCAAACCGGCTAGAGCTAAAACAAAAATTTTAATGAATTGATTTTTTAAAATGGTATGGGGTTGCCAGGACCATTCAATAGGGAAAAGGTGGTCTTTTCAACAAACGTTGATATCGATATGCACATGCAGAAGAATGAAGTTGTAACCTGACTTTATACCATGTGCAAATTATTAACACAAAATGGACCAGAAACCCAAACGTAAGAGAGAAAACTACAAAACTTCAGATGCCGACACAAAGGAAGAGACTTACTGGATAATGATATTGGACCTAGTAATATCTTTTTGATATGTCACCAAGCAACCAAAAAAAAAAAATAGATAAATCAAACTTCATTGAAATTAAAAACATTTGTGCATTAGAAGACATTACCAATATACTGCAAAGGCAACTCACAAAATTTGAGAAAATGTTTGCAAATCATATCAGAGGGCAACCCCATGCAATGCTGGTAGAATTGTAAAATGATGCAGCCACGAAGGAAAACATAGAAAAAGATTAAACATAGAATTATCATATCTAGCAATTATATTTTTTAATATGTACATACATATAGAACTGTAAACAGGGCCTCAAACATTTGTACTATAACGTTGATTGCAGCAGCATTATTCAAAATAGTAAAATGTGGACATAACTCACATGTCTATTCAGGCATGAATTTTTGTTTCTCTAAACAAAACATGGTACATTGATACAATGAAATTCACCTTTTTAAAAAAAAAGAAAATTCTGACACAGGCGACACTAGGGATGAACCTTGAAAAATTACAGGGTACATACTCAGGTAGTGAGTTCCACCCCTAGTCGGAGTGTGTATGGCAGGCAACCGATAGGTGTTTCCTTTTTCTCAAATCAATAAAAACATGTCCTCAGGCGAGGATTAAAAACAACTGCAAAACTGTTATTCTCTGGAGCGTTTCAGATCTTGCTGTGTGGCAGACTTTGTCCGTTTGGTTCAAATAAACTCAAAAGTCCTCTACAGGTTTGGACATTCCTTTTGTCGATAACGAGAGAGGAAGTAGGATGGTGGCTGCCAGGAGCTGTGGGAGGAGGAATGCAGTGATAATTGTTTAATGAGTATAGAGTTTCAGTTTGGGAAGATGAAAAGTTCTGGACTTGGACAGCGGTGATGGCTGGACAACAATGTGAATGAACTTAATGTCACTAAACTCTACACTTAAAAATAGTTAAAATAGATATTTTGTTACATACATATTACCACGGTAAAAAAAAAAAAAAGATTATGCATCTGATTGTGCTTTTAGGTTTATCAACTTAGTGCTAAATAGAAATTAGTTTACAAATTCACATGGACATTGACTCCATTTTTATCAAAATAATTTAAAACATGCATAGAAAAAGGTGATGTGGAAAGGAACATGAGGTAACGATATATATTTTTGTTGTTAATCCTCTCCTAAGGATATTTTCCCATAGATTTTTAGAGTGGAAGGGAGGGGGAGAGACAGAGAGAGAAACATTGATGTGAGAGACTCATCAATTGGTTGCTTTCTGTATGGATGAGGACCAGGGATCAAGCCTGCAACTGAGAAACATGCTATTTTTTTTAATTTTAATTTTAAATATATATATATATTATTGATTTTTTACAGAGAGGGAGAGGGATAGAAAGCTAGAAACATAGATGAGAGAGAAACATCGATCAGCTGCCTCCTGCACACCTCCCAATGGGGATGTGCCCACAACCAAGGTACATATCCTTGACCAAAATCGAACCTGGAACCTTTCAGTCCGCAGACCGACGCTCTGACGCACTGGGCCACACCGGTCTCGGCTATTTTTAAAAAATTTTTTTTATTGATTTCATAGAGGAAGGTTAAGGGAGAGATAGAAACATAAATGATGAGAGAGAATCATCGATTGTCTGCCTTCCCTCTTCCTCCTGTTAAATCAAACTCTCCGGTAAAGAGCTCCTTTCCGTGGGTTTTGAGAAAGGCTTGGGAAGGAAGACGACTCCGGACCGGGAAGGCAGGAAAGGAGCCTCACAGAAAGCCTGGCTTCCCCGGGAGAACCCGCCTACACCCTCCCTTAAGGCCAGTGACTGCGTGCGGCCAAACCAGCCCAGATTCTTCCATGTCCAGCTGCACCCACCCTGAAACCGTGATAACGCATCTGCCCCAGGGCCCTGCATTCCGGCGCCCGCCCCGCCTTCCCGGTCTAACAAACTGGAGTCCCTCCCAGAGCATCGTCCTCGGCCCTCGGGGACAGTTCGGGACCGGCCGGGCCAGGCCCGCGGCAAAAGCGCTTGGGGCTCCCCACAGGCTTCTCTTCGTGAACCACGTGCTGAGCCCGTGAATTCGGGGTCACAGGGAGGCGCTGAGCCCTCAGCACAGCCCCAGGGCCCTCCTCCCACCGCCCTCCACCTCCATCCCCCGGGTCGGCACGGGGCAATTCCGGGCAGAAGCTACTCAGGTGCCTGGAATTCCACCTCCGGGCCCCGCCCACCGGCCCGGTCAGCCGATCGTGGCGCAGGAAGGCCTCGTGGGGGCGGGCCGCACGGGCCGGATTCCCGAGGCTTTAAATCCGCTGCCGCGGAGGAGGCACAGCCGTCGGAGATCGAGGATCCAGGACCCGCACGTGCAGACGGCGCCCCCGAAGGTGAGCGTCCCCAGGCCGGGCCGGGCTCCACGGTGCTCGGCCCCCCGGGAACCAGCCTTGCGGGTGGAGGGAGGTTGGAGGGTTCGGGGATTCCAGGAGGCATCGTCCTGGGTTCTGGTGCGGCGGGCGAGGCAGCTTGACCTCCGGCTGCGGGGCCCCGGCGCCCTGGCAGCGGTGGGCTGGTGTGGGGCGGGGGGCAGCCCGCACCCCCCAAGCCCGCCCGGCCCTGCGGGTCTGCTGTCCCCGGGCCCAGCGGTGCTCTGAGCCTCGGGACAGTGTGTCCCCGCCCGGCCTGGGGCAGGAGTGGGGTCTGCAGGCTGTTTTTCTGCTCCCACATGCTTAGCCTCCCTCCGCAGCCCCTGTGCAAATACTTGGGGGGATACATTCATGTTTTACACCTGTGACGTCTCCAGAAGGTAGGATGGCTTTCTAGGAGGACTGGTTTAATCAGATGCTACTTTTTCTTTTCCCTCCCTAGGTGCTGAAACATGAATCCTGCATTCCTCTTGATTGCCCTTTACTTGGGAATAGCTTCAGCTGCTCCAAAACTGGTTGGAAGTTTAGAGGCACACTGGCACCGGTGGAAGGCAACTCATGGGAAAGTCTATGGCCCGGTTGGTGACACCTGAAATGATCAGAGAATGGCCCAGGCTTTTGGGAGTTTACAGCAGAAAGTAGCTCTTTGTTTTCTTTAAAACGTGTTTTTAGCCCTAGCTGGTTTGGCTCAATGGATAGTGTCAGCCTGTGAACTGAAAGGTCCTGGGTTCTATTCCAGCCAAGGACACATGCATGAGTTGCTGGCTGGATCCCCAATAGTGGGCATGCAGGAGGCAGCCAATTAATGATTCTCTCTCATCATTGATGTTTCTACCTCTCTCCCCCCTCTTCCTTCCTCTCTAAAGACAATAAAAAAAAATATATATATATATATTTTTGTTGCCCCAAATGGTTTGGCTCAGTGGATAAGACTCCGATATCTGATAGCGCCTCCGGCTGCGGACAAAAGGCCCTGGGTTGGATTCTGGGTGTGATTCTGGTCGAGGGCATGTACCTTGGTTGCAGGCTCCATCCCCAGTAGGGGGCGTGCAGAAGGCAGCTGATCAATTTTCTCTCATCAATATTTCTAACTCTATCCCTCTCCCTTACTCTCTGTAAAAAAAAAAAAAAAAAAAAAACAACCCACACACAATAAAAATAGATTTAGAAAAAATATTTTTTATTGATTTCAGAGAGGAAGGGAGAGGGAAAGAGAAATATCAACGAAGAGAGAGAATCATTTGATCGACTGCCTCCTGCATGCCCCCAACTGGGGATCCAGCCCACAACCTTGGAATATGCCCTTGACCAGGAATTGACCCTGAGACCCTTCAGTCCCCAGGCCTATGCTCTATCTACTGAGCCAAACCAGCTAGTGCAGACAGTAGCTTCTTGAAGCTGGCTCCTCCCAAGGCAATGGCTTCATGACACCCATTACTGACACAATATGGGCAAACCTTCCCGGTGTACGGGTGCTGGAGAACAGAAGTAAAAACCTCTCCTGGCCTCAGTTTCTGGTCTGCAAATCCACTTGGTGAAGGTGACTTGGTTTTAGATAGCAGTAAAACGGATAGGTTGGTCATATGCTTGCCTCTAGAATGAAGAAGGATGGAGGAGATCGGTGTGGGAGAAGAACATGAGGATGATCGACCTGCACAACCAGGAATACAACCTCGGGAGACAGGCCTTCACCTTGGCAATGAATGCTTTTGGTGACATGGTGCGTGTGGCCTGGGAGGCTTGCCTTGCGCTTTCTCTCCTCCCTCAGTACCTACCATACCAGCACAATGCCTCGTTTGCCAACATTCTACCTCCTTTTCCTTGAAGACCAACGAAGAGTACACGCAGGTGATGAATGGCCATCAGAACCAGAAGCACAAGAGGAGGAGACTGTTCCGGGAACCTTGCGCCGCTGAGATCCCCCCAGCCGTGGACTGGAGGGAAAAAGGCTATGTGACCCCCGTGAAGAACCAGGTAGGGCAGCACTCAGCAGGGCTCCCAAGAGTGAAGCCGTAAAACGAGTTGGCGTTGTGGCTGTGGTAGACTGTGGTAGACTGGGACAATATGTGTTTTCACTAATTTTTAAGAGTTGACACATTGTTTGGCCAAGTTGTCAAAACCTTGCTATTTGTTCTGCAGACTGAGAGCTTCTATGTTGTTTTCAGGGTCACTGTGGTTCTTGTTGGGCATTTAGTGCAACCGGTGCCATTGAAGGACAGATGTTCCGGAAAACTGGCAAGCTTGTCTCATTGAGTGAGCAGAACCTTGTGGACTGCTCTCAGGCTCAAGGCAATAAGGGCTGCAATGGTGGCCTAATGGATTATGCCTTCCAGTATGTGAAGTGCAACGGAGGCCTGGACTCGGAGGAGTCCTATCCGTATCAAGCAAAGGTAAGCAAAGTTCTTATCTCTGCCATCCCTTTAGAGCAAACAGATGCCATATTTAGAATTCATATTTTTAACTGTTTTAGAATGCATATTTTAGACCGTAGAGTCTATAAACTGTCAGAACTTTCATCAAACACAGTTCTGTTTGGGATGTTCACAGTTCTTATTCCTGGGTTACATGGAGACACACATGCCATTCTATATGTAGCACATTGTTCTTCCGAGTGAAACATTTCTTATGGAGAGGTAGACTGAATAGATACCAGCTCGTTTTTAATTTTCAAAACAGCCAGTAGCATTTCACAGGCTTAACCTGGAAATCATGAAGCTGCCTACTGCCTGAAACTCATGCTTCCCGGGAGGTGGGCTAGTAATCAGACCTCTTCCCCTTCCCCCTTAAAGGAAGGACCCTGCAAATACAGGCCCGAGGATTCTGTGGCCAATGTCACCGGCTTCGTGGACATCCCTCCGCAGGAGAGTGCCCTCATGAAGGCAGTGGCAACCGTGGGGCCCATCTCTGTTGCCATCGATGCGAGCCATTTTAGCTTCCAGTTCTATCAAGACGGTAAGCATTGTCTATGTAGAAGTTTAGGCAGAAAAATGGACACAAAGCAAGATTTCACTCTTTGGCTTGCATACTTTCTGGGTATGTGGATTTAGCGTTGTTCACTGTGCACACATAATACCTTCCCCCGGTGTTTCCGTTTGACATGATGTGAGCTATAGCGTCATGGTTTGAAGCACCTCACAAATATATTTAAATGGCTACATCATTTGATTGGCATAGCTTAATACTTGACCTTTTTCCAGTTGTTAGGCCTTTAAAATTTTCCAAAGAATTTGACTATTGTAATTAAAACTACGGAGATCCTTTGACTCAAGTTCAAATTTTGTGCTCTGTGCTATTTCCTAAGACTGACATCCTAAAAGTAGAATGACAGGGCTTCCAGAAGTGTCTGTATGCCTCCTGACTGACACATTGTTTACAAAAGAGATTGTGCCAGTTCACATTTCTGCTAGTGTTAGAGGAGGGCCTACTTCCCTAGCCTAGATTAAAAAAAAAAAAGATCTTGCTTTCAAATCTTACTTGGTTTTATGTCATTGAGCTGACTTTTGAGAGGCCTCCCTCACTGTGGTTGATATGCAGGGTTGAATTTTGCTTCCCAGGCATTTATTACGAGCGGCACTGCAGCAGTGTGAATCTGGATCATGGCGTCCTGGTGGTTGGCTATGGCTTCGAAGGAGAAGACTCAAGTGGCAATAAATATTGGATCGTCAAGAACAGGTACAAGCTGCTGAAAGTACTTCTATTTGAAAAGAAAGACATTTTTGGAATCACTATGTGGATACAGGTCTTCAAACTCTTGAGCACACTTCTGAAAATCGAGAAGTCTTTTTTCTTCTTCTTCTTTTTTTCTTTATAGTCCTATTTATTTTATTTCTTATTTTTTGTTAATCCTCACTGGAGGATTTTCTTTCCTTGCATTGATTTAAAAAAAAATATATTTTATTGATTTTTCATAGAGAGTTAGAAACATCGACCAGCTACATCCTGCACACCCCCCACTGGGCATGTGGGAGTGAGCCTGCAACCCAGGCATGTGTCCTTGACTGGAATCAACCGAGAACCCTCCAGTCTGCAGGCGGATGCTCTGTCCATAGAGCCAAACCGCCTAGGGCTGCATTGGTTATTTTTTTAGAGAGAGTGGAAGGGAGGGGGAGAGATAGAGAAAGGAATATTGATATGTGAGGGAGACATTGTTTGGTTGCCTCCCACACCCGCCTGCAACCGAGGTATGTGCCCTTGACCGGAATGGAACTCGTGGACTGATGCTTTTAACCACTGAGCAAAATCGGCTAGGGCCGAAATTTAACATTATGATCACACATTCGGATGCCTGTGTGTTCCTTAAGTGGGACAAAGACTTCTGCCGAAATCCCAGAGGTCTTCATCCCACTTAAGGAACACGGCATACGAGTGTGTGACTGTAACGTGAAGATTCTGCCTCAGCTTGCTGGAGAATCTTATAGTTTTTGTACCATTACATTTCTAAATTTGAAAAATTTCTTAATTATGGCCGAAACCGGTTTGGCTCAGCGGTAGAGCGTCTGTCTGCGGACTGAAAGGTCCCAGGTTCGATTCCGGTCAAGGGCATGTATGTTGGTTGCGGGCACATCCCTGGTAGGGGGTGTGCAGGAGGCAGCTGGTCGATGTTTCTCTCTCATTGACGTTTCTAGCTCTCTATCTCTCTCTCTTCCTCTCTGTAAAAAGTCAATAAAATATATTTAAAAGAAAAAAAAGAAAAAAATTTCTTAATTATGAAACACATCTGGCCCCAAGAGTTTGCTTTTTCTCTCTCTCTGAATTTGCAGTTCTGTGAAAGCTTTGGGGAGAGAAGTTAGGTGCAGGCTTAGAACTCAGCCAAGAACTGAAACCCCCTCTCCTGATTCTGAATCTTGTTTGGGCCTCTCGGGTGCACTGTTTAAGTATCAGGCGTAGTTGTTAATAAAAGTCCAGGTGTTTGATTATTTGTATAAAATGGAAAACCCTCCTTTCTTTCAGCTGGGGCGAAGCTTGGGGCAATAAGGGCTACATCAAGATGGCCAAAGACCGGAACAACCACTGCGGAATCGCCACTGCGGCCAGCTATCCTACCGTGTGAGAGGATGGCGATACAGAAAGTGCTCATGGAGAACAGGATGTCCAGAGGAGGCATTGCTGTCTCAACACTGACCACGTTTTCCTTCCTGGGATACAACACTGGAATCTTGAAGATCCAAACTGTGATTTGAATTCCGTGGAAATGTTGCCACTTCTTTTATAAGATGTATACATTTTTACCTCTTAAAATAAAACTTAATTTTTATTATTTTTAATCCTCGCCCAAGGGGACGTTTATAGATTTGAGAGAGACAAACGATCTGTGTGGGAGAGAAACATTGATCAGTTGCCTCTGGTACGTGTTGCGCCTGGGGACTGAGCCTGAAACCTTTTGGTGTACGGGACAAGGCTCCAGCCAGTTGAGCCACCCAGCCAGAGCTACAGCTTAATTTTATATGTAGAGGTGTAGGGTTTTTTCCGTTTTTTAGCACATTTATTTTCTAGACACAAAAATGTGCCAGAGGCCCATTAGGACAGCGGCCGGGTGGCCCTCTGGGTCCTCCCGTTGTAAGTGCTAACGATGCGGATCTTATGTCAGTTGCCTATTGGCTGGGTTTGACCCAACCCTTGAGTGGAGCACAATTTGACAAACTATAAGGACAAAGGTCAAGTATGTATTTTTTGTTAATCCATCTGAGGATATTTTTTCCGCTTAGTTTTTAGAGTGGAGGGGTGGGAGGGAAGGAGAGAGAAAAACATCAATATGAGAGAAACATGGATGCCAGTTGGGGGCCAAGATCAACTTGCAACCCAAGTGTGTGCACCTGACTTGGAATTGAACCCGTGACCCTCCAGTCCTTGGGCAGATGCTCTAACCACTTAGACAGCAGCCAGGGCAAGGGCAATTATTTATTTTTTCATTTTTTATAAGTCCTTTTATTTCTTATACCTGCAGGTTTTGTTTTTTTTTTAAATTTAATTAATCTTTATTCAGATTAATACAATAGTTTCTCCTTTTCCCCCCCATAGCTCCCCTCCACCCAGTTCCCACCCCACCCTCTGCCCTTACCTCCCTGCCACTGTCCTCATCCATAGGTGTACAATTGTCCAGTCTCTTCCTTTTTTTTTTTTAATTTAATAAAACTTTATTCAGATTATTACAATTGTTTCTCCCCCTCTCCCCCCTCTCTCTTAACTTAAAGCTCCCCTCCACCCGGTTCCCACCCACCCTCTGCCCTTACCAACCCCCTGCTGTCCTCATCCATAGGTGTATGATTTTTGTCGAGTTTCTTCCCGTACCCCCACACAGACACCCCTTTCCCCCTGAGAATTATCAATCTTCGCCTTTTCTATGAAGGGCAATTATTTAAATAAGGAAAAAATTCACATTTTAGAAAAATCGAACAAACACACACACACACACACACACACACACACACACACGTGTGATTGCCAGGTTAAAAAGGGGCCTTAGAAATGGTTATTTGACCCAAGGTAATGATAACCCAACTGAGTTATAGGGGGAATGTCAGTTTTTGCTGCATCTTCCTCAACTGCTAGCGAAGACCACCTGGCTGCTGGCAGTCAAAGAAGGCCTGGACCTGGTGGATGGCCAAGAATGCTTGTCAGCTGGCAGTTCAAGACGTGTCTGGCTTGTGGGTCAGTGCATGGTGCTTATGTATTGTGGCAGTATTGCAGATGTCCCCCATTTTACCCCTTTGTCCACTACCACCCAGTCCCCACCTCCCCCTCCGCTGGCCTTCACCATTGTGTTATCTGTGTCCATTGGTTAGTTCCCTACTCCTACCCCTTCTCTCTGGTTCTGTTTTGTGTCCGTTTAATTTGTCCATTGGATTCCACATATAAGTGAGATAACATGGTATTTATCTTTTTTTTTTAGAGAAATGGAGTGATATTTATTATGCGCGGGTGGTATTTATCTTTTAATGATACAACTCGAGTAAGAACATTTTTTATTAAGGTACTAGTGGCCCATTGCAGGAAGATTCCTGCTGGTCGATGACCCCCTGCTTTTCTCCCTTCTCCCCTAGCCCTCCCTCCTTTCCTCCCTTCTTCCCTGTACCCACCTGCTTTCCTTCCTTCTCCCTGCCCCGCCTGCTTGCTTCTCTGCAGCTTGGCTCCCTTCTGTAGCACTTGGCTTCTTTCTACACTGTTTTCAGTCTTTGCTCTGGCCTGGATATGCAAATTAATCACCATCTTGGTTGGGTTAATTTGCATGCTCATCCTGATTGGCTGGTGGGTGTGGCTTGTGGGCATAGCAAAGGTATGGTCAATTTGCATGTTTCTCTTTTATTAGGTAGGATTGTATATGTACATATTTTACCATTGCTCCCCCAACCCACTCCCAAACATGCCCTCACCCCCCCAGTGTTTTGTGTCCATTGGTTATGCTTATATGCATGCATACAAGTCCTTCAGTTTATATATTATAAGAAGGGTTAAAAAAAAAAAAAGGGTTGTTGTACTTTCTCTTAAGGCCATTAGTTTTCCAGATTTAATGATGAGATTCAGCCCCTGTGTATGAGCCTGGCCAGTGTTTCTAGCTCAAGGTCAGCTTCTCTGACAGCTCAAGATGTCACTTCTTGCAGCCAGGTCTCTCCTGCTGTGGTGAAGGTCACTGGACCATTGTTGCTGGGGTGGGGAGGGAAGGACACTGCGTGTATGTTTGGATGGATGAGAGAGGGGGAGAGAGAACACAGATCTCCTTTGGATCTATGATCTGGAATTTTTATAAATGTTATTGGGTATGAAAATTATGCCCAGGAGTCCTTAGGCTAAAGCAGTGGTGGGCAAACTCATTAGTCAAATATCCACAGCACAACGATTGACATTTCTTTTGAGAGCCAAATTTTTTAAACTTAAACTTCTTCTAACGCCACTTCTTCAGAATAGACTCGCCCAGGCCGTGGTATTTTGTGGAAGAGCCACACTCAACGGGCCAAAGAGCTGCATGTGGCTCGCGAGCCGCAGTTTGCCGACCACTGGGCTAAACTGAACTAGCCACATATCAAGTGGCGGATGGCTTCCCTCGAAGTGATTTTATCTGCTGCGCAACCCTAGCTCTCAGAAGTCACATCTCCACTCATCTTCCTTTGGGGTCCATTTTCCACACCTGGGAGAATCTGGAAGTAGATTCTTGATAAAATTAAACGGGGGGTGACCCGGTCACCAGTAAGTCTCCGTGTGTAACCACGTCCCTCAGCCGGTGCTTAGACTGGGGTCACGGGGCTCAGTGACAGAAGGTTCTCGGGACCCAACGAGCCCCACAGCGGCACTCAGCACAGCGACGCTGTGGCTCCCCGGGGAGGCTCCTCTCGCTCTCTCGGCTCCCGTGGTTCAGAGCCGCCTTCTTGAGCCTGATGCTCAAATGTCTGTGTCAGGGCCAGGCTTCTCCAAAAGGACTGAGGGGGTGGGCACTGCCTTTTCTGAGAGCCCACGGGGCCGTGTCCCTTAGACTTTCCCAGGTGTTGCTTCTGACCAGAATGGAAAAAACCTTCCGGATGTCCTTGGAGCGGACGTGGTTGTTGGCGCAGGGAGCACAGCTCTGCTGTCTGTGGTCCCTGGACTAAGAGTCCGCTCGGGGATTTGTAAGACTGAAGAAAGTAAATGCAGGACAGATAGGAGATGTCCAAACCTGTAGATAATTTTTAAAAATTTATTTTATTGTGTGTGTGTTTTTTTTACAGAGAGGGACAGAGTCAGAAACATCGATGAGAGAGAATCATCAACACCCCCACCCGGGATGTGCCCGCAACCAAGAATCGAACCTGGGACCCCTCAGTCCGCAGGCCGATGCTCTATCCTCTGAGCCAAACCGGTTTCGGCTGTCGGTAATTTTTATAAAAATGTATTTGAGCCCCCCCTGGCTTGGTTGCTCAGTTGGTTAGAGCAGTGGTCAGCAAACCACAGCTCTTTGGCCCCTTGAGCGTGGCTCTTCCACAAAAATTCCACGGCCTGGGCGAGTCTATTTTGAAGAAGTGGCGTTACAAGAAGTTTAAGTTTAAAAAATATGGCTCTCAAAAGAAATGTCAATCGTTGTGCTGTTGATGTTTGGCTCTGTGGATAAATGAGTTTGCTGACCACTGGGTTAGAGCATCTTCCTAATATACCACGGTTGTTGGTCTGATCCTGGCCAGGGCACATAGGAGAATCAACCAATGATGCATAAATAAGTGGAACAAGCTGGTGTTTCACTCTTCCCCTTCCTTTCTCAAAAATTTTAAAGAAATGGTACAGTTCTTTACGATTACCGTACTTGCTCAGCATTCCCCCCGTCCCTTTCTTCTGTTCGCCCAGGGTCCCTGGGGCCAGTCACATAACTCAGTCTCCTTCAGCCAGAGGGATAGCCCTGTGAACCGCGCTGGGCCGGTCAGAATCCTCTGGGATTTCAGGCGTACAGGAGGCTGCTCCTGCCAACCGGCCAGGCTCCTCTGGGATTTCACGAACTGGTGCTGCCAGAGGCAAACCTCTTGCCTCTGGGTTCTAGCTGCCTGATACTATACCCCTGGGATGTAAAGTGCTCTTGAAGTAGAAAGGAATGAAGTTGGCATGAGGAGGGAGGTGACACAAGAAAAGGAGGTCCTATTCTCCTAAGGCAACCACAGTTTTTATTTGTGACATCTTTCCTAGGTATGCCTATGTATAGCTTTTAGTTGATTTTCATTAAGTATTATTTTTTAGTATAAAAGTAAAAGTTAAAAAAAAAGTATTGAATGTATAATCATGTATAATGTGACTAATTTGGGCAGTACAGGAATGAACTGCATTCCTTCCCATCTACAGAGAAAAGCCATTGTTAACATTTTCATCATTTATTTATTTACAGAGAGCTAGGGAGAGACATATCAAGTGGCCCGGACTGGGATCGAGCCTGCAAACCGAGGTACGTGCCTTTGACTGGAATTGCGCCCAGGACCCTTTCATTGAGGGCTGGTGCTTTATCCATGGAACCAAACCAACCAGGACCACCCCTACCATTTTAGTCTTCCTCCTTCCAATATATATATATATATATATATATATATATATATATATATATATATATATATATATTCCCCCCCCCCCCATTTAAAAAAAAAAAAGCAATCATGAGATTTTACTAAATATAGGCTTTGGTCACTTAGAGCTTCTGTGTCTCACAGCTGCTATGCAGGTCCAAACCAGAGTTTCTAGTTGGTTGATATTTAAAGGGCAGGAAGTATCTTTTTTTTTTTTTAAAGTATCTTTTTCAGCAGGTTTTCTCTTGCTCCTGTAGGGCATTATTCCCTTACGTTAGTATAGAAACAGAAAGCTTCCTTTGTCTCCCCATTGCTGAGACTAAATGATTCCACTGTGTGTGTGTGTGTGTTTTTGGTTCACCCAAGGAAAAATGGAAGGAGTCTCTTTAAAGCACATGTGTCAAACACAAGGCCCGCGGGCCAAATCCGTCCCGCCAGGCCTTGCAATGTGGCCCGCACCGCGCTGTCATCACTGCACTCCGCTGCATTTCCATCACAATGACAGTTTATGACTGTTCAGTAAACCATTCGGCCCGCGATTTAGGCTGGATTTTAGATTTTGGCCCCTTCTCTGATTGAGTTCGACACCCCTAAAGTGAGGACAAATGTGAAAATCAGTGGGGCTCTTTATCTTTAAAAAAATATATATTTTATTGATTTTTTGCAGAGAGGAAGGGAGAAGGATAGAGAACTAGAAACACTGATGAGAGGGAAACATCGACCAGCTGCCTCCTGCACACCCCCCACTGGGGACATGCCCGCAACCAATGTACATGCCCTTGACCGGAATCAAACCCGGGACCTTTCAGTCCACAGACCGACGCTCTATCCACTGAGCTAACCCTGTTTCGGCTGGGCTCTTTTTCTTCCCCACATCATTCCTAATTGTAGTCATAATTAAGCTGGGTTGTTTTCCAGACCTGGGAGTTTATCTTTCATAACTTCTGGATTATAGATTCACCTGCCCCACCACATGCGGCATAGGTAAGTAAAAACAGAGCAAAAAGAATTCCTTTTGAATTAAAGACCAACAAACTAATGCAACAAGCAATAGTTTATTTTTTTTTAAAAAAGGGGGGAAAAACAACAAAAAGAAAAACAAGTGACCTCTTTTACTATCTCATAGATTAAGTAAAAATACTTGTTGTATTAATATATATGTATATACATACTGCATATATATATATATACACACACACACAAACACACATATGATATAACATTAAAATTACATGCTTCTCAGTACAGAAGAATTAGGACATGTTCCCCATTTGATTTTAAAACTCTATCACAATTTAAAATCACTGCAATAAAACTTGCTTCCTTTTTCTTCTTTTGTAGATTTCAAGTACAGGAAGTTGTCAAACCAGGACCTCAGTGTGGAAAACCGTCTGCTATGCACACATGACGACGGACAGCCACAAACCGTGAGTCTGGGGTTTTTGAATTCTCACACGGATCTTCGTAGCCCTACAACTGTCACCCTTCTACCTGAGACGAGAGGGAATGACGAAGCGCCACAGTCTGTCGACTCCACGTGGACGTTCACATTGACGTTTCAACGAAAGCTAACGAGTACATGTCACCGTAGCAACAACACTGGCCGTGAAATCCCTCTAGAGGAGGGCTCCTCCCCCCCACCTTTCCCCGCCAAACAAAACACAAAAAGGTTGCCCGGAAAAGAACCCAACACAAATCGGAGGGTGAAGCACCTCTGGCGATGGTCAGCACACAGCAAGGAGCAGAGAGAGGGAGCGTTTCCTTCGGGGCAGCTCCCGGCTGACGCGATGATTTTCAAACACACCCTCGTCTGCAAAAGGCACTCACATATTGTCTATTTATAAATCATACAGTGGGAGTCCATACATGAGGGGTTTTCCTATAAATATAAAAAAGATAAGCTGAGGGCATGATATATATAACAAAGGAAAAAAAAAAAAGAGTATGAAATGCACATTTAGGATAAATGTGCGCTTTTTCATTGAAAGGACAACCGATAGAAGCGTTAGAAATTTTTCATTGAAAAGTTAGGAATTCCAGGAAAACCGTCAGTCAAGAAGCAAGGGACTAGATAGAGGCTGGGAGATGGAGTCTGGGACACCGAGAGGAGGGACGCTAGCTCCTCAAATGGCCACAAACGGACGGGCGTGATTAGCTCTTAAATGAGAAAAGACCTTTCGCTCACAAAGGGCTGGGTGGGAGGGAGGAAGGGGGGGAGGGCAGGAGGGAGGGGTTAGCAGAGACATAGGTGCAGCAGGAGGGAGGGGGGGGCATAGGAAAGTGGGGTGGAGGGGTGGGGGTGCGTCTGGAATCTCTGAGGGAACAGATGGCTGCATCCCCCCTTGCTTTTGCAGCCTGAAGACACCCTTGCCCGAGCCAAAGCCGCCCTCACCTGGACACGACCGAGCTAATGGAATTGTACGAGGTGCCGCTGTTGCAGCTCGAGGCGTAGGCCTCCTGGCCGTTGCCGTCGAGGTGGATTTTGAGCACCGAGGACGCCTTCAGGAGAAAGTCAGCCGCGTCCCGGCGCCCCAGCTCCCGGAGCCTGGCCATGAGGACCCCGACGGTGCTCTCGGGGAAGGCGGTCCACTCCCGGAGCAGGGCGTGCGCCGGGCTCGGGAGGAACTCCCCGGGGGCCCCGTGGTGGTGGTGGTGGTGGTGGTGGTGGTTGGCGGTGTTGTACTTGGCCACCAGGTCGGGGAGGCCCAGGTTCATGGCGAGGAGGCACCAGTCCTTGCCCATGGGGTCGGGCGGGTCCAGCAGGCGGCTGAGCTTCCTCCGCGTCAGGAGGTTCAGGTCGGACGCGTGGATGTCCATCCCCAGGCTGGCCTGCGCGTAGATGTCGTGGCAGCCGAAGCACATGATGCTGCTGAAGCTCTCCTTGTAGCCGCCCATGGTGTTGGTGAGCGAGGTCTCCTTGAGGGCCTGCGCCCGGAAGAAGTCCCGGGGCTGGTAGATCATGACGGGCTCGTGGTGCTCCCTGAGCTGCTGGGGGCTCAGGTAGTGCTTCACGGTCAGCAGCCCCGGCAGCGTGGTGGCCACGACGTTCTCGATGGTGCTGCACACCGAGTCCAGCAGGAGGCAGCACTTGGCCTTCTCCGTCTCCAGCCCGCGCACCTGTACCTCGATGCCCTGGCCGTGGTTGACCAGGAGCACCAGCAGCTCGGCCCCGCGGTTGGCCACCTTGCAGCCACTCACCCACAGGCGGATGTCGGCGTCCCCCTCGGCGCTCTGCTGGTGGATCCAGCGGCACAGGTTCACCTGGACCTTGTGGAAGATGCCGCAGGGAAAGGGGGCCAGGTGCTCCACGGGGACGATGCGGACGCCGCCGTACACCATCACCTCGTCCTCCTCGTCCGTCCAGGAGCGGTGCAGGTTGTCCGTCTTGATGAGGGCGGGGATGTCCACCATGGCCCCGCTGCTCAGGTCGCGGGCACAGATGTCCATGGCGTCCAGGATCTGCAGCAGCTCGTCCACGTCGCTGTCGGGCACCAGGCGCTGGATGTCCTCCGTGGTGTAGCGGCCCCGGTAGTGGTGCAGGGCCCGCGGGGTCTCCACCGAGAGCAGCTTCCCCAGCACGTTGGTGCAGAGCCAGCGGGGGTCCAGGAGCAGCACGTCCTGCACCGTTTCGCTCTGCATGATGTTGATCTGCCCGGGGGAGACAACGAGAAGTCACGGCACAGGAACCTACAGGAGCAGAGAACTCACGGGCCCGAGCAGGGACACATCTGAGCACATGTTGCAAAGAAGGGTTCCTCCATCACTGCATGGCTGGCTCTCAGATATCAATTACTAAGCTAAACCCCAGTTTGAGAATGTTTTAAGAGGAATTTTGAAAAAACCATGAACTCTTAAAAAAAAAAAAAAAAGAATAAATAAAAAAAGTGAGAGATGGCAGCTATGAAATGATTTTTGACTAGATTCTGTTCCAAAATAAGTAAAAGCAGCTATAAAGGAAATTATTGGCACAAGTGGAAAACAATTGAATAAGGACTACATATTCAGTAGTATGTCAATAGTATGTGTCCAGAATGGGATTAGTATTAATTATATTGTGGCTATGTGGAAAAATGTCCTCTTTAGGAGATCCAGGCCAAAAGCTTTTTTTATTTTTATTTTTATTTTAGGGAGAGGAACTAAATAAAATCAGGAAGGAAAGAGAAGAGACAACCCACCACAGAAATACAAAGGATTGTAGGAGGACAGTATGAGCAGTGAGACACCGACAAATTCGACAACCTAGAATAAATGGCTGAGTTCCTAGAAACAACCCTCCAAAACTGAATGTTGAATTGGTCTGTTCAGATTTTCTGCTGTTTCCTGATTCAATCAGTGGTCAGAAAACTCCCAACTAATAAAGTTCCAAGACTAGAAGGCTTCCCAGGTGAATTCTAAGCGTTCCAAGAGTTCACACCTATCCTTCAGCTCTGAAGAGGGAAGGCTCTCCAACTCAACAATCACCCTGACACCTCCTGGGGCCCTGCCCGCCCGGAGCCCTCACCTCGCCAGTGCTGTGGAGCTGCTGGGCGATGCCCCGGAGGTCCTCCTCGCTGGCCAGGGGGTTCAGCTGGTCCTGCACGTCGTACACGAACTGCTGCAGCGACATCAGCTGGTTGGGCCCGTTGAGCTTCCTCCAGGACGGCAGCGTGGAGATGATTTTCTCACACAGGTGGGTCATCGGAGGGCAGACCTCGAATGTGCAGGACGTGACAGGTCAGTTTATAGCTGTGGGGACTCAGCAGGAGACTGGGTTTTCATGGGGACAGTTGAATCTCTTCCATTTAGACTTAATTCTTGGTATTGGCTTGAAATGGGTTTTTAATCTTTGAACTTGATTAAATGTAAATCAGTCTGCTACAGACTCATCTACCCAACCACACCTTCCTAATTGTAAGCCACAGCAGCCTTTCCCTGCACCCTGTCACTCATGAGGCTGTCCCCTGGTGGACAATGGCTTTTAGGTCAGCTGAATTCCACTCCTTATTAAAAAACCCCACACAGAATGCCCAGGGATACAGGTAAGCTCCAACAGCCTTACCTCAGGAGTGGAAGGTGTGTGTGAAGCGAACATCATGCCACACCCTGAGAACACAGTCTCACTCCATTTGTTCGTCTATTATTTTATGCCCTTCAACAAGTGTTCTTGGCAAATTTTTTCTACTTTCTGCATTTTCTAAATATTTCACAAGCTGCTTTTTTGTATCCTTATATATAAAACCCTAATATGCGAAAAGACTGAACAGTGGAACAACTGAACCACGGTTGCTATGACTGGGGGCACGTGTGGATCATGGCGGGCGTCGGCTGCAGCAGGATGGTGGAGCAGGTGAGTGGGGGTGTCAGACCAAGAAGGGGCACCGGTCGCTGGCATTGGGGCAAACCTCCGGTGGTTACTGAGAATTCTTTGCTCCCGTGTGCCACGGTCCCGCCTGCTGCTCACACCCACTAGATCGCTTGATGCCGTCAGCGGGTGCGAGCGGCGGCTGCTGGGCCTGAATGCTCCTGAGGGTTCTCCACCTCCCCTGCTCCTGAGGGGCGATTGGGGCAGCAGCCACCTCGTACCTGCTGCTGGTGGCCCTGCTGCCAGCACCCAGTGCCAGTCCTGACTGCTCGGTGCCGTCAGCGGGTGCAAGTGGCGGCTGCTGGCCCGATTGCTCCTGAGGGCTTCTCCACCTGCCCCTGCTTCTGTCGGGCGATTGGGGCAGCAACCACCGCTTGCACCTGCTGATGGCACCAGCCCCAATTGCCATCAGCAGGTGTGAATGGGGCCAGTGTGTTGGAGCAGCAGTGGCGGTGGTGTGGGGCTGCCGGCAGAGAGGGGACTGGGGGCTGCAGCTGGAGGGGTCGGGCGGGGGTATGGAGGGTGGGCCGAGAGGCTCTCCTGTGCCCACTTTACCCTCGCAGCCAGAGTTCCTTTCAAGGTGCATGAATTTGCGCAATGGGCCCCTAGCATATCTCTCTCTCTCTCTCTCTCTCTCTCTCTCTCTCTCTCTCTCTCTCTCTCTCTCTATATATATATATATATATATATATATATATTTTTTTTTTTTTAATATATTTTTATTGATTTCAGAATCAAACCCAGGACCCTTCAGTCTGCAGGCTGACTCTGCATTCACTGTGCCAAACCAGCTAGGGCTGTATCATTATATATTTTACTAATCTATTAAGTTTATAGATGTGACATTGGTTAATACATTTTGTTTCAATAGTACAATGTATAATATATCCTCTGTCTATTGCATTGTGATCACCACCCAAAATCTAGTCTCTTCCCACCACCGTTACCATAAGTTTGACCCCCTTCGCCCTCTTCATCCTCCTCCGACTCCTCTCCCCTCTGCTAACCACCTTTCTGTTGTGTCTATGAGTCTGTTTGTTTTGTTAGATCATTCATTGCTTTCTGCTTTATAGTCCATACAGAGTGAAATCATATGGTTCTTCACCTAAGTCACTTTTGAATTGCTCTTGCAATGTGTAAAAAGCAATCTTACTTTTAAACCAATCACTAAAACCATCAGCGTATCCCACACTCTTCCATAACAACGCCTTCTCCTCCTCTCTGCTCTGTCTCCCTCGACCCAGAGCAATAAGATAAAAACTTCTCCACGCAGCCACCTCGCCCTGGGGCCCCTGAAAACCGAGCCAAACCACCTCCAGGGTCCCTGGGGGGCTGGCCAGGGGTGGGGGTCCTGCCCTCCGCAGGCGGCATACTCACAGAAACAATCTGGCTCCGTATTTCCTGCAGGTGATTTCGAAGAACCTTCATGTCCTTCGACCCCGAAGCCCCAGCGTCCAGAACAAACAGCTTATTTGAAATGTGAAGGTCATTCCCAAATCTAGGAGGGAAGAGCAGGAGCCTCATCAGAGCCACGCAGTCTCGCCAGGTGTCCCCCCGGCTGGGCCCACGGCTGGTCGGAGGCCAGGAAGTTCTGGCGACCTTCAGAGGCCCCTCCCTGCTGTCCGCTGGCTCTGTGAGGCCACACGGGAGCAGAGGCCCCACCAGATGGCAGGGACACAGTGCGAACAGCATCGGCTGCCCGGCTGCGGGGACCGTACAGGTCATGAGAAGAGATGCTGTTGCAGTGAACAGAGTAAGAACAGAGGGATGAGCGTGAAAGGTACAGCCCTGATCAGAAAATGTTAGCAGAAGCCCTGCTTTCACACCAGGAAGGTAAGAGGTAATGTCTTCAGCCGAGAGTTGAGTTACTCGCACACTGCACAGAGCTGCAGGTTGACAGGTACTAAGTAGGAAAGAAGGGAGGTTTACAGTGGTGAGTGTGCAAGACACAGAGTTTATTCCTGTATTGTTATTGACTGATTGTTGCATTATTTCCCATACGAACAACGGTGGGCCGACTGCCGCCCTGCTCTGTATTTTTAGCACGTGACCCTGTGCACGTCCATATTGACGAGGGAAACTAGAGCTTTGCAAAACTACTGGACAGGAAGTGCATGCAGCTAGTCTCTGCGGGACTCCCTGAAGTTGACCAACTCCTGATCAACTTCAGGGAGTTGGTCCGGACCCTGTGAGTGAATTTCATAACCCAGTATTTTGATAAATATTGATCATTGGCATCATTACTCATAAAAACAAACACACACCTGGAAGCTCAGACAACTAAGAACTAAGGATCTAATGCACATGTGTCAAACACAAGGCCCGCGGGCCAAATCCGTCCCGCCAGGCCTTGCAATGTGGCCCGCACCGCGCTGTCATCACTGCACTCCGCTGCGTTTCCATCACAATGACAGTTTATGACTGTTCAATAAACCATTCGGCCCACGATTTAGGCTGGATTTTAGATTTTGGCCCCTTCTCTGATTGAGTTCGACACCCCTAATCTAATGTATAGCATGGTGATCATGGTTGACAACACTGCATTTGCAGTTAGAATTTGCTAACAGAGTAGAACTTAAATATTCTCCTCAAAAAGAGAGAGTTGGTTTGGCTCAGTGGATAGGGCGTCGGCTGGCGGATGGAAGGGTCCTGGGTTCAATTCCAATCAAGGGAACGTGCCCAGGTTGCAGGCTCGATCCCCAATAGGGGGCATGCAGGAGGCAGCTGATCAATAATTATCTCTCATCATTGATGTATCTCTCTCTCCTTCTCCCTTCCTCTCTGAAACCAATAAAAACAAATTCAAAAAAGATGTGAACGATGATGTTTTAATTCACTCGGTAGTGGGAATCCTTTCACAGTGTAAATACGTATCACAGGACCACAACGGACACTTTAAATAGCTGACAGTCGTATCTGTCGACGACGCCTCAATAAACGGGGGGGAAAACACCCCACATAAAACAGCTCAAAGGCAGCGGTACCAGGAGGTGAATAGAGAAGTGAGGAGGCTGCTGCTTTTTATCCTGTGTTACTTTCTTATTTGATTTATAATTATTTGTATTCATTGCTTTGATAAAAAATGAAAAATACAACAAAAAGGCCAGCCATGCTGAAATGGGTTTGGCTCAGTGGATAGAGCATCGGCCTCCGGACTGAAAGGTCAAGGGCATGTATCTTGGTTGCGGGCACATCCCTGGTGGGGGGTGTGCAGGAGGCAGCTGATCGATGTTTTTCATCGACGTTTCTGTCTCTCTCCTTTCCTCTCCGTAAAAAAAATCAAGTAAAAGGCCACCCAGGAAAAAAGGCCTTTCTCCTCTCTCTAGTTCAGAGGTTTTGGCTGTGTTGGCCCCGAGGACCCGGGGGCTGCCCTCCCTTACCTGTTCCTGATCTCCTTCAGCAAAGCCGTGTCCTTGTCGTACCCAAACTCGCCGCCCGCCGGACGCGGGACGTTCATGATGTCGGCGTGTGTGGCCACCAGGACGACGCGCAGGGGGTTCTTCAGCTTGCCGCCGAAGGCTGGGGCGGAGAGCACAGGTTCAGAGGCCGGCACCCTTCCTGCCGCCTCTCCCCGCTGTGCGGTGGGGTGCCCCAGGCCCCTCGCTCTCTGCCCGAGGCTGCGAGGCCCGTGCCTGCTGTGCACAGTCACCTCCGGGCCGGGGCTGCCAGGACCAGAACGAGCCTGCTTTCTGGGCCTCACGGGAAGGGGCTCAGAAATGGACCAGAACCGGCCACACAACACAAGGCAGCTTCTCACATCTGTCTCCAAGTGGGAGACCTAACTGGTTTGGCTCAATGGATAGAGAGTCAGCCTGCGTACTGAAGGGTCCCAGGTTCGATTCTGGTCAAGGGCATGTGCCCTGGTTGTGGGCACATCCCCAGTAGGAGGTGTGCAGGAGGCAGCTGATCGATGTCTCTCTCTCATCAATGTTTCTAGCTCTCTATCCCTCTCCCTTCTCTGTAAAAAAATCAATGAAATGTATTAAAAAAAAAAAAAAGTTAAAGTGATGGTGCTCCATTATGGGGGGAGGGTGTGAAGCTCCGTGTATCTGGTTATATGAATGCTTTTCAAAGCAAAGATGCCCACTGGGCTTCGTATTTCACCAGAGAAGGCTGCTGCTTGTGCTGCAGGGAAAGGACGATGCTATCGCCCCCTCTGGAATGAAGACGGGGTAATGCCTCTAGTCAGCACGGTCCCTTTCCTTGCACGGGGAGGGAGCCCCAGAACGCAGAGAGCTCGTTCTGCTTGTGAACTATGTGCCCCGGAGGCAAAGGTGCGGTAGCTACTGAAGGAGACATCCCACTTTGCACCCAACAAAAGTGCTCCCCGCCCCGAAACAGAAAAAGAGAGTGAGAAACAGTTCTCGAGGAATAAGCTCAGAATCAGGCCTCGGTGACAGAAGCGTGTAATCAAGAGACACCTCCCTGAGGAAGGAGATGAACAGCTGGCCCTCGGGGAGCCGCCGGAGGGCGGACCTTCCTGCAGGAAGGAGGGGCACGGAGCACCGCTGGGAGCACCAGTGGCCTGAGCCGAGCCCAGCGGGCAGCAAGGCCAGCGAAGGGCGCTCGCCCGCCCAGGGGTGTCTGAGCTTACCTATGGGCTCCTCCACCGGCACAAGAGACTTGAGGAAATTGAGCCAGAAAACCACTTGGTTCAGCTGGATCTCGAAGGGTTCTTCCAGACTGAACACGATGACGTGGATCGATGTGGGGTCGTTGGCAGCAAAATAATCGTAGGAGCAGAAGTAGACGGGGTTTCCGGAGAACTCCCACACGCTGAAGTCGCCAACCCCTGCGGAGGAAAGCAGAGAGGATGGCGCGGTTTTCCCAGTGGCTTACGGCGCCCAGCAGGGGCAGGGCCGTCCACGGCCTTCATCCGTGGATCTGGGCTTCCACCTGACATGCTGCGGGCGGATAACAAGGATTACCGTGTTTTCTGTTCTGAGGCTTGTAGCCAATTACGAGAATTCTTTAAAAAGATATTAGCTTGCCGAAACCAGTTTGGCTCAGTAGATAGAGCATCAGCCTGCGGACTGAAGGGTCCCAGGTTCGATTCCAGTCAAGGGCATGTGCCCGCTGAGGATGCCCTCCCCCTTTATCTATGCCCGCAAGGGTCATGCCCAGTAGGGGGTGTGCAGGAGGCGGCTGATCAATGTTTCTCTCTCATCGATGTTTCTAACTCTCTATCCCTCTCCCTTCCTCTCTGTAAAATAAAAAAATCAATAAAATATTTTTAAAAAAGATATTAGCTTGTAGGAACGTGCAATCACTTCAAAGTGCAATGGGGTATTTATTGAAGCGTGCCTTTTACATTTATGTAAAACTATTTTTTTTGTACTTGTCCAATAGAAATGTAACCTGGCCACTGGGTCAAGTTGGCAACGAAACGACTGGTCCGCAGTGTGTTAGGCCCAGATCTATGTATGGAACACAGACCTAGCTTTGTGACGAATGCATTTGGAAGATCCTGGGGCTTTTCTAAGCCTCCTCCTGGGGCACAGGCACGCGAGGTCTGGCAGTGAAGGCCTTCGTGTGCAGTTCCCGGAACCCAGAGCGAGGCCCTGAACACGGGGAGGCATGTTCTTGGGGTGGGGAGGCCTGGGCAGAGCAGGGGTGAGGGCAGGGCTGGGGAGTGCTGAGGGTGCTCTCCTCCTTTTATCTATGCTGCAGAGCCAGCTTTGCTAGAACATTCCATTTTTAAGAGAATTAAATGTGAGCCCTGACCGGTGTGGCTCAGTGGATAGAGCGTCAGCCTGCAGACTAAAGGGTCCCCGGTTCGAATCCGGTCAAGGGCATGTGCCTTGGTTGCAGGCACACCCCAGTAGGGGGCGTCCAGGAGGCAGCTGATTGATGTTTCTCTTTCATCAATGTTTCTAGCTCTCTATCCCTCTCCCTTCCTCTCTGTAAAAAAAAAAAAAAAAAAAAAAAAGAAAAAAAAAAAAAGAAAAGAAAAGAAAAGAAAGAGAAATAAAAATGTGCCCTAATGAGTGAGTCTCAGTAGATAGAGCGTCGGCCTGTGGACTGAAGGGTCCCAGGTTCGAGTCTGGTCAAGGGCATGTACCTTGGTTGCAGGCACATCCCCAGTCGAGGGTGTGCAGGAGGCAGCTGATGATTCTCTCTCATTGATGTTTCTAACTCTCTATCCCTCTCTCTAAAAAATGAATAAAATATATTAAAAAAAAAAAGTATTAGCCCTGGCTGGGTAGCTCAGTTAGAGTGTTGTCTTAGGTTACAGGTTCAATGCCAAGGTTGAAGGTTCAATCCCCAGCCAGGGCACGCACAATTATCAACCAATGAGTGCATAAGCAGAACGACAAACCAATGTTTCCTTCTCTCTCTCTCTCTCTCTCTCATCAATCAATGAACTAAAAAATGTATTTACTTGACACTCATTTAATAAGCACCTACTGTGTGCCCTGTGCTTTATTAGGAGTAGAGGATATCACGTGTTGGATTTACTTTTCAGGGCCTGTGAGGGTGTCCCCGGGGCCAGGCTCCCAGGGGGTCCCTCACAGCCCTGGCAGAGGGGCCTTCCCTGCTGGTGGGCGGGCCGGACGTACCGTTCAAGTAGGCGTTCTGGATGTCGATGGCCTTGGTGGACTGGTCGTCGGCGGAGCAGTGCGGGTGGTGGGACGGGGCCACGAACACCTCCAGCATCCCCTTGGTGAGGCCCGGCTCGAACATCATGCTGCGACTCCGCACGCTCACGTTCTCGCAGCCCGGGTACAGGTTGTTGATGCTCACGGACACTGAGGAGAGGAGGCGGTGAGACGCGCCCAGGGCACCGAGCACGCCTGCCCGCCCTCCCTCCCGGCTTTCGCTCGCCTTGTCCGTTCCTGGGACATCCCTGTCCCCACCCCACTCCCGCTCCAGGCCCCGGGGTGGGGGTGGCCCTCGGGTGTGCTGTGCGGCAGCACTTCCCACAGATGTTGGGCTGATTCTTTGTCTCTCTCCATCCCCCTCAACCCCCCCACCCCTCACCAAGGACGGCCTCTCCCAGGCTTGCTTGCCATTTGCTGCTGTGTTGGGTCAGCCTAAGGCAAACCAGTTTCCTGCTGTCTGCCAGTTATGAACGAGGCGATGCGAGCCTCTCCCCCAGGAAAGGAAAAAGGCCTGGCCATTCTAGTGATCAAGGGCCCGGGGGATGGCAGGGCAGGCAGGGCCCCTCTGCCACTCCAAAGTGACAGTGTCGCTGCTTCTGGAAACACACCTCCTTCCCGGAGGCCACAGCCCCCCATCACAGCCTGCCCCTCCCCTCAGCCCCCCAGTGCTCCCAGCTGGCCCTCACAGCACCTCCTATTGGTGCCACACTCTGCTTTTCCCAGGACATGGCGAATGCTGTTTTGTGAGGGCCAGGAAGTGACTAGGGCTCGGGGGCCCAGGCCCTGGTGCTGCTGCCTGGGCCGGTGGCGCCCTCAGCCCAGGGAGTGCTTGCCCCTGCACTGGGCAGGAGGGCCTGCCACGGGGCCCGCAGGCAGGTCTAGAGTTAACTGAAGAGGAGTCTGTCTCTTCCAGAGGCTGTGTAGGCGGACACTTTCCCCACCCCTCAGAGCAGGCCGCCCTCCTGGGCATCCAGCACCATAGGCCTCACGGCTCCCCTTCTCTTCCACCCTCGCCTCGGCCCTTCAGGACCATAGATCCAAACACATCTCTCTGTTTTTGGTCTGTCTCTCTGTTTCTCTCTCTCTCTCTCTCTCTCACAGTCTCCGCCGCCCTCCCTGCCCCTCACGGCGGTGCAGCCTGGAGTGACCTTGACCCACAGCGGGAGAGCTGGCCTGGCTCCCTCTGGGTGACACTATAACTGCCAGAGAAGCTGAGCTTGGACTTGGAATGCTGGCAAAATTACAGCGGGAAATGGAAAGTGTGTGCACACAACAGCCCTTACTTGGAAGTTGTGTCATTACTATGCTGTGGCTCAGGAGCCAGACATTCTGTAAGCTGCCAGCTGTGTGACTCGGACAGCCTATGTCACCCCTCACGGCTTCTGTATGACGGTGGTAAACACACCCCCTCACCCTGTCCGTAGATGAAAGGTTTCACACGGCCATGTTTTGCCCAGCTCCTGACACACAGATAGTGCCCGGCAAGAATTACCGTGTTTCCCCGAAAATAAGACATCCTCCGAAAATAAGACCTACTTATAGGTTTCCTTCTGAGTGAAATATAAGGCATCCTCCCTGAAAATAAGCCCCCTCCCCCCCCAGGCTAAACATGAGAGATTTGGTCCACTGATTCTGAAAGAAATGGAGTCACAAGAAATTCACCAGGAAATTCAGGAATTGGATTGTTATGATGATGTTCCAGAAGATGATGACATGATTGTCATTGAATAAATGAGTAAATTCTTGATACTGTAGGATTCACAGTTTGTCTGGTTTGTGTTGACAACTACCGTACTACCGCACCGTATACAGGTAATAAATTTCCGTTATTTTCATTTACTAACCATAAATGTGTACTATACTCTTCTTCATGGAAAAATAAGGCATCCCCTGAAAATAAGACCTAGCGCATCTTTGGGAGCAAAAATTAATATAAGACACTGTCTTATTTTTGGGGAAACAGGGTAGCAATACCGGCTAGCAACTTTGTAATAATTCTAATTAAAAAAATCCACTTTGGGTTATTTTTTTCTCCAAGTTTCTGCTGTGTTCAGAGACAACAGGCTGAAAGAGCATGTAAATCTCAGTCACCTGCCCCATCCCCCCACGAATGCCGCCCAGATCTCCCTCCTCGTGGAGAAAAGAATTACGTGGAAACCCAAACGATAAAGCTTCTGTGTTCCACCGCGGGCACCGACACTGCCCCTTTGTGACAGGAGGTGCAGGAGACAAACCCGAGGCACAAGGCTTCAGAACGGGCGTTGCTTAGGAAACTCTGGGAAGGTCTCTGTTCCCATCTCAGCAGGACGGAGGCCCTTGCTCTGCAGCGGGGCTCTGAGAGAGAACACCCAGCTGGCACGCCTGCCCCTTGCTCCAGGCGGGTGTCTCTCCCGGCGAAGGACAGGTAGGCCCGAGTGTCTGGGTGTGAACCCACTGCCGACTGCGTCTGAGGAAGGTCAGGGAGGACAGCAAAGCCTGCTGCCCTCGCCCAGGGGTCCTCTACCTTTCTAACGTCACGACCCTTTAATACAGTTCCTCCTGTTGTGGTGACCCCCGACCATAACGTTATCTTCGTTGCTACTTCATAACTATAACTTTGCTACAGTTATGAATGGTAATGTCAATATCTGTGTTTTCCGATGGCCTTAGGCTCTACAGCAGCGGTGGAGACCCGCAGGTTGAGAACTGCCTGCGGACTGAAGGGTCCCGGGTTCGATTCTGGTCAAGGGCATGTACCTTGGTTGCGGGCACATCCCCAGTAGGGGGTGTGCAAGAGGCAGCTGATGGATGTTTCTCTCTCATCGATGTTTCTAACTCTCTATCCCTCTCTCTCCCTCTCTGTAAAAAAATCAATAAAATATATATTTTTAAAAAAGATAAGATTACTTAAAGAGGAAAAAAAGAAAGAAAATACTTTTATGGTTGGGGGCCCGCAGGAGGAGCTGTGTTAGAGGGTTGCGGCATTCGGAAGGCTGAGACTCACCGCCCTAGAGGGTCTTGGGGAGCAGAGGGACAGCTGTGGAACCCACACAGCCTTTCAAAACCGCCGAGCAACGCCGAACCTGTGGGGTGCTGACCCCACGTGGACCCAATCTCGTTGCTCTGCCTTCCCAGAGAAAGCGTGGGGGCGGAGCCATCCCGGGGCCAACATGGCTCTGTGCCGGCTGCGCGTCAGCCCCAGCTGCCCTCCCGCTGTCCTCGGGAGCAGGGTCCCCGGGCAGAACGCGCACCATCCTGCCTCGTGCACAGAGGTCATTGTGAACTCCCTTGTCTGCGACCCCAGCCTCAGCGAGGCCCTTTCCTTGCTATTCTGGGGGCAGCTTGCAGCGGCTGGGCAAGAGCAGGGCGGATACCAGGCCCGGGGCCGGGCTGCCCTCACCTCACAGCCACGGAGGCACTGGAACCCAGCGCCCCTCACTGAGCCACCACTCGCCCTGGACCCTGACTCGGAGAGGGGAGCCCCCGGCGCCTGCTGCAGAGCTGGGGGGGCAGGGCCGGGCGCCTTACCTGCCGGCTTGGAGGCCAGGGGCGAGGGCGGGAACCGGGTGGAGTTGGTGGAGGAGAGCCGGGGCCGGCGCCGCCGGAAGAAGCTCCGGAGCAGCCCGCACTTGAGCGACTCCACCAGCGTGGTCTTCCCCGAGCCCGAGTGGCCGAACAGCTTCAGCTTGATCCGGGGCTGCGGGTTCTGGGTGGGCCGCAGCTGCTGGATGAAGAGGCCCCGGTGCGTGTCCTGCGCGGGGGACAGAGGGCCCGTTAGTCACCACCACAGAGAGGAGGCCGAGCCTGCCGGGTCCTCCGGGCGGGTCCGCCATCTTCACCCATGTCGTCCTGTCCTCGTACATGTGTGCAAAACGCGTGTAAAATGCACGCAACACGCAACGCGCCACCTTCCCCCGTCGTAAAGTGCACCGTTCGGAGGCTTCAGGACGTTCCCCACGTCGTGCAACCGGCTGACCTCATCGGTCCTCGTTCTCCCAGTTCCCTGGGATCTCTCACTTCTCTCATCCTCTCAGTTTGCCTAAGAGCCGAGCCTGGTCCCCAGATGCCCGGCCGAGTCCAGAACGGCTGAGCCCAGGCCAGGAGGTTGGAGCCTAGCGCAGCCCCAAGGAGCGGGGTTGAGGCCCGAAGAGGTAGAGTTGGTCCCGAATCAGACCCCGGAGCCCAGCGTAGCCCAGAGAGCTGAGCCCGGACCGGAAGGGCGGAGCCAAGGCCCGCAGAGCACCTGGCTCAGGTGGGATGGTCCACAAAGAGGGGGTGGTATAATGACTTGACTCAGGTGAACCCCGTAAGAGCGTGCCCGACGTGAGCACCTTCCTTCTGACTCAGTGGGATCGCAGACCTGGCCAGACCACTGCTTCCAGTTCTAAATCCTGGAGGTGCTGACGTACTGCCCAGTCAGGGAGCTTTTCCCACTAACAATCCTTGAGCACACTCAGGATTCTCCCGAAGGAGACCAAGTTTCCCACCTGTTTTCTATTGGTGAAGGGTGATGCTTCTTTCTCAACAGGGCAACACCGCCCCCTGGTGGGCAATGAAGCCACCTACAGAGACATTTTTAATTCTTATGTTGGGGGCCGCTTCTTGTAGTGGGGCTCCAGGTGCCCAGACGTGTATAAACATGGTCCTGAGCAGTAAGAATTCTCCGGGGCTGCTGAAACCTGTTTGGCTCCATGGGTAGAACGTCGGTCTGCGGACTGAAAGGTCCCGGGTTTGATTCCCGTCAAGGGCATGTACTTTGGTTGCGGGCACATCCCCAGTAGGCGGTGTGCAAGAGGCAGCTGATTAATGATTCTCTCTCATTGATATTTCTAACTCTCTATCCCTCTCTCTTCCTTTTTGTAAAAAAAAAAAAAAATCAATAAAATATAATAAAAAATAAAAATAATAATTAAAAAAACCCCCCAAAAACTCTGGGGCTGTATTTATGTAGGAACATCTGAACTTAGGACTTACCTGCATCACTTTACCTATGACCCAGGGTTTTTTTTAGGGGTGGCTGGAGAGGGGGCATGGTTTAACACATCCCGAGTTCTCCAAGAATGCAACTATAAATTGCAATTCATAAATTGGTGGAAATATGCATATCTATAACTGATCTTTCATGAGCTCTGTTCTTGCATTTCTGAAAGGCATGCCCGCAGTCGCCGTGTTTGAGTTATCATCCCAGCCCTGTGATACCGTTGGGCGTCTGCAGGGTGATTCTGTGGGTGGGTCCGAGTATCTGCCGATTTCACTATGACCCCTGACACCTCATGCCCCTGACCTGGCATCGAACCCGCAGGCTCTTGGTGCGTGGGACAACGCTCAACCAACTGGGCCACACTGGCCAGGGCTCTCTTAATCTTTTAAAGCTCCCTGAGCAGGCATGTTGTTATCTGTGAGTTTCATTTCGGGAGGGTGAACAAGGCCTCACTAAATGTAGCTGCGCCATGCTGGATCGGCCAGGGCTGGAACCCACGGCTTGCACAGCGACGTGTAGAACAGGAGGCTGTTCTCACGCCGATGGCTTCCTCCAGCCTCCGCGTGCGGCAGAGGACAAAAAGGGCTTGGGGTACGGGGCCAGCAGTTTCCCTGAATTATTACCCACGTCGGCAGGAAAGCTGAGACGGTCCCGTTCTGAGACAGTAACTTATCGGGGTGGTGCTGACCGGCCTGGGAGACGAGGGCTTGTGGAGACCTCCCCGGTGCCGTCTGCTGCCGCAGAGAAGCCGGTGACTCCCGAAGCAAAGCTCCCTCCCCTCGTTTTAACGTAAGCTTCCAGCCAGCCCTTTGATCTTCCCCTTTAAGCCAGTGGTGCTCAACCTTTCCAATGCCCTTTAATACAGCTCCTCACGTGGTGGTGACCCCCGACCATAACATTATTTCTGTTGCTACTTCATAACTGTAGTGTTGCTACCGTTAATGAGTTGTAATGTAAATATCTGTGTTTCCCGATGGTCTTAGGCTCTACTACAGCAGTGGTTCTCTACCTGAGGGTCGCCGAAGACCATCGGGACGAAAATAACATTATGGTTGGGGGTCACCGCAACGTGAGGAACTGTGTTCCAGGGCCGAGGCATCAGAAAGGTTGAGAACCACTGTTTTAATTCCCCCCCGCCCTGCGCCAAGCGCCGAGCGCCGAGCATCGGAATTGCGGTCCGAGTCTGTGGGCATCACCTCCCATGCTGAGCATCTCTGAGCATCTTAAGACCAGAAGGCTCTCTAACCTATTTCCTGACACACAGCTTCCTAACACTCAGGTCCTGTGTGTGCAGCCGGTGTCTGCTCCTGCTGAGACACAGGAAGGCGGCAAACCCGCTCCGGCTCCCATCCCATCCCTGGACCCGGCTGTGCTGTGCAACGAGTGAGCTCATGGCCCTTCTCTGCTTCCTGCCCCGCTGACCTTGACACTTTGGCCAACACGTCTGTCCTGTGGGAAGGAACGGGGGCACGTTCTTCTCGCCTGCATGGGTTTCACAGGCCCTTCCATTCTGACAAGACTTAAACCATGCCCCCCACCCCCGCTCCCCCCGGACGGTGCGGCCCTGGTGGGCTTCCAGAGGCCTCCCCGAACCAAGGCTTTGCTCTCCTTCGAATTCCACGCAGGGAGGTGGCTGGCGGCTGGAGCGGGAGGGAAGAGGCAGCTGGTGGGAAGGCTCTCATCAGTCCCAACTCCCATAAGGACTTCCCAGCCCTCAAGGTCTCGACCTTGGGCTGTGTCCTTGGCCCGGTCAATCCGGTTTTAGCAAGAATCCTGTTGGACTGGCTGAGTGACAGTCCCTTCTCCTGAGCTGCTATCTGATGAAATCGCTTACTCCCGTCCGGGATATCGGATCACCGGGCCTGCCCTCAGCGGGCGTCCTGCCTGGCCTGTGTGCGGTGACCTTTCAAACGTCCCCTTCCCCTGATTCTTCCTCATCCCCGCACATGTGAGAGGCTGCCCATCACCACCGCTAGTTCCTCCTCCTACCCCCTGATATCCCGGATGCCTTTTGTGTGCCCTCCACCCTGACCCCAATAAAGCTCCTTGCCCCAGGTCTCCTCTGCCCTGTGACCCTCCTCTTGACCCCTGTCTCTCTGGGACTAGTGAGTAGAAGGAACTCGGTTGTCTCCAGCCTCCCCTTTGCCCCCTTTAGTGGCCACACCTGGATGACCGTCTCAGAGAAGAATCCAGAGCGAGAGCCCCTCGTTTTGATGGTTCCCCAGAAATTTCCCATCCGCAGACCCCACCCTGCTCCTCGGCTACGAGTCTCTTGCTGTCCTTGTTGGAGTCAGGGACCAGCTCCTTCCACCAGGAGCTGACGGCCTGGCTGGGACGACTCACACTCCACCTTGTCTTTGGGAAGATAAATCAGGAAAGGGCCTTCTATGAAGACCGACGGAATCTGCCATAATCTTGAAACGCCAGGAAAAAAAAAAATAGTCTCGCATCTCCTCCTTTTGAAGGAAGCCTGACCTCACCTGAAGGGTGGTCCCTCCCTGTGCTCACTGAAAAATCTTGCAGAATCTGAATACGACCAAATTTGATAAAGATGTGCAGGACAGAAGTTTCTGACATCTCACCCCGCGTGGTGGGCGCCGCATTGTCACTTTCCACCACTAGATGGCGCAGCAGGGTCCTGACCAGTCTCCCCAGCACCGCAGCTCCCGTCAACCTAAGGGTGTGAGCTTCCTGGGGAGGCCACGGTTTTGATGGCAGAGGCGCTGAGGCTACAGAATATCCATAGATTTCTTTGGAGGAGGAGCACAGCATTCTGCCCACTGCAGTGTCATCGCCAGGCGGTGGAGAGTTGGGACTGTGGTGGTCTCTAAATTCTGGCTCATGGCTTGAAACATTTTTCTGTTTGTGTCTCCCCCTGCACCCCCTGAGCCGGCGGGGGGAGCTGTGAGGCCTGGGTGTCAGTCTGCGGCTGTGGCCTCTTTTGTGCAGAGCCGCCAGGCTGGGAAAACAGGGGGGAAGCAACCGGAATCTAAACCAGAACGGGCCTTCCAGGTGGTCATGAGCTCCCGTTTGTCCTGCTGCACGGAGTCCTTGAGCCTGGACAGCCCCAGGGCAAGCACCTTCCGGTCTCACCTGACCGCGGGGTCAGCATCGATCTGAGCCGTGAGAGGTACATTCCCAAAACCCATGTCAGATCCTGCTCCCACCTGCTGCGTACACCTGAACCAAGCCCTACTCTCTCTCTTTTAAAAAAAATATATTTTACTGATGTTTTACAGAGAGGAAGAGAGAGGGATAGAGAGCCAGAAACATCGATCAGCTGCCTCCTGCACACCCCATACTGGGGATGTACCCGCAACCAAGGTATATGCCCTTGACCGGAACTGAACCTGGGACCCTTCAGTCTGCAGACCGATGCTCTATCCACTGAGCCAAACCAGCCTCGGCCAAGCCCTATGCTTTTTACCAAGGCCTGTGAAGCCTGGCCTTCCTCTCTGATGGGATGGTTTCGGGTCACTGTGCTCAAGCTCTCTAGCCAGCCCCATCAACTCCCTCCTCGGGCCGTTTCCTAGGACACACCCAGCCCTTTCCTGCCCCAGGACATTTGCCTCTGCTTTCCACCAACCCTGCCTTGTCCTTCAGGGATTGGTTTAAACGTGGCCATCGGAGAGGCAGTCCCTGACCAGTCTGTGGAAACAGCTGCTACTCCCATCCCCTCCTATCTGTCATCTCACCCTATTTGAATCGCCTGCACTTACACCCAGGGACAGCAGACCTTCCCGAAAAGGGCCTGGCGGTCTTCGTTGGGACTCCCATGCATCCAGAAACCAGCCACAGACAGCAGTCAGTGGATCTGGAGTGTTTCAATAAAACTTTATTTTCAAAAACAGGTGGTGAGTCAGCTTTGGCTTGCCAACCCCTAGTTCATCCTATCTTGCATTTTTCTTATTTGTTTACTGGCTGAGTCTTGCCTGTTTTGGTCACTGTGATCTCTCTGCTGCCTAGAACAGCTCTTGGCATATAAGAGACACTGTGAATATCTTTTAAATGAATATTATTTGGTATCTGTTTTGCTCTTTGAAGCCCCAATGAGTCTCGGTTTCCAATTTTCTTTCTTCCAGCAACCCCCTCCCTCCCGGAAATGTCTTTTCCCCTTTCTCCTCGGGAAAGATGACTGAGCGCCCGCTGATTGACAGGGGCGAGTCTCCGCCATCTGGGGAAGCCAGATAAGTGGAGGGTGATGCGCTTCCCGCACGTGGCAGGATGCAATCACAGCCTGTGCGGCCGGAGCAGCAACTCCTAATTATGCAAATGGGGCTTGCTTGTGAGATTTTAATTCCGGGCAAGTCCCCAACTTTGTCCTCTCCTCCAAAATAGTCCTGGGCACCTTTCTCTCTGCCTCGTCTTGGGCTTAGGAAAAGCAATTACTTTTTTTTTTTTTTTTAAATATATATTTTAATTGATTTTTTTACAGAGAGAGAAACATCTTTCAGCTGCCTCCTGCACACCCTCCACTGGGGATGTGCCCACAACCAAGGTACATGCCCTTGACCGGGATTGAATCTGGGACCTTTCAGTCCGCAGGCCGATGCTCTAACCAGTTTCGGCGCAATTACTTTTAATATCAGTTTACGGACAATCTGATTAGAAGGACATCCAGACAAAGTGAGAACAAGTGAGTCGGGCGAGGAAAGCTTTCCTAGACGGATCTCTTTCTGGAATATTCCCAGAGCAAAGGACAGGCGGACTCCTGCGGCAACTCGGACAGCTCAGGGCTCACGGGCCGCCTGCCTGGCTCTGTGGCCGGTTCATGGCCTGCAAAACACCAGAGTGTGAAGCTAGATTATTCTCTCTCTGACACCCCAAGGGCAGCTCCAAACATGGGGAGGGAAATGTTCTCATCTCTGTGTCCCTTCGCGTCCCTGCAACCAGGGACCACGACGGAAAGGCAGCTGCCAGTAGCCCTAGACTGGAATCGAACCTGGGACCTTCCAGTCCGCAGGCCAATGCTCTATCCACTGAGCCAAATCGGCTAGGGCACTGGTTGCAAACTCAGTCCACAGAGCCAAATATCAACAGCACAACGATTGAAATTTCTTTTGAGAGCCAAATGTTTTAAACTTAAACTTCTTCTAATGCCACTTCTTCAAAATATGCTCGCCCAGGCCGTGGTATTTTGTGGAAGAGCCAGCCCCCAGGGGCCAAAGAGCCGCATGTGGCTCGTAAGCCGCAGTTTGCTGACCATGAGGCTAGGGTAGGGGTGTCGAACTCAATCAGAGAAGGGGCCAAAATCTAAAATCCAGCCTAAATCGCGGGCCAAATGGTTTACTGAACAGTCATAAACTGTCATTGTGATGGAAACGCAGCGGAGTGCAGTGATGACAGCGCGGTGCGGGCCACATTGCAAGGCCTGGCGGGACGGATTTGGCCCGCGGGCCTTGTGTTTGACACATGTGGGCTAGGGCATTGGACAATGCCTTTTCCATGAGCACTTACATCACTAAATTATTTTTTCCATTCCATAAAGTTTGTTTTTTGAAAAAGCACAATAGGGGAGTTAGAAAAACACAGCGATGTTAAAGAAGAAAATGTTAATGACGCTAGCAAAATCTGAAAACACCGCCGCTAACATTTTCTTTCCAGGCATTCTAGAAAAACACAGGTCGGGTTATAAGGTGCACATAATTTATCTTCTGCTTTGAAGTCCAGGGACATCCTCAGCACTAACTCCTGTTACTGAACAACCTCTTCTAAAATATCTTAACGGCCGAAAACCATTCTGCCTTATAGCTGGATGACAATTTGCCAGACACGATTGCGGGTCATCTTGCCGTCGGCAGACAGACAGACACGAGCGGAGGCAAGGACGTGGGCCGGGTACAGAAGGTCACCAGGGTGGAAAGCCCCAGGTGCCTAGCAACAGACCACCCATTACTAGTATAGGGTGGGACCCCACCCCAGGGTGACCTTCCCCCCCAGCATATGGCTGGTCATGAGGTTTGAACTCCCTGGAGACAACATCTCTGCCTCAGTTGTATTTCAGCTCCAGGCCCAGATAAGCAACAAAACCAGCCACCGCTGAGGTGAGGACCACTGCCTGGAATAATGGCCCTGCCCTGGTGCCGGCCAATCCATCAGCGGAGACCACAGCCCTGAATGGACACGCCTGGAAACGGCTGAATATTCTACTGAGCCTTCCCCTGGGCCCGCCCCTAAAATCTCCTCTGCCCTGAAAACCCTTAGGACGGAGGATCCAGTGCGCTCTTCCTCCTGGGAGCCCTGCCTTTCCCTCCCGCCCTGCTCCCCCCCACACCCCCCTGTCCCAGGAGGGTTACCAGTAGCTTCCTCACTCCCAAGCTCCTTTACCTCCATAACTCATTTCCTAAGTCCCTTTCCCCTAGGAATTACTTCTTCTACCTCTGCGATGTCCCTCACACATGTTCCCTTACAGTGCTGGGTCTCGCTCTGAGTTCTTTCCTAAGCCACAACTCAAGGACTGAGGTCGTGGAGCCCAGGTATGGTCTGAGGCCGCTGGTCAGACACCTGGGGCCGCCTACAGCGAGCCGGATGGTTCCCGGTTTTATTCCGCCAGTTACTTACAACTCCGCAGTGAACCTCCCCCAGCTGACAACGCTTCCCGTGCTTCTTCCATTTCTGAGGATACAGCCCCGGCGTGCAGTCCCAGCTTCAAGGGCATGACTGCTCTGACGTCTCTTTAACACACATCGCTATAACGTGGGCCGGGAAGTCACACCGGCGTTACTTATGGTGCCCTGTTCCCTTCAGCCTCACAGCGATGATGGGAAGCAAACCAGAGCATGCGTGGTGTCTTAGAGCTCAACCATGAAGAAGCAGCAGCAGTCAGCTTTTTCATGTTCCCTCCACTTTGGGGGTGGGGGTGGGGGATTCTTACAGAGAGGGCAAGAGGAGGGAAACGAGGCACAGACACAGTCAAGAGGCCCAGTGATCTCCCAGTCCAAATGCGGCGGGAAAAAACCTGACAGGTAGCTGAGATGGATATGCAAATTGTATGCAAATCACAGGCTGCGGGAGCTGCCTTCTCCCGCAGCCTGTGAGTCCAGAGCCGCCTCCTCCGCGTTTACAGGAGCAAAGACGCCTTCGCACTTAGGTACGGACTGATAAACGGAATCTCTCACCTTGCGGAGTCTGGCGAGGAGGCCTGCCACGTGCTCGTGCTGCTCCGCCCTGGCGAGATCTTCCGCCGTCTTCCCATCCTGTGGGAGAAACGGGGTTAGCTTCCTTCCTTCCCCGCAGAGAGTGCGCGTTCCGCACGCCGTTTCCGTCATCGGAGGCGGACACCGGACCGGAGGTATAATATCAATAGAAGCAAAGACCGGGGCCAGACGGAGCGCATCCACCCGGCTTCTTCCCGCCGAGGGGGCTCCTGATGCCACGGGGCTGTGCGGGGAGGGGAGCGGAAGGGGAAGAGGCCATGCATTGGCGTGCTGAGGCCCAACAATGAGGTGCCTCAGGCCCCCTCTCCGGGCACGCCGCCCCTCGTGGTGAACTGAATCCTCCTCCAATCAGGCAGACAGTAAAGATCGTCTTTAGACACCGAACTCCAGCGAGTGTCAGCTACCATCTGAAAATACTTCCAGAGGCAAACCTCAGCACTGAGGTCCTGCTAGTGACTAGTCACTGCTGTGCATTCAGAGAAAGGTTTTGCTTAACAGACAATCACATCCAAAGAGTTTCAGCGAATGTAAGAGAAGGATGTGGGCCAACCAGGGGCCACGTGTTAAACCTGGAAAGCTCAGGGGAGGCCTGCACGGCGGCCTTACGAACTCGGAGACCTAACGGAACCACACAGGATGGGCTGAAACGAAAACTAAAATCGAGTCATGGCAGGTAGTCCTGTTTTAGGCCTGTATCTCCCCTGACAGGGCAATCTTGAGCGTAATTGAGCCTGTCTATTGGCTTTCTGCACCTGTGATAGCACACATCCGGAAGGTCAGAGTATCCCTCCCTTTCCAGACCCCTCAGGGCACCATCTCCCACCAGAGCATGGATCTCTTAATTGTTATTGTTATCTGTTCATCGTTAACTGTTAGCTATCCTCTCCCCACCTGTATAAAAGAAGTGTTTGTCTCTCCCTTCACTTTTTATCCAATCTCAGAGGTTTCTCCCTCTCCCCTCGCTTCCTCCCGCCTTCCGCATGCCTGATCCTTCCACATCCCTAATCTACCACCAACAGGTTCCATGTGACACCCTTATATTTTCCTCCTGTGATTCTAATGTGTAAAATAGGGTGCAGAACTGCCATTCTCAGGAGCATTTTCTCAATCCATTGAGAATTTGCTTCCTTGAAATTGTCAAAGATTGGTTCAAATAAATGCATAAGAATTCTTAGTTTTGGATGATCCTTACATCAACAAGGATATAAGGGTCCATGGATGGCACTTTGGTATTTACTTTAAAAAATATTATATATATATATTTTTAAAAAAGTAAACTATATATATATATATATATATATATATATATATATAAAATCTCGTTATTGATTTCAGAGAGGAAGAGAGGAGAGATAGAAACATCAATGATGAGAGAGAATTATTGATTGGCTGCCTCCTGCATGCCCTCTGCTGGGGATCGAGCCCTTGACTGGAATCGAACCTGGGACCCTTCTGTCCTCAGGCCGACTCTCTATCCACTGAGCCAAACCAGCGAGGGCCGGGGTTGACTTTTTAACGAGGGGATTTCCATGGGGCTGCAGTTCCATGCTAACGGAGTCCATTGGTTTCGTGCCATAAACGTGCAGGACAGAGGCTGACATCTCCTGAGCTCCTCCTAGCATCGCCCTGGTCCTGCCCTCACTGCTCTGTGTGCGGGACTCAGCCCTCAGGGGCGGCGGGAGCTAACGCTGTCCACAGGCTGCCCCCGAGGACATGGGGGCACACCTTCCCATTCCTCAAAGCAGGCCACTCTCTGAGCCACGCGTGGGGCCCCCGCCAACCAGTGTTCCTCCACCCCAGCATGACTGTCATTCTCACTGTGGGAGGGGATGGGTAGCGGCACCCCCTGGCCTCACCTCTAGATGGCAGCAGCATCCCCCTTCTCCACCGGTGACACCCTCAGTGTCAGTGTCTCCAGCCACTGCCCTGTGCTCCCTGGGGGCAAAGTGCCCAGGCGAGAACCAGCACCTTGGGCTGCAGCTGGGAGCGCAGATGGGTGCCGGGAGGAGGCATGCTTACAGTCCCACATCACCGCTCTCTGCACCCTCAGATTCCCGGAAAGTGTCCAGTGGGCAGGCGGGGCTTTCTGGTTTGCTCTGGGGATGCATCAGGCACCATGCCAGGACTCATGGCAAACTGTTTGGATCCTTTACTGACGTGGTAAGAAAAGGGCTCAGCGGCCCCCAGACTCCACCCCGCCCTGGGATCACTGGGGTCTTTAAGAACCCCCACCGCCAGGTCTGGAAGGAGGAGTGGGGAGCGAGCGAGGGGGCCGGGAGGGATCTCACTTAAAAATAACGTGCAGGGCCTCCCAGCAGAGCCAGGCTTCTCAACGAGAGCCAGCAGCCCTTGTCCACTGTCGCCCACACCCCCAGGGCCCCGTCCTCCTCCCTCTCCGAAAGCCAAGGCACCTCCAGTGCCCTGTGTGGAGGAGGAGCCTTTAGGAAAGAACACAGGCATCTAATAAAGCCGGCAGAGGCACAGTTATGTAACACGGGGAGCAAACAGGCCCCTGGGAGGCGGCAGTGAGTGGATGTCGCCCCGGTGTGTGTGGGCACACGTTCCCGCGCGGCAGCGCGTCCGCCTCCGAGTGCAGCTGCCAGGCCTCCTCCTGCCCGAGGGCCACTCACCGAGGTCAGCGCCTCCACGTTGGCGCCCGCCAGACAGAGGTAGCGGACCACGTCGAGGATCCCGTTGTTGGCGGCCAGGTGCAGAGGGGTGCGTCCGTACTGCAAGACACAGAGGGACCCAGAGAGCTCTGAGGACGGTGCCCGAGGGCTGCGGGCCGGCCCTGGGCGAGGGGTCTGGGACCCACCGGAAAGAAGCAGGAGGCGTGGCCTGCTTTCCCAGAAACGTGCACCTCCTGAAGGAGGCAAGCCAAGCACAAAGTTCTCAAGAGTTTTTTTTTTTTTTTTTTTCCAGTTAAAAGAGTAACTTCAAAGGGTAAAAAGAGTGGGAGGCTTATCATAAGGTAATTAAGTCTCTTGCTGTGCTGGCATGAAGGAGGGTTCCGTCAGGGCTTAAGGGCCGGCCCCCAGGTTCCAGAGAGATCTGCACCACAGTTCACATTTAGACACAGCAAGGGACGAAGGGACGGGAGGACAGCCATTGAAGGCACACGAATGAGGTCATGCCATCTTAAAAAAAATTTATATATATATATATATATAAAATTTAAAAATTGATTTCCAAGAGGGAGAGAGATAGAAACATCAATGATGAGGGTGAATCATTGATTGGCTGCCTCCTGCATGCTCCCCCCCTCTCCCCCAGCCACTGGGGATCAAGTCTGAAACCTGGGCATGTGCTCTTGGCTGGAATCGAACCTGGGACCCTTTAGTTTGCAGGCCGTTGCTCCGTCCACTGAGGCGAACCAGCTAGGCATGCCCACTATTTTAAAAAAATGTTTATGGCTCCCAAATTGTGTAACCAGGCACCTCAGGGCACAGCAGTCCATTCCCGGGGGCATGATAAATATTTTAAATTCCTGATGAAACCAGCAGGTTGGGACACCAGGTGAGCCGCTAGCTCCACTCAGCACTTCCTTTCCCTGACTCAGCGGGGCCGAGGCGGTGACTGTGATAAGGAGCAAAAAAGCATTCTGAGAAAACGAATGTCCAATCTGAGCCCAAGATGTGAGGAGCGGCGAGAACACCCCATTAGTACATAGTTGTGTTTATGTAAGAATGACATGAACCTGTTAGTTTTCTTTCGATTTATGTGAATCACTCATTGCAACGGCTACAAACTTGTTAGGATATAAAGACTCACTAAATTGTTTAGACTGAGCTACTTAATAAACAGAACTGTCCTGTATTTCTTTTGCCCTGGGGGAGCCATGAAAAAAATTATTGAGACACAACAGATGCTGGGAACCAAAAAAAAAAGTTAGGGTACTTCAAACTTCCATTGTTTATTTGCAAATATAGGTTTTGGTTTTTTTTTTGTTATGAAGTTTACACAGGCTTATTTGAAATGTCTCTGCGACTTAGAAGGATAAATGGTAGAAAGAAGTCCTCCTTCCCTACTCACTCCCTCTCCCACGTCTCCCTGCTCAGAGATGGCCCTACTTAACACTCTGGGGCATTTCCTTCCAAGCTTCTATCTACCCTACCTAATAAAAGAGAAACATGCAAATTGACCGCACCTTTGCTATGTCCACAAGCCCCGCCCACCAACCAATCAGGGCAAGTATGCAAATTAACACAACAAAGATGGGGGTCAATTTGCATATCCAGGCCAGAGTGAAGACTGAAGACATGTAGGAAGAAGCCAAGTGCTGCAGAGAAGCAAGCAAGCGGGGCGGGGGAGAAGGAAGGAAAGCAAGTGGGCCAGGGGAGAAGGGTGAGAAGCAGGCAGGGCAGCGACCACAGCAGGAAACCCTATTGCATGAATCTTCCAGCAAGGGGCATCTAGTGAACCCATAAAAGGTCATAAATTATTTGAGAAGTCCAGACGTAATCCTCCTCCAGATTCTATTCTATCACCTGCTTCTTGCACCTCACAATGGATTATGAACACGTTTCCATGTGTCACTAAACCTACCACATTCTCTCAGAAACCGGACTAATGCCCATGGCATGGATATGCCACAGGTTGTTCGCCAGCCTGCTGCGGAGGGACACCAAACGAAGGTGGTCCTGTTCCTTGCCATTGTGAATAACGCTGCAAGGTGTGTGCCTGTTTATGTTTTGTCTACTGTTATCTTCTAGAGCCATGGTCGGCAAGCTGCAGCTCAAGAGCCACATGTGGCTCTTTGGACCCTTGAGGGTGGCTCTTCCACAAAATACCACGGCCTGGGCGAGTCTATTTTGAAGAAGTGGCGTTACAAGAAGTTTAAGTTTAAAAAATGTGGCTCTCAAAGGAAATGTCAATCGTTGTACTGTTGATGTTTGGCTCTGCTGACGAATGAGTTTGCCGACCACTGGTCTAAAGCGACTTAGAAGGCAGCACCCTCAATACCTACACCACATGTCAGCTACGGGGACCCCTAGACAGTCCCCAGACACACACACACACACAGACACACACACACACACGCTTCCCTTGGTCTGCAATAGTTTCCCCTCTTCATCTGCCAAATCCCCAGTCACTTTAAGTGATTGCCCCTGAAAAGCTTTCCTTAGTTTCCTTAATGTCCAATGTAAGCGTTTCCATAGCGCCTGTGCGTCTGTCACAGCCATTATTGAGACAAGAGATGCTATTACATTGAGAAGCCGAGAGAGAGAGAGAGAGAGAGAGAGAGAGAGAGATGCAGCCCGAGGGCAAGAACGATCACAGTGCTGCCTGCAGCTCCCTCCCAGGGGCCTGGCACAGAGCTGTCCGAGCCAGGCATCGATAAACACTTGATTGGGCACGAAACCCTCTCTCATGCTCCTGAGGTACACGTGTGTGTATCTGTGTGTACGTGTGCTTGTGTGCCACACGCATTCTCTCTCTTAACTGATGAGAAGAGGCAACACAAAAGGAACAAAGAGTTAGGGCTGTGTGCTGCCGAAACTGGTTTGGCTCAGTGGATAGAGTACCAGCCTGGGTACTGAAGGGTCCCAAGTTCGATTCTGGTCAAGGGCTTGTACCTTGGTTGCGGGCACATCCCCAATAGAGGGGGTGTGCAGGAGGCGGCTGATTTGATGTTTCTCTCTCATCGATGTTTCTAGCTCTCTATCCCTCTCCCTTCCTCTCTGTAAAAAAAAAAATCAATAAAATATATTAAAAAAAACAAAACAAAAAAAGGGCTGTGTGCTCTGCACCGTCTATTCCCCCCTCACGTGTTCCCTAACACATGTTCAATAGTCATTCTCGCTTTTCATACGAGAAAAGCGAAGACTAGGAACTGTCTATTACACGGAGTGTGAAAGGTAGTGACAAGTTCCCATCACATCCTGGTGACAGGGGTGGGATCTGCATGGCATTCTTATCTCTGGGGGAACTGAATCCAGGGAAGGAACAGGCCGACCGCGGGAAAGGAGCGACAGTCTGCCCGTGGGCGTGGCTGTCACTGTGCCGTGGCCGGGAGATCTAAAAGCCCGCTACTAGGGTGAGTCCCTGTGAAGCCAGCTGTGCTTCCCGGGGAAAGAATGCCATCCGCTTACTTCTCTGCACATCTTTTAACCTCCTCTAGAGTCCCCGTTATCTTTCAAAAACAACAACAACAACAACAACAACAAAACAAAAACCAAAACAAAAGGAACAGAGAGGCAAAGCGGGCCCCGGCCCTTCTGAAGGCGGGAGACCCACGGAGCTGCCATGAGCTGAGCCTGGCGCTGAGGGCAGCGGGCACCTGCCTGCAGGACCAGAACCTGGAGCTGCCCCAGCAGCTGCCGCTCCAGGCGGGCTCTGCAGAATGGGCTGAACTTTGCTGCTGATCCCAGGAGGTTGAAATCGTGCAACTAATGAGGTTTCCTCCTGCTGAGCTCAACTCAATGACAAAATCGTCGGCTGAGTGCCCTGTATGTGCCATTGCTGGGCCGTCCACGGTAACAATACAAGTTTATGTTGGAGTACATGAACTACCTGTGTTTCCCCGAAAATAAGACATCCTCCGAAAATAAGAGCTAGCGCATAGCAAGATAAGACATCCCCTGAAAATAAGACCTAGCGCAACTTTGGGAGAAAAAATTAATTTAAGACACTGTCTTATTTTCGGGGAAACAGGGTACTATGGCCATCTATAGCACATGTGTCAAACACAAGGCCCGCGGGCCAAATCCGTCCCGCCAGGCCTTGCAATGTGGCCCGCACCGCGCTGTCATCACTGCACTCCGCTGCGTTTCCATCACAATGACAGTTTATGACTGTTCAGTAAACCATTCGGCCCGCGATTTAGGCTGGATTTTAGATTTTGGCCCCTTCTCTGATTGAGTTCGACACCCCTAATCTATAGCATCAAAAATGTCGATGCTTCCTAATGAGTTTCTCTCCCCCTGCACCCGCCCAAAAAATGTTGAGGCTTTCCTATGAAATGGACCAGTTTTTTTTCTTTTTCTTTTTTTTCTTAAATATATTTTTATTGGTTTCAGAGAGGAAGGGAGAGGGAGAGAGACAGAAATATCAATGATGAGAGAGAATCATTGGTCGGCTGTCTCCTGCATGCCCCCTACTGGGGACTGAGCCGCCAACCCAGGTATGTGCCCTTGACTGGAATCAAACCGAGGAACCTTCAGTCTGAAGGCCGACGCTCTATCCACTGAGCCAAACCAGCCAGGGCTGAACCAATTGTTTTTAAGCGTAGAAGTCTAGGATCTTGTGGCTGGGCGTTTTATAGAGCAAACTTAACAAACGCACTATTTTGCCCTGAGGCCTTAGCAGGGGGTCTTCAAACTTCTCTCATTATGAGAATCACCTGGTGGAGTGTTAAAACACAGATTCCTGATAGCACTTCTTATAGTTGGGATCCGGGAATCTGTGTTTTAACAACTCCACCAGGTGATTCTCATAATGAGAGAAGTTTGAAGACCCCTGCCTTAGGCGAATACCCAGTGCTCCTTTAGAGTTAATGGTGAGACATGGTGTTCTAACCCTCAGCTGGCAAACGATGGCCAAGTCTAAATGTATTCAAATGAGTGCCCCGATGTTCCTGGAAGACGCTTTTTACTCATTTAAAGACTCCTAGAAGGAAGCCAAGGTCTTGATGCTTTTTAACATTGCATTTGGCTTTCCCTTTAAGCCACTTACATAACTGACTTGGCAAGATTAGAATAGGATCAACGAAGAAAGCTACCAGCAGCTAATGGCTAAGACCTCAGATATTGCCTTTTCATATTTCTAGAATGTGAAGATTACCAATTTCAACTTCCACTAGAATTAATCACATAATATGCCTCAGGAATAATTTTTTTTTTGTGTGTGTGTGTGTAGAACTATAATTTTCTGCGTTTCAGATATTAATTCTTTCACCTCAAACGAATCATAATGAAATTTTGCTGGCACCATGCCTGCCACGTATAAAACAACATTTCCCGCCAGAGACGGTTTGGCTCAGTGGATAGAGCTTTGGCACGAGTCCTGAAGGGTCCTGGGTTCAATGCTGGTCAAGGGCACGTACCTTGGCTGCAGGCTCAATCCCTGACCCTGTTCGAGGTGCTTGTGGGAGGCAACCAATCAATGTGTGTCTTTCACATGGATGTTTCTCTCTGTCTCTCCCCATCCTTTCTAGTCTCTCTAAAAATCGATGGAAAAATATCCTCAGGTGAAGATTAACAAAAAAACAAAACAAAACACACACACACACACACACACACACACAAAAAAAAAAAAAGAATAAAAAGAAAAGGTCCATATGAGGAATACTGACTGAACAATGAAGAGATGCAAAGAGAACTTGGACAAAATCCGGAAGCAGGTCAGCAGGTCCTTCAGGGGCCTTTCCCTCCGGCCTTACCTTGTTGGAGATATCCAAATCGGAGCTGGCCTCACAGAGGGCCATCACGATGGGCACGTTGCCATCCTTGCAGGCCACGTGGAGGGGGGTGTTGCCATGCCTGTCCTGGAAATTGATGAGGCTCCCCTGGCTGATGAGCATCTGGATGACCTCCATCTGACACCGCCTCACGGCAAGATGGAGAGCGATGTGTCCATCCTGCAACACACACCAGGGCCATGAGCACTTCCACTTGGCCCATGGGCCTGGCCTCGCCCTCCCAGCCGCCACCGAGCCAGGAGTCATTGGCGACAGGCTCCCTACTGCAAAGGCCGAAGGGGGACCGAAACCACACATGTCACTCCCGGGGGGCTCCATCCATTCCGCTCTGAGTAATCAGACTCTGCTGACCATCAGCGCGGTTACTCTGGCCTTGGCCAGTGCCATCGGGTGGGAAGTCTGGGCACCGCTTTTTGTCTCTGGCTGTACCGGACGCAAGTAACAGGCACTCCAATGGCCCGTGTTCTCAAGTAGTTGAAAAACACCTTTAAGAACATTTGCTTAGCAATCTTTACAGCAGGAGAAGCTGTGAGCGGGATGTGAAGGGATATGCTCGAAAGCTGTCCTGTGTATGAAAAGCAAAGACAACACGCTTACTCCCTGCATCCCACCAGAGACACCAGCCTGAGGATTCCTTCTACCTTTTATAGGATCCCTGGTGAGTAAATGGATTGCACTCAGGAGCTGGTAGAGGGTTTTGGAGACATGTCTATACCTCATCTGTTCTAGGGTTCCTTATGCTCAGCATACTGACTGACATTTTGGTCCTGTCCTGTGAGTCGGAGGATATGCTGGTAAAAGGCACCACCAGTCTTCACTAGATGCCAGTAACAACGCCCATGACAACCAATAAACGTCTCCAGTCACTGCCAAATGTCCCGTGGGGGCAAGGCCGCCCCGGATGAGGACCATTTCTCTGTACCAAGAAAATACTCCACAAATGGCAGTTACTAAATTAACTACAGTGTCCAGATCTAGCTAGATAATGCAAGATCACAGCCTCGCGTTAAGTACAAGCTCACAATAAAAACAGATCGTGTTGAATTAGCTTAATTAAAAATCGAACACCTGGTCTAGAATTGAGTTGCAGACAAATAAGAGTGGTCTTATTGTCTTTGACAAAATAGCAGGTGATGGAAATCAATAAGCCACCAATCTCCGTGTAGCTACAAATTGACAGTAGACACACAAAGAAATGGGTGGCTTATTGATTTCCAGTGCCAGTCTTCGCCCTACATGAGGGTTGTCTTGGGCTCAGCGATCATCCCTGTCCCTGCTCCCAGCTGAAAAGGCGAAACCAAAAGAGACCCGAGTCGTCTGACCAATTCATCCATGTTGCCGCTGCGGGTATGCCACACATGAATGTTAATTATTGAACAGAATCTGGAGAAGCTCACGGCATCTTTGGGGCAGCGAAGAGAAAGGATAATGACCATGTGCTGCGTTCAAGTTCGTTTTGGGCAAGCTAACTGCAGACGTCTTGTGGTCCCTTCCAGCCCAGTCCAGCTCCAGCCCAGCCCCCTCTCCCCCCCCGCCCCCCACCCCTTCTCGGCGAGGGCGATGCGTTCACCCACCACGCACCTTGTCCGAGGCGTTCAGGTCGCCTCCGTGCTCGGCCAGACACTCCACGATGTCGTGGTAGCCCCTGGCGGAGGCCGTCAGCAGGGGCGTCTCCCCTTCTCGGTTCTTGACGTTCACGTTGCAGCCGGCTTCGCAGAGGGCTTTGGCCACAGCGTGGTAGCCGTGCCAGGCGGCACAGTGCAGAGGGGTCTCTTCCTCCTGGCAGGGCGACAGGGGCAATCAGGGGAGAGGAAGCGCAGGCGAGGCGAGGCGAGGCGAGGGTTCGTGCCCCCCCCCCCCCCCCCCCCCCCCCCCCCCCCCGCGGACTCGGCAGCTAAGCCCGACATGAACAGACACAGGCCTCTCCTTCCCTCAGTCTGTTTCCTCAACGCTTGTGCGTGTTGGATGCGTTTGGCATGGTCGGCACCTGAGCCACAGAGGACTTCGGGAACCCACTGGAACCGACAGCTCAGCTCTTTGGAACCACCGAGCCCCACCTCCGTGCAGGTGGGATTTTAGCATCTTTCTTACAAAAGGGCTTCGTTCGCTTCGTCTGAGGTGACTGACGGGAGGAGAGCACTTCTTTGAACAAGAATTCTCATCACCATCTCGATGCCTCACTATGCCTGCCACGCATTTGGCAGAGACGAGTCACATAAACTCATCGTTTGATGGCTGAGGCAAATAAAAGTGACGAGGATAACCATGTTATAGTAGCCAGAGAGGGCTGGCCATGGGGTCTATGGGGTTGTAAGGCTGTATGTTCATGGTCAGCATCATTGGACACACGTGTCTGCCTACGCGAGGCCATTGGAGTGAGTGGTTACTGACAGGGACTCTGGAACCAGACCCTGTGGTTTCGAACCCCAAACCCTAGCTCTCCCACTTATGAGCTGTGTGAGCTTCGGCAAGATACTGAACCTCTCCCTGCCTCAGTTTCCTCTTCTGTAAAATGAGAATGATAGCAACAGCAATAACAACTCCTAGGGTGGTCCAGATGATTAAATGGATGGATGTTAGGTAGTGCTTCTGTCTGAGGCCCTGCCCTCTGGATCTAAGCAGAAACTTGGATAAAACTGGGAGGCCTGGGCCCTGTCGCTGTCGCTGCCTGAACATCCATGCAGAGAGCAAAGGGAGGGAGGACACCTGCTGCCATGACTCACCTTGTCCTGGAAATTGGGATTGGAGCCGAAGCTGCACAGCAGCTGAACCACATCAGCGTGGCCGTAGCGAGCTGCCACATGCAGGGCTGTCTCTCCAGACTGCAAACGGAAACCGCCAGAGAGTCAGAGCGCCCCCGGGAGCAGGCTGTGGGGACTGGAGGCCCGGCCACACACACCTGGCTCCACTTCCTTCCTTCGCGGGGTGCCCACCTCCCTCCGTCCAGACGGTGCCTGGGCCAGGGACCCTGAGGGTGGAGTGTCCATCACGGAGCTGGTGGCAAACCCACACGCCAGGCTCACTCTGTTGGTCGTACACCACCAGGTGTGATGGCTGTCCTCACCCTTCATCTACTGCTGCTTCCAGCTATGATTTCTTTAAACACAAAACTCCTTTCTTTAGTATCGGGTTCACCACCCAGCAGATACGTAAATGTACGGTTTTATTAACGAACACGTGTCTGATTTCACTGTCCATGTTTAGAATCTCATTTCTTATATTCTCAGAGATTTTAAAACATCACTATTAACTTTCAGTGAATTAGCAATAGGAACAACTTCCTTAACGTATTTTACCTATAGTTGCCCCCCCCAAAAAATCGTTAGAATAAATTGATTAAAACAAAACAAGATGCCTTATTGCCACCAGACAGAAAACTGTCCTAATAAATACACCCGTCTTTGATGTGCATGTCATTCTTAGACTGGTGCAGGGCACAATCCATAGGACTGTGTGTAGCAGCTCTGACCAAACGTGACACCTTCAGCTGCAAGCGTGAGCAGCAGAGATGGGATGCCCGGCAGGACCCATAATGGGTGACAATGGATGCTTCTCACCTGGTGCAGGAGCAAGACTGGTGTGGGATGGACTGAATGGAACCGGACTATGTGAAAGTAAGGTATCTTGCTGAGTCAATAATTTTTATAGCATCTGTGCTCCCCAAGCTTTACTTTATATGCATTGTCTCATGAACCCTCCCAGTGCCAGTGACTGTGAGGTCAGCATTGTCAGCCACTTCGAAGATGAAGAGTTTGGTCAAGAGACTCTCATGTGACGAGCCAACGTGAGCTTCAGACTCGGGTCTCTTTCTGGCTGTCCTTCTATTAGAACTTAAGAGTTTTCCTGATACTCATACAAAGTAATTCATGGCGTAGCACGGCAAATGTCTGGCAGGTTTCAGCTAAAAGCCGATTTTAACGTTAGACCAAGCCACCGGCAAAAACGAATTTCTAGGTTAAATTTTCTAGGTAGGAAGATTCGGGTCCCGAATCCTTGCTCTTTGGGTCCTGAGGTGTGTGGCAAGACGAAGCTCAGATGCAGCCTGAGGTTACTTCCCCCGTCCCTAAGGAAAGTGGCCTTACCTTGTCTTTCACATCCAAGGGGCATTTGTTCTCATGGAGAAACTTCAAGGTGTCCACGTGGCCGTGCCGGGAGGCCCAGTAGATGGCATTGGATCCGCCCTGTGCAGAAACCGGGGTGAAGTCACACTTCCAGAGCCGAGGGGTCTGAGTGCTCATCGCTCAGACACACTCTACTCCCCTTCCTCTGTGACGGCAAACTCCACGGAAGCACCTTCCGTTTCATTTGTCTGTGCCCAGGGACCGAGCGCGTGTGAAATGCTAACATTCCAGGGAGCTCTGTGTATTATTATCTCTGCAGATTTTTTTGGTAACTCTAGAATTACGTTAAGATAAAAGGTTGTTTCTCTTTCCTTAAAGTAGGGGTGTCGAACTCAATCAGAGAAGGGGCCAAAATCTAAAATCCAGCCTAAATCGCGGGCCGAATGGTTTACTGAACAGTCATAAACTGTCATTGTGATGGAAACGCAGCGGAGTGCAGTGATGACAGCGCGGTGCAGGCCACATTGCAAGGCCTGGCGGGACGGATTTGGCCCGCGGGCCTTGTGTTTGACACATGTGCCTTAAAGCCTTCACTTGAACTTCTGGTTGGAATTCCCTACCCTGTCAAGGAAGAGACCCATTGTACTAGTGATGTCTATTAACTGTCAATCAATGTGTCTACACTGCCAATGCGCTTTACACCTCAAAGCGTATCATCCTTCCCTGTGGCCCTCGTACACAAGCAGGCAGATACAGTTCCGGTGAGGCGAATTAGACAATGAAAACTTTCCCAGCTATGGCATCTTACAGTAACACTGTTCAGTAAGGGATCAGTGAGGAGAAAAATCTGGGGTAGTGCGCACAGAAAGGCTGATATCCAAAAACAGAGCCCAGCTGAAACCGGTTTGGCTCAGTGGATAGAGTGTCGGTCTGCGGACTGAAAGGTCCTGGGTTCGATCCCGGTCAAGGGCATGTACATTGGTTGCAGGCACATCCCGGGTAGGTGATGTGCAAGAGGCACCTGGTCGATGTTTCTCTCTCGTCGACATTTCTATCGATAGCTCTCTATCCTTCTCCCTTTCTCTCTGTGGAAAATCAATAAAATATATAATTAAAAAAAAACACAGCTGGGACCGGTTTGGCTCAATGGATAGAGCGTTGGCTTGGGGACTGAAGGGCCCCGGGTTCGATTCCGGTCAAGGTCATGTACCTTGGTTGCGGGCATATCCCCAGTAGGGGGTGTGCAAGAGGCAGCTGATCGATGACTCTCTCATTGATGTTTCTAACTCTCTATCTCTCTCCCTTCCTCTCTGTACAAAAATCAATAAAATATATTAAAAAAAAAAAAACCCACAAAAAACAAAACAAAAACATAGCCCAGAGAAAGATCAGAGTTTTCCTCTTGCTTTACAACACCTGTTAGCTTGGACCAGGCTACTTAAGCAGTTCCTTTTCCTTTATAAGAAACGGAAGTAGAGCATACATGTTATTTTCTCTGTGACCTCCAAGATGAGAGGCATTTTGGAATCCTTAAAAAATTAATTTAGCCCTAGCTGGTTTGGCTCACTGGATAGAGCGTCGGCCTGGGGACTGAAAGGTCCCAGGTTCGATTCTGGTCAAGGGCATGTGCCTAGGTTGTGGGCACATCCCCAGTGTGTGTGTGGGGGGGCGGCGCAGAAGGCAGCTGATCGATGATTCTCTCTCATTGATGTTTCTAACTCTCTATCCCTCTCCCTTCCTCTCTGTAAAAAATGTCAATAAAAATATATTTAAAAAATTAATTTATTTGCAATTAGACAGAATGATAACCTTATCCTGGACATCGATTCTTGAGCCTCTTTTGATGAGCAACTGCAGCATCTGAATATTTCCACAGCCAGCAGCAATAAGTAACGGAGGTGTCCCATGCTGGAATAGGCAAGAGAACAAAACAAAACTATTTTTCAGGTTTGGCAGGAAAAAGAAAAAGCCTACATTATCATTGCGATTCCATACACCTTCCTAGGTCTCAACAGGTGCATAAGGCCTGCTTCATATCAAGAATGGAAGACAGCCAGAGCACAGTGTGCTTCCTCTTTCGGTTTCACAGTCAAAAGGTAACGTTTTCATTTGTGGGGTGGGTACTTTACATTTTCACGGTTAGAGGTGTAATTGGTGCATGTGGAATGGCCTTGCAATGAGAAAGGCTCTGAAGGCCAGAAGGCCTTATTTCTAAGTCATTCCACTCTCTCCATAGAAGTGAATTTTCCCACAGGATCGGGCTTGCAACTAGCAGGGGGAATGAGGAAGCAGACAGGGTCTCTCCCCCTGGGACTTGGAGGTGCACAGTCACATGACTCTCCCGCTCCCTCCTACTATCTCGATAGAACGGGATCAGACCTTGTTGGGTTGGTTGACATCGTAGTTGGACAATGAGCCCAGGAGGTGCTGCAGGCCTGGGACATTGTCATCGTTGATGGCGTGGATGATGGCTTTCATCACGAAGGAGTCTTCCTCATCCTTGAGAGAGACAGCAAAGAGAGTGTTAGAACATGTCCTCGGATTCGAGGGATGTTGAGATGAATGAGAACCCGAGGTCTGGGAGAAAGAAGTCTCCCCACCGGGAGTTCCTACTCGGCTTGGGTCCCTCTTCTCCCTTCAACTTTTCTTGCAATAAATGTCATTTCTCCCAATTGCTTATTCAGAGTGATTTTAATGTATAATATTCAATCATTCTCATTCTCTCATATTAATAGTTTTATCTTTTCCTTGGTCCCACAATTCCCAAATCCAGCCTTCCGCCTCTTCCCCTCCCTTCTTCTACCTTGCTTCTCTCCCACTTCTTTTTTCTTTTTAACATATACAATCTCTTTTCACACTACAAGGCTAGAGCTTGGCCTCAGGGAAACGACTAACTTCGGGGAGGGAGAGTGGGGATATAAAAGAGCTGGTGTGTGCTGATGTGTGATTCTGCCCTTGGAATCCCCAGATTCCACTCAGGAAACGCTGACTATTCAGTTACAGGAGTGGCCTGGTTCCCACAGAATCACCCTGTCTGCCTTTCCCGGAGTTCCCTTTACCTCCAGGGAAAACAAAGCCCCGTTGTCTGACTGTCAGAGCAAAGTCTTGTTGAATTCAAATATGTGTCTAGTCATATCTGAAGAGTCAATCTGTGATTAGGTTTCAGTTTGGAGTAAGGGGAAAAAATCATGGAGTTGTTCTCAAGGGCTTTGGACAGTCAGTACAATGCTAACAAAGCAAGTGGGTTTAGCCTCCTGGTCTACCACAGACTACACCAGCAAGCCCTACTGCTTTTTCTCTAATCGAGTGTGTGTGTGTGTGTGTGTGTGTGTGTGTGTGTGTGTGTTCAGGGGGAGGATTATCTTCCCCTTTTGTACGACTACAACCCAAGAGCCTCCCAGGTGAGTGGCAATAGAAGGCTCCCATTTCAGTTAATAAAAACTAAAATGAGTTCTTCCCTCTTCTACTGGCCAGCCTTTCTTTTTATCAAACTGTGAGTGTGGGAGGAGGTGGGTGATAGTGTTAGAGGTAATGGGTGGGAGTACAGTGCCAATCAAAACATGCAAAAAAAAAAGGACAAAGACTCCCTACCCTGAGACAAGGAAGGGTAAGTCTGACCTTTACACGACTTCAGGTTTTCGGGGTTGTTGAACAAATCAAACCACCTAGTATGCTAAGTACACAGTGCGAAGAAAGCACCTCCCCACAGCAAACACGTTTGCTCACCAGAGTATCGTCGCTTCTGGCAACGCTCATGTTACTTCTGGACAAGAACGACCTGGATAATCTTTGGCACAGTGATATCAAGCGAACGGATTGCTTAAAAAAAGAAAACAATAAAGAAGAAAAAAAAGAGGATCAATAAAGGCAGGGGGAGAGGAGGAGAGAGTTTATGTAACAATACTCAAATCAGTGCAAGTGACAGTCTTGGAGATGGCATTCACTGCTGATAGCATGCATTCTCAGGGGCAGGCATCCTCTGAGTAGTTGGAATGCATTTGCTTAAAGAATAATTCTACATGCAGGTCTTATATCTCAAAACAGAACTGGATGCCCTCCATCCCTTTTCCTCTTGACATTTTGTTCTTGATTCTTTGAGGAATTAGCTCTTACCCTAGCAAAACCCTTGTATGTAACCCCCTCAGAGAAGCATGGTATGCAAGCATCTCGCCCTGTGTCCTTGGTCCCAGGCAAGCCGGTAATGGTAGACAATGTGACTATCAAAACTCATACAATTGTTGGAAATGCACAGGAAACAGAATCAGCAAATCCCTCAATGTCAAATAATCTTACTTTCCATTTTTTCCGGGCTGCGAACTTCTTGAATTTCTCCATGTTGACTGCTGATGCTTTTCTACTAAGTGCTTGTTGGGTATCTTTAGGCTAAAATGAAAGTCCAAGAAAATATTTACAGCTTTCAAATTATAGAAACGTGTTACATGACGTTTCAAAAAATGGTCATTTTGAAATAAAATGCAAGATCTAGGAAGCTAGTCGGCAAAGGCTAAAGCTTGTTGCTAAGGATGTGCTACATCTATAAAGACTGAATGTTGTGGCCTAGCTGGTTTTGCTCAGTGGATAGAGCATTGGGTCTGTGGACTGAAGGGTCCCAGTTTCAGTTCTGGTCCAGGGCATATGCTGGGTTGTGGCCTCAATCCCCAGTTGGGAGCATGCAGGAGGCAGCTTATCAATGATTCTCTCTCATCATTGATGCTTTTCTCTCTCTCCCTCTCACTTCCTTTCTGAAATCAATAAAATATATAAATGTATATATTTAAAAAAGGAGAAGGAGTAGGAGGAGGAGGAGGAAGACTGGATGCTGGATGTTGAGGAAAAGTTGAAAAGTTGATCTTGGACCAAGCTGAATTACAGCTTTTCACAAGAAAGTCTAGGAGTGGCAAGATAGATGGTGAGACCATGTTCTGAGGCATTTGAACTTGAACATCAAGTAATTTAGAGCTCGGAGGGACCTCAGAGGTCATCGAATGAGGCCTGTCTGACAGCATTAGCATGCCTTCCGTTGTACCTTTTCCCGGAAGCTTTGCCTCTGAGAGAGACACCATTGCCTTCTAGCAACTGTCTGGCCCTGGTACAGGCAGAGTGTTCTCCAGCTGTGCCAGACCCACTTTTGTAACGCACGTCACGGCATCACAACCTGCTTCTCGGTTCCATGATTTTATTCTGAACAGCCATGTTCCCCCACCCTCAGGCCTTTCTGTTCCCGCTGAAGGAAACTTCAGGTCTCTTGTGTGGGGAGTTTTTATCAGAGTTTATTTGAACCAAACTGGTGCCGGGGAGCAAGATTTCAAATGCTTTGGGGAATGACATTTTCAGTCTCTTTTATGCATCGGAAACTAGGGAGGGAACACAAAGAAGATTATAGGAGGATGGATGAAAGTAAGGTGGGGATTGGATTACAGGAGAGTTAGCAAGATTATGTGCTCTCCTGAGGATGGTTTATCCCTTATTTCAGAGGCGTGTTTACGTAGATACACAGTAAACCAACGTCCCCTGTCCATGGCTTAAGGCAGAGATAAATCTCTTACTAAAAAAGCGTTATGTCTAGGGCATGACTACCCACTATGACCCATGACCTGCCCAGTTAGAAATTTATTACCAGGTGGCTCTGTGAGGTTACTTTCACAAGACCCCTTTCCACCCACAGCAACTTCCATTATTTCATCTAAATGCCTGAAGGCATCAGGCAGGCCATAAAAAGGTGAAATATGCCAGGAGGCGGCCATAGCCCTGGCACAAAGGCCTCCTGGAATGAGGGCTCAGTTTGAGTAGACTTGACCTTTAGCCCCTTTCCAATCTTGCCTCAGGATAGCTTTCTCCTCTCCACCTCTGTTATCATTAGCGTACTCTTATCTGCTAGTGGTGTTAAATTATGGGCCCAAAACCAAACCCAACACTCCAGAGGTGTCCTATGGTTAGCACCCACAGAACTGGTAATGCCCTGGAACCCACGAATTTCAGGAGGCCCTTTCACACCCAAACCAATCACCACATCACATGCAGCTTACCTTGATCCAGGGGTGCTGCAAACTATCTTGAATGGTCATCCTCTTCCTTTGTGGGGAGAGAAGAAAGAAAGAAAGAAGAAAAAAAAAAATGCTGTGACCCCCCCCCCCCCCCCCCCCCCCCCGAAGCAAACACTATGTTGTTTCCCTGCCGGCTGGGCCTACAAAACAGATGATCTAGAAAATGCAGTTTGGGGCTTGCTTCGTGGAAGAAAGTCGAGAAGAAAAAAAGTGCGCCTGTGTGGCGATCTCACTGTGCCTGCAGGACTGACCAGACAGGGACAAAGGAGCCTGCGTTGCCTGAGGCGTTTCACTGGGCATGCCTCCCTCTGCCAGGAGCAGCCACCGGGTCCCACCAGCCTGGCCCCGTGCACAGGACGGGGGCAAACCCTCGCCGTGCGGAGGCCACGGCTCAGCGCTTTCCAGGTCCAGGAACCAGGGACACTCACTTTGGATCCTTAACGAGCAGTCTTCTTATGAAATCTTTGGCGAGGGCACTGGTGTTACTGAAGTATTCTTCCTCAAATTCGTAGTTGACGGCGGATACATTTGCTAACGTCTCTTGCTTCGTGTCCCCGAGAAATGGCGAGGCCCCACTTAGGCTGTTGATAAAGTGGGGGCACAGAGCAAGAGCCATTACCTCTTGTGTTGTCATTCCGCTCCCATCATACCTGATAAGGTGGGGGGAGCGGGGAGGAATAAGATTATAATGTGGGGTTTGGGCAGTCATTTTGGAATTCCATTTAATTATCAGGCACAAAAGCTGCGGCTTAATGCAAAGGATGCATTTAAAAAGTCAATATCTGGAACAGCATCTTGTAGTTTACAAAAAACCTCTCTCCTGCTTCCTCAGTGATGGACAGACGTGCTTTCTTCGGGTGACTATGCTGCAGTTTCTGATGACTCACTTCAAAGTTGGAGAAAATGCTTAATTAGTATAAACTAAGCGTGTTCTGGGGGTGTAAGATGAATGTTTACATAAAGAGCACGCATAAGCTGAAGAGATCAACATGACTGCTTAATAAAACATATGGTCTCGAAAGAAGGAAAGAATGCGAGCTGTGGATTCTGGTACTTACAGAATATAGGTGATCACTCCAATACTCCTAGACACGAAACAGAAACAAAAACTAAGGTCAGAATAACAATAAATTAAATCAGAAAGATGACAACATCAAGGATGCACTACTTACCACATATCTGCCTCGAGACCAAGAGGTTCATAGTTGACTATCTCAGGAGCTAAGAGGAAAGAAATGCACATTGAGAGAGAGAGTTTCGGAAGGAAGCAAACCAGCAGGTCGTATGTTCATGTATAAACCAGACACATGTACCAGGGAACTGTTGCCAACATAACGCTCAGGAGAAATAAATGACCACAGGAGCAAAGAAACTTACCGACAAATTCTGGTGTCCCAAATATGTTTTTGAATTCATTTCCAAAGTCAATTTTATGGGCCAGCCCAAAGTCGATGATCTTGATCCGAGGTTTGGGAACATTTCTATCCAAAAGCATTATGTTTTCAGGCTTAAAGAAAAAAAGAAACAGTGCTGCAGTGATATTCATAGTAACCAAAAGGCAGGGAAAAATCCAGTGTCCACCAACAGAGGAATGGGTAAACCAAATGTGGTGGGTAATATAATGGAATATTGTTCACATTGGAAAGGAAGTCAAGTCTGAAACTTGTTACAACGTGGGAGAACCTAGAAGGCTTTATGCTAACTGAAATAAGCCAGATAAAAAAGGATAACTACAATATTATATGAGTCCATTTATGTGAAGTACCTGGACAAATTCAGGGAGTCAGAAAGTAGAATGGTGGTAGTGCAAAGATGGGTTTGGGGCCGTGGTCGGCAAGCTGAGGCTCGAGAGCCACATGCGGCTGTTTGGCCCTTTAAGTGTGGTCCACGGCCTGGGCGAGTCTATTTTGAAGAAGTGGCGTTAGAAGTTTAAGTTTAAAAAATTTGGCTCTCAAAAGGAATTTCAATCGCGGTACTGCTGATATTTGGCTCTGTGGACTAATGAATTTGCTGACCATTGGGTTGGGGGAAAGGACGGGGAGTTACTGTCTAACGGGCACAGAGTTTCAGGGTGGGAAGATCAATAAGTTCAGGAAGTAGATGGTGGTGATGGCAGCACAACAAGGTGGATATACTGATGCCACTGAACTGCATGCTTAAAAATGGTTAGAATGGTATAAATTATATGTTATCTTTATTTTACCACAATAACAAAATACAGCAGCTAAGCTACGCTATACTAAAGTAAGGCGGCTGAATAACTCTTCCTTTCCCCTGAAAAAACAACTGAAAAACAGGCATAAAGGGTACTTGCACCAGAACACCAGGAAAAATAAATGTTTTGGTTTAGGTTCTCCCAGGAGTAGACCTGGGACATTCGGGTGTCTGTGGCTTATAGTGACGGGGAGACAGGAGATGGAAGGAAGCCGACACAAGGCATCTTACCAAGTTAGGAGTGACTGCAGCGACCCCTTAGAGGAACTTGGGGAGAGAAAGTAGCACTCAGAGTTTTCCAAAAAAAAAAAAAAAACAGGAGGGAGTTTAGGGGTTTATTGACCATCTCACCATCCTTCATTGCTAAGAGTTGTGCCTGTGGGCATTTACTCTTTTTTTTTTAAACTATATTTTTATTGACTTCAGAGAGGAATGGAGAGGGAGAGGGAGAGGGAGATAGAGAGAATCATTGATCAGCTGTCTCCTGCACGCCTCCTACTTGAGCTTACAACCTGGGCATGTACCTTTTACTGGAACCGAACCTGGGACCCTTCAATCTGCAGGCCAACGCTCTAGCCACGGAGCCAAACCGGCTAGGGCGGCATTTACCCTTTAGCATTGCCAGCTCCCAGGGCCAGAAACCAGATGTCAAGCAGAGAGCCGTAGGTGTTTGCAATAGCAGTCTTTGGGGTGTGCCTTAGTGAGTGTTGGGGGGGACACAGGTGGGGTCTCCATAGCTTTGCTACAATAGCATGAAGAAAATCCTTCCTCTGCTATGGTCCTATCCTAGTTCCAATGATCCGAATCATTTACTTGGCAATCGATCACATGCTACTTTGCACTTGAATCTTAACATTGTCACTTCCTGTGGCTCATGGGTGTCTTACCTTCCCAAAGAGACCAGGACCTCTGTGACTGTTGGGAGTATGACATTAGCTCCCATAATGCCCTGCCTTCAGCCAGGTATGACCCCACTTAGTTAGTCTCAGAATTTGGCTTGATTGATTGCCGGTGGCAGAGTCAGACCCATAAGCCTTTGCATCAAGAGGAAGAGTAGAGCCTTAACTGGTTTGGCTCAGTGAGTAGAGCATCAGCCTGGAGACTGAAAGGTCCCAGGTTTGATTCCGGTCAGGGGCATGTACCTTGGTTGCGGGCAACTCCCCTGTAGGAGGTGTGTAAGAGGCAGCTGATTGATGTTTCTCTCCCATCAATGTTTCTAACTCTCTATCCCTCTCCCTTTCTCTCTGTAAAAACTCAATAAAATATATTTTTTTAAAAAGAGGAAGAGTAGAGATTGAGGCTCTATCTTACTGTCCTGCAGCCACAGGGGGATGGAGACTGGGAAGCCAGTAGGCACTCCAGGCTGAAGATGTCCTACCAGCAACAGCAGCCCCGTTGCTTAAAGACCTGGCTGATGAGACCCCTCGATTCTTCCCCAGGGATTCTCATAATCATTAATCTCAGGCTTCTATTCCACAAAAAGTTAGGAGTCACTGCAGAAGGCATGCATTATACACTGGCTGATTTACACTGATTTACACTGATAATTCCATTGGCTATATGACAAGTCTCTCTTTGAAGTGCCTCCATTTTTTTCTTAGCAAACAACCAGTGCTGTGGTTTCTATCAGCTCCTCTCTGACGAGCACTCAGCAACGTACCTTAAGATCAAAGTGGGCAATCTGCAGGGAGTGCAGGTAGTAAACACCATTAAGAATTTGTTTGAGAAATTCAGTTGCTTCCTCTTCAGTCAGAGATTCCTTTTCTGCCAAGAAGTCAAACAGCTCGCCGCCTGCAACGCTGGAAATCAAGAGGCAGAGGTTACCGAGGACAGTTCTGTTCCACGTTTGATGGGTTCTCTCACAGACTATTGGCACAATCAAATTCCGGAGAACAGCATAAGGACGTGCTAGGCATGGGATCAGAGTTCTCACTGGATGAGAAGTCTGCATTCGGGAACATTTGTGCTCCAAAGCAGTTGGGTACCATTTTTCTAATGGCACTGTGTTCACAAGTGAGAGAAGAGGCAAAGACATGGTGCGGGTGGGGATCAATGGATCCTTAAAACATTTTAATTAAACATATTTGGAGATGAAGTCACAACTCACTGACTAAGAAACAAAATGGCAACTCTGTACAGAATTTATTAAAAATACATCTTCCTAGCTCAAATCAGAGGGTACCTGGAAAGTTCACATTCCATATGTCAGCCAATGTTGTAAACCCCAAATCGCAATGCATAGTCTGACAGGATTTTTTTCTCTAGTATTTGTTTATTGGCAAATCCCTAGATACAATATAAATCACATATAGTAATTAATTTAACAAATATCCTAAGTCAGTGGTCAGCAAACTTTAATCAACAAAGCCAAATATCAACAATACAACGATTGAAATCTCTTTTGAGAGCCAGATTTTTTAAACTTAAACTTCTTCTAACACCACTTCTTCAAAATAGACTCGCCCAGGCCGTGGTATTTTGTGTAAGAGCCACACTCAAGGGGCCAAGGAGCTGCATGTGGCTCTCGAGCCGCAGTTTGCCAAACACAGCCCTAATAAGAATAAACTTACACAAAATTGAAATGCACATGGTTGTTGGGGATTTATTTAGTCAATCTCTCTGGCCAGACTGTAAGGCCCAGAAGGGCAGAGATCAGCCCCAGATGTTGGCCCACATCTGTCCCCACCTTCCTGAACAGTGCCCACCACATAGCTGGAACCCAAAACTTTCTTACCAAGTGGATGAAGGAGCAAACTCCTCTGATTAATGGCAAATAACAGGGAGCTCTTACTAAGAGTGTTTATAAGTTAATGTTTATCATTTAACTATTCATTCACAATATAACAATTAACTGCAATTATGCACATAACTGCTACGTTCATTATCTTCCTTTCAGCAAGGCAGCTCCATGTACATCATACCTACACTGAGTGGCCAGATTATTATGATCTCTGAACGCATAATAATCTGGCCAGTGTACTTCTCTTGAGTACCTCATTTGTTTTATATCAAAGATACTATAAATCCTGTACCTGATCAGTTTTCCCCTTTGCACTGGCTGACAGAAAGCTTAGGGCAAATAGGTGGTTGATCTCCAGCAAAAGTCTAGAATACCTTTGGTACCCATGTGAGATACAAATACATTGGGTGGCCAGATTATTATGCGTTCAGAGATCATAATAATCTGGCCAACAGGTGCTCATGGGATTAAACAATAGGACAATAGGACCTTTTCTTAAAGAAAAGTTTCAGAGTCCTCCCTCCAAGTCAGTGTCCTCCTTAGCCTGGCCCATGGTGCACAGGATGGGGATTGCTTGGGGTGTTTGGACCATGCGGATTCCGGGCCTCACTTCCAAACTGCTGCCTGAGGCTTCCTAAGAGTGCGGATCAGGAAAAGCAGCAGCATTTTGAGCAAACACCCGGGGTTGACTTAGCACACCAAAAACCCAGGACCCCTTTTCAAAGTCTTAATTACCTGCCTCTGCGGCAAGGCCACCCTCTGATGTTTCACTTCCGGATGTTTACCCAGAGGGTGAGGTGACTCCTCCACCTGGGCCGGGCGGAGGGCTCTGGCAGATCTGCCAGGACGCGTCACAGCGCCAGAGCCAGCCCGGAAGGTCAGCAGCCCCCACCCTCCCGGTAGTGGCCTTCCTGTCTGCAGCCTCTCAGCCCCACAAACCCTCACTTCTCACTTCTCTGTGTTCCTATTCCTCTTAAAGCCAACAATAATGGCCTGGCTGGTGTGGCTCAGTGGTTGAGGGTGGATCTATGAACCAGGAGGTCCCAGTTTGATTCCAGGTCAGGCACATGCCCTGGTTGCAGGCTCCATTCTCAGTGTGGGGCGTGCAGGAGACAGCTGATCAATGATTTTCTCTCATCATTAATGTTTCTGTCTCTCTCTCCCCCTCCTTTCCTCTCTGAAACCAACGAAACATAGTTTAAAAAATTTAAATAATATATACCTACATATATGTATGTTTTAAAGAACCAATAATAACGGAGAAGGAATCCCTCAACCATAGGGAACAAAAAGGAGGAAAAATGGTAAACTGTCAACCGACCGCTGCTGAGACAGATGCTGCGTCCTGTTTGCTTCTGTGCCCTCTGCCGCTGGCGCCAGAGGGCTGGTCCAGGGGAGGCTGGCCCACAGCTGGCACATCCGGCTGAAATCTTAACTCGGCAGCCAGAGATTATTCCTTCTCTCTGAGCCTCGTTTTCTTATCAAGTGGGAATAACAGGATCTATTATTAGTTTTAGGGCTTTGGGGATAAAGACAGTAAATATACATAAAGCCACCGGCAGGCAGGTCTGGCGGGAGGCCGAGGCCCAGAAAGCAGAACTGGTATTCCTACCAAGGAAGTGAAGCACCTTCTTTCCTACAGAACACCCCCCCACCCCCACCCCCTCAGCACCGGCCTCCACCAGGCAGGCTTCCCCATAAAATTCCCCGCCCCAGCTTCCTCCCTCTCTCCTCCAGCCCATGGGTGTGGCCAGACTGCTGCACCTCTGCACCCCGGAGGAGGGGTTCCCCAGGGACTGTGGTGCCCAGCCCCAGCTTCTCTTCCTGTCCCCCTCCAGGGCCTTCCCCACCCCCCTGCTCACACAGGCTGCTGGTTCCTGACTTGGAGAAACAGCGGGGGTTTGGCTGCCCAGAGCCCGGACAATCTTGGAGCTCCCGAACAGCTTGGTGCAGGCAGGAGGCCCGAGTCCTTTCTAGGAACCCCACTGCTGGCCCAGCCAAGTCTTAGCTCTTCTTTTTTTGGCTGGAATGGACATCTCATACTCCCCTATTCAGTTTTTTTTTTTTTTTTTTTTTTAATATATACTTATTGATTTCAAAGAGGAAGGGAGAGATAGAGCCATAGAAACATCAACAATGAGAAAGAATCATTGATCGGCTGTATCCTGCACACCCCTACGGGGGATCGAACCTGCAACCCGGGCGAGGGCCCTTGACCGGAACTGAACCTGGGATCCTTCAGTCCTCAAGCTGATGCTCTATCCACTGAGCCAAACCGGCTCGGTCCCCCTATTCAGAATAGTCTTCTTGTGCTGAGCAACTCGCCTCCAAGGTGCTCCCTGACCACAGAAGTGAAATCCAGGAGCAACCCTGGAGCCCTAGGCGAGGGACCAGCCCAAAGGGCGGCAGTGCCTGACAGGACTGAGGAAGGAGGCACGGGTCATCTCCAGCTCCCTCCTTCCACCCACTCACAGGTCCGGCTCAGACATCCTGCTGTTCACCAGGAGTCCACGCTGTCTCTGGTCCAGGAAGCCAAGTCATGCAGCTGGACATTAGGGGGGTGAGGGAGCCCAGCTCACTAGACCCGCACCCATCACTGCTTCCTGCGGCCTGAAGGCCCCACATACGTATGCATCCTCCGCACACCCATATGGAGAGGCAGATGGCTCCACCACGAGTCTCTACTTATAAAATCTTTACTCATTGATCAAAGTAATTGGAAGAAAGTGATTTCAGCCAAGGGTGGGAGCAGACAAGCATCATTTGGCAGTTTACTGTCCCCCCTCCCCGCTCCAATCTCAGAAGGTAGAAGTACCCTGAAGGTTTTTTCCCCCGTAGGCACTTCACACACATGCTCAGAACCAGAGCTCAAAGGCTGAAAATATCGCTGAAGAGCAGAATAATGTTAACAAGGGATCCGTCAAACCTGGGCACTTTCGCTCTTTGTTCCAAATTGTACATTTTGCTTAAGAGAAGGAAGATGGATGGAGAGATGAGCAATCTGTGCAGCAAATTTAGAAAGCCTAACCTCCTTTATTAGGTCTCTGAGTCAGAGTGTTTTAAATCGTAGCATTATCATGGAAATTACGTGAAATGAATGCTAATGGTACTGGCTGCTTTCTCAGGAGAGCTGGGAACTGTGAAGGTTCCCTCTCCTCCGTCCCTTCCCCTCCCACCAATGCCTCTCCTAAAAGCAATCCCTAACAGAATGTAATTGGGATACATTACAGCTTTGAAAACAAAGTGGGCCTTCAGAGTTACATAAGAGAAACGATCACAGGGTTCCAATCTCTAAAATAAAACCACTATTTGGGGTTTCTAACTCTTCCCTAGAAATTATGCAAGACTTCACAGGACTTGATTCTGGGACTGTGTCTGATCATGGGGCAGTCCCAGAATCAAGAAGCAGGGGAGATTCCTTGACAAGTGGAATAAGAGACACTACAGTTAAACGAGGCCAAACAATCTGAGCAATTTACAGCCAGCAAATGAATCACAAGGTTTTATCTTTCCCACCCAGGACACCAAATGGTTTGCCCGTTCCAGACTGCCTGGGGGCAGACTGGCCTGGATCCTGGTTCCTCTTGGATGATGTTCTTTAAAATGAAACTAACCAGAAAATAACCCCTGACACCTCTGTACCCAGCAGAGGGCCTCAAGAAGGACCAGGGATCAACAGACACATTAGGTTTTAGAATATGGATCCCTTGCCTGGCCCTCAAACATTGACCTATGAGCTAGGAGGTCACGGTTTGATTCCTAGGTTGTGGGCTCAATTCCCATTGTGGGGTGAGCAGGAGGCAGCTGATCAATGATTCTTTCTCATCATTGGTCTACCTATCATCCATCTATCTATCTATCTATCTATCTATCATTTATCTATCTCTTCATCTCTGAAATCAATAAAAAAAATTAAGAAAAAAATATTTATCCAAGTCACTGTTTGAGGGAGAGCCAGCCAACCTGTGACATCCACATTAGACTTTGAGCAAGTGAGAAATAAATCCTATCATGTTAAGCCACTGAGATTTTGTGGTTGTGTTTCATCTGCTCTAAATA